TCTTCTGTTCCCACCCCAGGCACTATTATATACATGCGGCTAGGGTCACATGGAGGAAGCCATGTCATCTCCGCACACAGCCGCACCTCCCTGGGTGTCTCCGCAGGAGATCCCAGAGGTGGCTGCTCGGTAGGCCGGGAGTGTGCATGGCGCGTGCGGCGATCAGGGGGGCGGGGTTAGGTATGTGGTGGTACATGGAGAAAGGGAAGTCGACCGTAGAATAGAAATAGAAATAGAAATAGAAATAGAGAGAAGGGGGAGAGTGGGGGAGGAGAGACAGGGAGTGATAGCGGGGTAGTGCAGTACGGCGTGGGGTGCGGCGCAGGGTCAGGCGGGTGTGCCCTGACAGGGAGGAAGGAGGGCAGGGGCACCAGGTGAGGGTAGTGGGATTGGGTGGGGTCGTGTCAGGGGACGACTCCCAGGTCCCCATGACCCTCCCCTATGGTCCACAGTCCCAGGTGTAACCAGCCCTGTCCAGGGCACAACCTACTGTGGGTCAGAGATGATATATAAAAGAGAGGCAAGTATATACAACTTGCCTACTGTGGGTCAGAGATGAGAAGGAAGTTAACTTCTCATCTTCCCACAGTGGCCACAATACATCGAAAACTTCTGGAGATATCCAGAAGTCACATGAGACCCGAGACCCGAGGTCCGGGCCATCCGGCCGCACTGAGCATCCGGCACAGGGCGCGCGGGGAGTGCAACAGCCGGGTGCAGTCACGGGTGCGGGTGCGAGTGCGGGTGTGGATGCGGTATGGGCTAGGTCAGGGTGTATGCCCTGATGTCAGGGACGCGTCCGGGGTAGAGGGGATCCGGATGTATCGCCCGGCAGAAGGGCCCTCGTGGGGTGCGAACCGGGCGTGCGTGCTGGCGGGTCCGGGAAGGGACAGCAGTCCCTGGCCACTTAGACTGAAGTGGAGAATGTGTTATTGTTATTAAAAGGGAAAACTATACTACTTACCTGAAGTGGAGAATGTGAGAAGAAGGTTACTTCTTCGGTTCCCACTTCAGGTACATTTATGTACATGCGGCTTGGGTCACATGACGAGTGCCACGTCACCCTCGGAGACAGCCGCAGGCGTCCGGGTATCCCCGTGGGGGATCCCGAGAGCGTCCGCTGCATGCGCTGAAGGAGAGAACGAAGGAAGGTCAGTTGGGAGGTTCAAACGAGACCACCACCAAGCTGTTCCCTGGTTCTTTAGTTAGGATGGGGAAGTGTACTAGTGTTATTTATTGTAAATAAAGTACCAATCCAAGTGTTTTGGCTAATTCTATTTTTATGGGTTAGTTTTAAAGTTCCTGGGAATTGACTTACAGATAAACCGAGCCCTGCGGAGCTGTTTCTTTATTGAAATTTCTTAATTTGTCTAGGTGTAATTCTGTGTAGCTGTAAGGGATTAACCTTACTTCACTATAATTCCGATTATAGTGATATTTATATTATGTTGCATCACTATAATTCCCATTATAGTGATGTGTTTATTTCTTTATTTATTTGTGCCGAGATATGTAAATTACATATATATACCTCGGAGTAGTTGTAAAGGCCCGGTAGCCTTTTACCTCTACCCCGTTGAATATACAGCACATTAAAGCTTATATTTAGACGGACTACCTGAGGCCTGAGGCGAACGGGGGAATGGAACGTACCATCCCCAAAATAGTAAGCAAACCTTTCAGTAGCGTTGTTTTAATTTGGATTTAATCTTCTACTTGGTGAAGTTTCAAAGATTCTAATCAGTTAATGGATTTGGATTGTGTCTGGAGTGTCCCTTGAGTTTGTTTTATTTTTGTCTTATTTTATTGCTTGTTTTAACAGTAGCAAAATAACTGTTTTGTGTTTACACTTTGAAATCTGGAGTGTTAACCAGCTCTCCTGTTGAAATATCTACTTAATATTTCTCTCCTTTATTGCTGCCTTTTACTACAGTGGCAATCTTAACTGTATATCACTTTTTCGCACTGGAGTGACAACCAGAAATGCTTGAGAAAAATAATACTCTATTTTCTTACTTCTCTGAGGGGGGCGAAAAGTCGCAGAAAGGGTCTCCCTTTTATACTCCTTGGGTCGCCTTCCTTTTTCATGCTCTACCTTCTATTTACAGGATTTATTTACAGTGTATTTTTCTCAAACTGAATAAAAAGTGAAATTTTCACGCTATAGTTCCACTGCGCTTTGCTGCGCTGAACTGCGGCTCTACTGCGGTCAGACTGCGCCTGGAATCCTTATTGTCCTTCCTCGCCTAAGCTATTTTAATGGTTAATTAGAATTTGTCTGCACCGCATTTGCCGCAGTTCCCTATTTCAAATTCCCCATATTTCCCATTAAGTTCGCTATGACTCGGTCATACTGAATTCAAACCTCGCATTACTATGCGTGCGACTGTGCTGAGACCTTCAGCTGATTTATTCCAATTTTATTTAGTGACATTTAGTTAAAATGAGACTGAAATGATAAATGAGTGAATTATTCAGGTTTAAAACTGAAAGAAAAAGTTGCTAGTAATCAAGAATTACTCAAACGAATGTGTTATAGCTCTCTACTTCATTAGAACATCGTTCCCTAAAATTCCCGCCATGGTCCGTCGTAGTTTAGTAGTTTTCGTGAATCTCGTTCATATTCCCTGATTCCCCTTTGTATTATCACATCCTAATCCTCCATATGTATTGTTCGTTGTTATAGTAGGTCGTCCTCGAAGATATCATATTTTTATGTATTTTATTTAGGGCTCTAGACCTCTTGAAGCTGTCTTCCCGCGTGTTTTCAGGTTTCTAACTTCATGTCCTTGTATCTCATTCATTTCTGGATGTTTTCTCACGTTCTTGGTATCATAAATTTTCATTTATTCCCACCTTTCCAATGGTACTAAGGTTGTGTCCTATTTCCCTGTATTCGTTGAGTTAGCAAAGTTTCGCGCGCACATTCGGTAATCATGTGCGTCGTTCCCATAGTTGTTCGTATGCGGGAGCCGTTTTCGTTTAGTTGTTCGGGATTTATGATATGCGCGGGTGTTTATTTCTTTCATATGGGCTTCTGTGATTTATTTCAGATTTTTCCCTCATGATCTAAGGTTGTTTTGCACTTTTCGTGCTTTGTTTTGACCGGGCTCTTCCTTATTTGGATGGAAATTGGTCTTCGCGATCTGCCGAAGTGCAGATCTCGGTTCCGACGGCCGGTTCCCTGCGCTTCGCCACCCTCACGTGTCATTACACATGATGCGGATTCCTATATTCCCGTCATGGGTATAACTTCACAACGGCTGGACCGTTTGGGCTGAGAATTTGCATAACTATAGTTTCCTATTTTTCATAATTTCCGTGTAAATTTCGTTGTATGTTTTAATTATGGATCCTACGCAATCATCGTCTTGTCCCTGAGCTCGGACTTTTGATGTCGCTATTCCCGTTATTGGATTTCTCATTAACGCATGATCCTTTTATTATGAAAATTTGGGAGGATTAAGAGTAGATCCTTTCCTTTCTAATGGGCTATCAAGCTTGTCTCAGTCGTTACTAGTTAATCTTCGCGCTTGCTTTTTAGACATTGTCCTCGTTTTGCAGGAGTTTTAGTCATATCTCCGTCGTTTATGGGTAGTTTCCCCTGTAATTACTCTCATTGGTTCCGTTTGGGTGACATCTACATTTCCTATTATAAACACGACTTTGACTTTTGCATTAGTTCCTGAGGAATCTTTGTTCCGTGGTACTTCCATCCTTGCTACGTGTTCGAACATGGGAAAGTAGTTTCCGTGGAGGTTCTCTGATTATTTTTATAGTCAAATCTTGGTCGATTGTCCTAATTCTTGGTTTAATATTTGCTATAAATTCCCCCGAGAATTCCGTCTCGTTGATGGTAAGCTTGAAGTATTTTTGTTATTTTTCTTTCTTTCGATTTATCGTGTATAGTCGTAATAATTCGTAAAAATTCGTAAAATTCGTTAAAATTCAGGTCCTTCTATGTTCTCATATCTACTTGTCATATGAGGTTTTTGTGATTTATCTGGCATATTTCCATAATGGGTTTCCATAGTGTGGCCGTTATTTCTCCTACAGCGCGTGTGCTGGGCACAGCGGGGAGCCGTCCAGGGTGTGTGGGCCAGACGGGTCAATAGTACATTGATACAAAGGAAGGTGGTCCGTGTAGATAGAAGGAAATAAACAAGAAAAGGAAGATGAGAGGAATGAGATAAAGAAAGGGGAAGAAAGAGAGAAAGGAAAGAGGAGGAGAGACAGAGGAAGGAGGAGGGAGAGGGTTGGACAGCGGGGAGCGGGTGTGGTGTGGCCGGGTGGGTCTGGGTGGACCCGGGTCAGGCGGGTGTGCCCTGACACCTGACAGGTCGGACCAGGTGGAGTGGGGTCAGGTGGGTGTGCCCTGACATTGTATCAGCCTGCAGACCCAGGCTTCCTGGAGAAGCTTCAGTTCACTACCAGAGCTCTTGGAACCCCCCTTAGTTGAGCCCCATCTGCACCAGGATCGTCGTGTTTTGACAAGCACAGCATGCCCTGACACATACCTCCTTCATTGAGTCAAACCCTTGACCCTCAGTGTGTTGGAATTTGTACACGTGGTCTTGGGAACCTAAATGCTAAAATATGGACATTCTGGGAGTCGAACCGCAGAACCCTGCATAGGTACCAAGAGTGTGTTACCATTACACTAAATGCCCGCATTAGGCGGAGGTGGTTTCTAACACAGTGTTGTTCCCCCTTCCAGCTCCCTTTGTCTCCTTTCAGCTTACCCTTGCTCCTTTTGACTTTGACTTCAGACCTCCCCTATATACAATGTACTTAGTAACTTATAACCTCAGTCAGTAATCAACTAGAAATCAACTTGAGATTCCCCTTGAGACACCCCCTTTGCTAGATCCAAAATTAGGGACCCCCAGGACAACCAGCAATGGCACAGCCCAATCCTAATCCGGCATCCGGCATAATCCGATCCACCCGGAGCCCTAGCCTCAATGTGAAGCTGAGTTCTATTGCAACTAACATATATTATCACAGAAACTCATGTATCTTTCATGTTACAGTCTGCGCATCTAGGTAAAGGATAATTACATATTGAGACTGAGTCTGCATATCTAGTCATCAATTCTAATATTTTTTACGCGACTCTAATCCCCACATCTGCATTCGCTAAGGTCATTGCCGAGGCATTGAATACGTTCCGCCCACAGGAAGGATTATATTAGGTCTTGCAATTACAAAAATGAGCTGTGACTCCATTTTAGTCTTTGGATGTCCTCCCATCGAAAGAGGTCTCATCATCTTGTCCTACCTGAGTTACCGGATAGGAACTGGTAATGCAGTGGCATCCCAGCCGGCATTGAAAGATGCCAGTGCAGCGACCAAGTTGAGCAAGTTGATAGGAAGCTAGCGGTTCGTCGTGGGTGGAAGGACTTGAAAAATGATGAGATATTGACTTACATCAGACTCGAAAATTCTCCCTCCAAATGACCTGCAAATCGTCCATCAGGAACATATCATCATCGCCTTTCCCAAAAAAAAATCCCCACCAATGAATTGTAAGGGGTAAAAATGCCAAGTTCTCAATGGCAGACATTAAGATAGCAGTCTTCTGCTTCTTCAAGGCAAGCACATCCACGTCCGTCGTCTCACCCACCGCACTCTTCCCTAACACTCTTTCCTTCCTCCTCAATTGCTTCCAATCGGCCTTTAGGTGAGCCAGCTGAAGGATGGTATAAACCGCCCAGGCACGAAGGCTCCACAGAGAGGCTTTACTGCTCACACGGGGTGAGAAGTACTTAGCAAGAACGGGGGCAGAAGCGGAGGTGAAGAAGGAGAGGTTTTCTAGAGTGTAGAAGGCTAGCATGGAGAGTGCTTGTGCGCGTTCGATAGTTTGGATTGAGCGAGAGGCCGGATGAGAGCGCTCGATTGCTGAGATCCATTTGATGATTGGGAGTACACCTAAAATGATTTGGCATATTTATATTGCGAAAGGGTACTACGATTACGACGTACCCCATAAACCCGAAACCCGTCTCGCGGCGCTGAGCGTCCCAGCGAACTTCTGCAATCCCTTTGCCGTAGGAGAGATCGGTTTGTCTCTTAAACCATTACTGAACTGTAATGTGGCCCTGAACTCCAGTAATGGCGCTAGGAGCTTAGCGGTATATTCAGCCGTCTAGATGAACCCGGGTGACATTCAGCCGGACGACGGTCCCAGAGAAGTAAAGAAGGCAGATAAATGCAACTGACTAAATACATACCATCATAAGCTTGCTTCAGGAGTGAATCCATAACACCCAATAACAAAATCCATCACCAATAACATACATTTACACAAGCAACAAATCAGCAGAGGCGAAATGTAACGAAAGCAAGCTGGCATGTTTCTACTCACTCGCTTCCAGACCAAGTCCCAAAGTATCTCACAGAATGATCGATCGTCTCAGAAGGGGGAACAGACTTCCCAATCGACCCCAACACCGAATCGCTCAGCGCCGCAATCCCATGGACACTTTTGCCGCTGCTGCTGCTGCCGCCGCTTCCACCACTGGTGCTACCACTACCTTGGGCGGTCATCTGGCAAACTTTACGATGATGATGATGAGATCCCTTCCCGTTTCTTAGCTGTCGGGAGCGAGCAAATTAATTTAGTCTTTTTGGATGGGGTTCAATTTGCTTCCGGACCCAGTGTGCCGGGTATTTAAACGGCACTCCCCGACCCACCTCTCCTCTTTTTTCTTCGAACAATTCTTATGGGTGAGTCTTGTCCTATCCCTTCATCCTTGCGGGGGAACGAGTTGGCTGACTGCCCACTTCTTTCCTCACTCTCTCACTCTTTTTACATGCATTCTCTCCCCCCCCCTCTTCTACACACGCACACAGAGACATTAACTCGGGCTCGATTCACGCAAGAGTTAAAAAGTGACTTTTGTATATCCTGGTTTTTCATTCCCGCGTTCCCGTCTTCCTAAAATACGGATGAGGTCGACTCGTTCAGCCCTTTAGGCACCTCTTACTTCCACTCACCTTCTAATCCAAGAATTTTTCTTCTTTTCTCTTCCGGCGGAAGGGGAGGAGAAAGTCTGTCACGATGCGTGGAGATGGTTTTTTTTTTTGAAATGGGAACCCTTTCGTTGAGGCTCTCGCGGGTGATTCTCCAATTGCTTGCTTGAAGGGTCGATGCGTGCATCGTGGTGGATTCGTCTTGGAGGTTTGAGGTGTACTTGTGGGGAGGTGGTGTAGGGTACATTTCTCGTCCTTGTTGTAATGCTGGATGTCTTTATCCTTTGTGCTCTCTGTACGACAAAATAACAGTAATCTTATTTCGACTCTTTCAGCGATCTTGACAGTGCCATGCTGCTATTGATGTTTATGGCCCACAGATCGAGGCCTACTAGTGATAAGTCCAATGCCACTGGGAGACAATTCCATACTATACATGCAAAACATACATGCATGTCGAAAGGACATGCTTTTACAAGAACCATACATCAGGAAACAATGGAGGGGAAATTCGAGAAACGTGTAACACGTGAAGGCGGTACGTCCGAAGGAGAAAGAAAAAGAAAATCAATCGCCTGGTGCGTTGAGGGCAGCCGGTATACAATAGGTCCAGGTACACTGTCGAATCCACGACAATGGTGGCGGGGAAGCGGAGGCGAAGACAGGAACCAAATGTAACCAATCAAGCTCAGCCAAAACCCTGCACTCCCGGAGTCAACGTCAAGCGATAAGCCGAGGAAATAATTGCCACAAAATAAAAAGGAAAAACGTTCAGGGTTGCTGAAACAAGCGCAAACATGAAAGGGAACTCAATAAGCGGAATGATGCCGAAATGCGATTGATGTTGAGGAAAACACTTCGAACGGGAACCGATCGATTATGAGGGAAAGAGCTGATGAACATAACGTTTCCCCTCCCCTCCTCCACAGTAAGTAGTGAATAGCAACTATACGCACCACCATCATTAGTGTGATGTGATGCGGGCAAATTCGGGCGGCATGAACATTTGACCGCCGCGTCGGAGTCGAAAATATAGTACGAGCGTGTACACAGTGGTAGTACTTTATGTTGAGCTTGAGGCGATATCGGACCTTCAAAGTTGCAGAAGAGTGTGTTTGGAGCGAAGAATTCGCACGATGATGAGAATCGGAAGAAGATAAGGCCTGGGAACGATTGACGAGGTGGCATGATGGCAACAGTTAGGTCGATCGTGATGACCGAGGCAGGAAGAACGTAACAAGCAGGATGAGGAGAAAGTGAAGTCTGGACGACGAAGTATGGGTGTGGGGAAATCAAAGCAGAGGGGCGGAAGAGCAAGAGAGCAGAGCAGACAACTTTGGATTCCTTAGAAACAGGGAGAGTGAAGCTATTACTTGAACGGATGATCAACTTTGCCGCTCCATTTCCCATATCTCCGTTTCCAGGGCAAAGTCTCCAAAAAGGGAACGAACCCACCACAAGCCCAATTTCGACCACACATGACACACCCCGCCCCATTCAAGGAACCAAAAGAGAACAAGAATCATGCACAGAGTTCCGGTAAAAATGGCAGGTAAGTAGGAATACTACCCGTTTCCCTCTCTGTCTCTCCCAGATGTCCTCCTTCCCGATCAAGAAAAGAAACTTGGTATTTGGGCTCCCCACAATTACCCCGCAAGATAATCAGGACAGGAAAGAGGGAGGGCCCGTTGCCCTTGATGTGCAGATGATCGTATGTCACGACCCACTACCATCAAAGAACTCAGAGCGGAACGAGGGAAGGAGGCGGGGGAGATATGGGCGAGAGGGATTTTTCGTTTCTCACAGTCCAAACCCATCAAAGTGGCCCTTGAGAATCCTTTCTCCCATGGGACTCACTGAACGCTTCTTCGTGAGGTTGCTCTTCTTTGAACGGGGGCGGAGGCCTGGGGACGGGGGTCGTTCAACAGACTTGATTTGAGCCGGGGCTTGAGGGGGGGATGGAGCACGAGGAGGGGACGATTGTTGCGCTGGCATGCCCTAGATTAGATAGACAACCGTCAGTATTATGATACCGATGAAATGGCAAGAGTCCCAAAAACTCACCCTGACGCCACTTAAAGCTCCACTAAGAGAAAGTCTCCTCATAACACCAGAGGCACGATCATGTCCCATGCCCGAAGGCCAATTCACACTGCCAGCACGAGCATGCCCCAGCCTCGTGCGAGGTCCGATAGGAGTGTCATCCTCCTCTGAGACAGCACTTCCTTCAGGAATGTTCTTTTGCGGACCAATGCCACCGCCGATTCCGCCGTACGCGCCAGCGAAGCCCGATTTGATAGCGGTTGGGGATCCCAAGAAGTAGGAAAGTGGCGAGGTGGGGCTGGTAGGCGATCCCTGGCCGCCTTTGTTAGTGAATGAGGATGCGAGTGAGGCGGTAGGAGTTGGGAGAGACATAGTAGAAGAGACAGGAGAGGCGGAAGGCGATAAACCTGGGTTCGACCAAACAGAAGCTGAACGTCTGCGATTGGGAGGAGTGTGAGTGTTTGTCTTTGAGTCGATAGAGATAGGCTGAGTGGAAGGGGAGTTGGTTGGAGAGTTGGTTGAGGAGGTGGAGGTGGAGGACATGGTTGGTAATAGGGTATTTATGAAGATAACTGTGGGGATCGAGTAGTAATGCGTTGGGGAGGAGATATACAGAAGAGCGTGGGAAGGTTTAGCTGATGAGATTAAGAATGAGTATGAGATTGGTGTCAAAAAGTTGAAGGGGCGAGAAAGAGGATGAGATGGCAATCGTTGCAAGGTGATGAAAGGAGAGAAGAGAAGAGAGACAACCCAAGGTAATAAACAAGGAAGGTTGGGATGCCATAATCAATTCAATTTAACATTCGGAATAGCATGTTATTTACCCCGCCCCGCTTTCGGATCCAAATTTCATATTGCACTCGCTCGGAATTGTCATTGATCGACTTGCAGAGACCTCGTGACCCAGCCGTATCCTTGCGTCAGCGTTTCATCGGCGCCTATTGATGCTGAATGATGACAACTACAATGACCAACTTGATCCCCAATGCTACCACAGAATTGGAAAGTGCCATGTGAAATGAGTGAGGCCTTATCATATCGCTTGCGTAACTGCAATATTATCCAGTTCGGCAGCTACTTTTTCTGGCCATACAATACATTCCACAATGCAATGTATTCGGCCAACCCGTGGCCTTACAACTGAGGTCTCATTATCCGAGGCAACATCCCGCCACGCACGGCTATAATAGTCATCACGATTTGTGTCCGTCCATAATAGCTCGTGAAGAGGCTGTGCAACAAGTCCGTGTCGTCATGTCGCAAAAAAAGGCTACACTGCCAAGACCAAAGATACTCGTACTGTTCGACCCAATCAAAGCAAACCGTTTTGCTTCTTACTAAATCGATAAGATTATCCTCACCTGCTCACTTGTACTGGACCTATATAAGAAGACTGATGCAGGTTTACACGCTGAGAAGCCATCACTCAGTTTGATTTCCCTCCAAACTATGCACGATAAGGGTAAATGCGTCATTTCATTTTCAATAATAATATGCCATGTAAGTCCTATACTCAACATGAATAAGAATTATTTCGAAGGATGCTGCGACACAGGAGGACTCAAAGGGAGGTCGGGGGATAGTTATAACGCAGTTCCACGAATCATGTTTCCCCAGAGTTGATGGCGGGAGTTCCAATCCCCATGCACTGCTGAAGGTCAAGGATCAGTAGATCTTGTAAGGAACATCCGAGAACTGATAAGGCTCACTTGTCTCACCCTTTGAAGCACGGGGGAACCGCGAGTTTCACACAACACATTGTGGCTACTCCACACCACGTGAACTGGCGCCGGCCGGACAATCGTAGTCGTATCGGTAGAAGCAAAGCATATAATGGTAGAACAAGTGCTCGGATGATGATTTGGAACAAAGAGAAGCCGAGGAACAGAGGTTGCGTGAGTTCTGACCATACTCAACCGGAAATAGAGATTCCGCATGGACAGCTGCCAGCTGGCTTGCATGCCCAGGCCTTCATGTTGGTGATCAAATTAGAACACCACAGGCTTTTGGTCGTTTCGAGACCCGTCGTCGCCATGGACAGTTTAGCTGCTGATCGATATCAGTGGCCTCAAGGTGCAACTTGAATAATGCTGACGCCACGGATATTGTGAGCTTTCCCATATGCACGCCCAGCACACTCGATTCGAGACAACCACCTTGATAAGTCAAGCCCAGACCGTCCATGGCTGGCTTCAACTGAACAAAAGAGGTCCTGTTCTATTCCAGGCACACGCCAACAGTGCAATATTAGGAACGTCGTCATCTATCTTAGTGTGGCAAGTACGCTATCCGTAAATTATATGTATAATGGAACCCATTAAGTTGAAAAGTTCGGAGTTACTAGCCTCTTCTGAGTTCTTCGTACCACAGAATGGTCCATTCGAAGGGGAGAAGGTGAAAACGGACACGAGGCCTAAGAATCACTGCGTGAGGAACTTACCCCTGTAGGCTAGGCCGATATTATCATGCATGACGTCTTTACCTTGCCTTCCATAGAACAGGGGGTCCCGGCCCACAGATAAGAGACTTGGGGGAGTGATGGATATGGATACAAGACACAGTGCTGGGTCGTGTGCGACACGCTGCCTTGCCGTGTCCACGATAGACAGATCCTGATAAAAGGCCACTACACTATGCCCCCCGTGCGAATCGCTTTGTCACGGTCCGTCCATCATAAGAAGGAAGAAAACCCAAAAAGGAAACAATTATGTGTACGCACCGTGCCGTTCAGCGGCCTTCCTTTAGACATCCTCAGACATCGCCACAGATCCATTCAGAGTCATGGAATGACTCCGAAATGGCTGGACCCCAGTCTGCCGTTTGTAGATGAGACTTGGAGAGCACGCACCAGAATCCAGTACTGCCCAATCGCAGCCTCACGAGTAATCAGTGCACCCGTCCGGGCTCTTGGGCGCCATTCACGCTCTCGAAACAGAGGGCGCAATATGCCACTATCGCGGCAGCATGAACCTCCCCTGACAGCCTTTGCCAATACACCCACAGCGCACGATTGTGGCGCCGTCCATCAGTATGAGCTCCACATCAAACTGCCTACATCTAAAGTATTGCGACACCATTGCATCTCCGTCTAAGCCCAAATTTGGGAAGTGATGGTGTAGGACACTCCGGATCACACTCCTCTTTGCCGCTTCCGAATGAGGGAGAACGATCCCAGGGTCCTCACAATCATTCGTGGACATATTGAATTTGGAGTGACCATACGGCAGTACACTTTCCATGCATAATAGCACATGCCAAAAAAGGATGGCTGGGAGCTACGCAAAGAACTCCAAGGGGTCCAGTGGCGTCACTGGCGCGGGTGGGTGATGGCAGGGGTTTTGAACGAGGATTTGGGCAACGACAAGCAAGTCGCCTAGCTGGAGAATCAGCAGAGATCAGCAGTATCCGAGTGAGAGTCTGGCCGTCGTCTTGGTCAATCCAATATGTTTAGGATCTAATTTCCGGTCATAAATCTCCGAGTGTGATTGCACCTCATTCCAGCATGGTCGCAGGCACCTGATTTGGGCGAATGCACGATTGTTAGCCATCGCCCTTTTCACGGGATGATCTACAGAACGTGTCACACGACGAGAAAGGATAACATGGGAAATGTCCGCCGGAACAGCCAGTATGATTCGAACTTCGAAGCGTCGCGCGTTGCCGGCTGGTACGAGTGACCAAATGAGGAACTGGGCGCCCGGGGTTCATTGAGTGTGGGACCAGAGAGTTTCTTGTATAACACACCCATATTAGGCTCTGTTTGGGTTCAATATATGCTACCCCTTCAACCCGAACAAAGCCTTAGAACGTGAAAGCGCCGCCAGATAGAATCGCGCGCTAGCTCCATGCAGCAAGAGAAGATATGATTCGCCGCACATCGAATGAGTGCATTCGAATCGTGCCCTGAGGAACAGAATCGCCTCCATCTGATTGTTCCGTGCGACTGGAGTAAATAGCCCGTGGATGCCGCCTATCGCGGTAATCCCTCGTCCTCTGGAGGCTCACAGTTCAGCATAGGATCCCAGCTGAAATCACTGAATCAGGCGTAGTGTGTGAGGCATGCACACATACATATGATCCTACTCGAGAGCGTCAATTATATAGCGACAACAGTGAAACAACACATCCAAACCTTGGGCCCCTTTCTGATGGTGACCAGCGTCGTCCTTCTCCTCGGCTTCTACTCAAGCCAGAGTGCGTAAAACTGTTATCCTACCGATCAAGAAATCATCAGGCTCCGCAAAGACTAGGCTGTCGTTTTACTGGCAGCTGGTACTGCCCTCATTATTTTCGGAGCTTGTTGATGAAGTCTTTACAAATCGGAAGACGATCTTTCCCCCTCGCATTTTCAGGACTCGGACAACCACAATTCCCTGCACTCCGCTGTACTCTGTTTTGTACGTCCCTTTGGTTTTGGCCATGCATGGGCTCGCTCAATTGATCTCATGTTGGCTGTCATACTCATGCGGAGCCTCGCTTGCCGTCATCTTATCCGGCTAGGTCGTCACCCAGTGATATAGTCCGGTTATGTTAGTTTTATGGCATCAGCCTCTGGTCTAATGATGACGTTAAATAATGATTCAGGCATGCGCGTGTCACCTGAAAGTCCTCACATTCAGACGCAAAACTAATCTGCTGCTGATTGACTCAGGACTCAGCGAATGAACCTGCACTTGGAACAGGATTCTTGGTCCAAAGTCCTTTAATCGGACTTCAAGCTGCTATGCCTATCAGAGTATGACAACAAGTACGGGCACATACATCCTCCTTCGTGCACTTGACGGAACAAGTGGGATTTCGGTCGGGGATGCTATCTACTTGTCAGAGCTAGAGAAGCGGCTTAGACGGATTCCAAATATCGGAAAGTTCTTGAATGGGCGGACGATCCACCAATTAATGACCTTGACTCAGATCCAGGTGCGATATAATTCGTTAATGGGGAACATTACTGGGGGAGGGGATCCCGGGAGCAAGGCTGGTGAAGCTACCGGTCCGGTTGAGATCAATAATGAGGAACCAGCACCCCAAAATGATCCTTCATCTCGAGTTCGTGCCCCTATGGACGTAGAGCATGGGCTGCTTGGATGGGCCAAATCAGCCTCCATCATGCTCAGGTGCGATTTTAACGATCGCTCCCCATCCGGGATACCTTGATTTAATCACTGGTGGACACCACCTGATGGCTCAAGTTGCTGCTGCGTCCCAGGACACAACGCAATTCGAGACTGTTAGTAGACTGGTGGCTCATTGGTATCGAATGGTGTGGAGAACGCTATACACAGGGCGGGGTTCTGATTTTGAATAGTGCGTACGAAGATGCATGAAGGAGATGAATTTTCAACATTGGAGGACCCTTGTATTTAATAGACTCTCGATTTACAGGAACCCGCGGGAATAAAGGACTGCTGCTCCAATTTCATCGTGTGCTTACCTTTCGGACCCGCTATGAACTATTCACCGACGAGTCTCCGGTTCGGGAAGTGCTTGTGGATCCCAGAACGCTCGACAGCTGTTTGGGTGATTGGGCAACGTGCCCACGTCAAGAACAACATTTCTGCAAACGCAAAGCGGTACACTTGCGGCACGCAACAGTAGTCATCTAGACTTAACAGTAGACTTACTAATAATAGTGAAAGTTAGACAACTCATACCATAGGATGACTGAAGAAGGTTCGAACAGGTATGGGGATTTGCAGACGTTGGGTCTCATCCTGGACGCGGCAGTATACAACTTTCCAGTAATCACACTTGCAGCACAGACTACTTTTTACCCTGAAAAAGGATGGCGAACCCCAGCTCCACCGTAATGCTTCGCTGCCCATTCAGTTCCATCGCGATCGTCCACTACAGCACTCACCTTTCCAACCCAGCACCCAATCGCCAATCCAATGATACCAGGTACCCGTTCCACGCGTCCTGGACAATCGCAAAAATGATGAAGATTGCAGCATGGACGTCCTACAGTAACACCGTCTACGATGACCGATGAGGGCGGAACTCATGACGTGGAGAGACAGCATTCGCCGTCTGCAACCAGATTTGCTTGGTTCATCAAACTTCTCATCAACACTCCGAGACAAGCCCGCATGCGTGGTTTCACTCTTCTTCGCCCTCAGTTTCAACGAAGAGGTCACGGGTCCCCGTTACCTTCAGTCGACCCATGTGCAAGCCGCCATGAGGAAGCACAAGCCATCGCTGACCACCACATCCCTCGGTAATATGCAAAGTCATATTCTAACTCAAAGCCGCATAGCCAGTTCACCAGCTAACAGGACGACGCACCAAGCTAAAGTAGCCAGAGAGTTATCATAGATACGGACACAATCCGTGTTGAATGTTCTGTGTCAGAATGAGTGGGTGAAACGCAGAGGGAGCATGGGAATGAGTCGTAACGCATCATGTCTCGCACATGAGCACACGGTTGAATTTGCAGAGCATGACATCTAGAGAGCAATCCTCTTCAGCTTGGATCACCAATGGTACACCCCCTATAGCAAGCACGACTACATTAGGTAGGAGTCCCATAGGTTGCTTGGAAATAGTGGTTTAGCATATCTTACATCTTGAATGCCATAAGCTCCAGTGTGGACAAATTGAGCACTCAGAACGGAGCAATCCCCTCGTATGACGGTAGGCGGAGCACACAACACAGGGTGCTCCCTAATTTAGGGAGGAATGAGCCCCTTCGCACCGAGCTCAGGCACACCCCCCGGGATTGTGAATGCTTCAAGCGGAATCGGGGTGGCACGGAACGACTTTGTGACCGACAGAGCTAATCAATAAGCCAAAGACGAAGCGGAATGAACGTGCCAAATCGCTCATCCTTATTCGCACCGTCCCTATATCCAGTGCCACTGAATATTTGGAAATGTGCTTCCTGTGGAGGGAAGAACCATACGCATCCCGGGGGCTGGAATATCTTTGGTATGGGTGGGAGTCGACAAGGCAAGTGAGGGGAGACACGCCCAAGGGCCCACTGGGAAAGCCCAGAGTGATTCAATACGAAGCAATATTCCTCGCCAGTCAAGCACAGACTCCGCGCCAATTGCTTTAAGGCAGCCTTCACAGCAGTGAAATCCCCTGGGGACGAGAGAAGAGTGTATTAAATCAGACTGGATAGGGCGTGGCGAGCTGTGGAATTGAGCCATCGAGCCACTTGGCGATAAACTCCGCTGAGAGTGCGAGGAGTGGATCAACATACATAGGATTCAGCCTGATATCCGGCAGAGTCGTCACCGCTTGTGAATAGACGAAAAACACATTGATCAGTTCAGTAAAAATGGACTTTCCTTCCTCCTAAGGTGTGGATCCATTCGGCGTGTATAATCTCAAAGCTCCGCAGAAGAGCTTCAGGTTCTTGGCGATGAAGCGGCAATGTCACAGATCCATTGGCCGATCTGATCCTCCAGGCCACAGAAACACAGTGCCATGGATTCATTTAGTCTACCTGCCCCGGAAGAAACGAGCTATATACACCCGAAGAGCCGAGCTGCACATCATTCATCGTATCCACGCCAGCCCAAGACCCATCCAACCATTGGATTCAATGGTGAGTCAATATGGCATCGAGGCTGAGGTCTTGCTTAAGAGAAAAGCTCCGACTTATAGGGACAGTGACTAATTACTAGTTTGGGTGGAGCATTCCTGTTGGCGCCGGAATTGAGGATCGGCGCATTCCGTCGGAGCTTCGACGGACACTGTCAGCGCTCGCGTTCGCCTCCCTTCTAGGTGGAACCAATGCGTGTGAACCAGCCTAAAGTTAAGCGTAGTATTGGAGGGCGAGAGCCTTTTAGTTTACAAGATGATCCCCTGCGGAAACGCATCCTCATCATGGGCAACATTGGGTTCGTCTTCAGCTTTGCCTTACAGCATGACCGTTCTCTTCACACGGACTTTTCCCTCGCACCGCGTCTCTGATTTCGATTCCCCTACTTATCTTCTGCAAGGTAGTGCAGGGAAGACTTCTTGCTTGGAAGTGGTATTCAAGGGGATGCCTGCTAAGGACACTTTCTTTCTTGACCCCACGAGTAGGGAGACCCGGCTGGATGTAAAGTAAGCGTACTTCTGGGGATCTTTGGATGAAGGAACCTGACAGCTGAGAAGGTCGTAGTACCATTATACCTTTCCAGTTGTGGGATTGTCCTGGAAATCATCATGTTGAGAATCTTGGTGCTCCGTTGTCGGCCTTCTCGTCTTTGGTTTATGTTATAGACCTTCAGGTGGGTGAGAAATGTTATTCTGACGTGCCGAGAGCAGCCCTCTGGCTGAACCACCTATTCTGTGAAGGACGAGTATGGACACGCTGTCAACCATTTGATTCACTTAATGGCCATCATCCATGAAACGAATCGGGACCTTCATATTGAAGTTTTTGCGCACAAGGCGGAGAGTTTGGCTGAAGATTATCGGCTAGGCATGTTGCTTACACACTAAAGAACTCCCAGAGTGCTTCGTTGACCATTCTTGTTGTTAGATAACTTCCGTCAACTACAAGAACGCGTTTACCTTGAGACTATCGACCACCCCTTACCATTACAGGATATGCGCGTCACGTTCCATTTGACCTCTGTCTACGATCATACCATATTCGAAGCATGGTCGCGTGTGATACAGAAGCTCGTCAAGCCACTGGCGACGTTGGAAAACCTGTTGAACGTCCTCTGTAGCGTGAGTACTCTTCTTGTTGATTGAAGAATAGTTAGAGTCTGATAAATGGGATAGCATTCCGGGCTCACAAAAGCCTTCTTGTTTGATGTGAAGACCCTGATTCACGTTGCTGCGGACGAATCTCCACCAGACCCTACGTTATATGGCCTGTGCTGTGATTACGTTCAAACAATCCAGCAATTCTCTGTTCTTTACAAGTTCGTCGTCATAATCTTCATCTCAATTTTGTTGTCCTGACGGTTTCATATTCAAGAAATGTCAAATTTACGCCTCCTGAAAATTCCCCTGCGCGCACAACTTCTCCGGCCTCTAATGTTCAATCCCTTTCGTCCCCTTCTTCACAGGATTCTCAACCAAAGTCCTTGGTCGAACTTGATCCGGAGGATTCCCGGGTGTGGCAGACAAGTTGTGTGAGACTTAGACCTCAGACAGCGATGGCGTACTGGCAGATATCTCGGTGAGTTCTTGGCGGTGTTTTGTCGAACATCAATCCTAACTTTGGATGAAATCTGTTAGGCAATTATCACTCATAGCGCTGATCAGAACCGACACGTATGACTTAAGCCAGAGTGAGATTGATTATAATGTGACGTTTTTCCGGAGAGCAGTCCACCGCATCGTGGATATGGAGAATGCTAAGTGGTACGGTGGCGCAGACGTTATATGACGTTGGGATTGGAAGATCAAATTTTCTTCATGCTCGTCTTTGACTTTTGTATCATTTCCTCGAGACTCTAATGTTCATGGCCTAACCCCTGGGTCTCCCGCCACCCGAGAGGCTGGAGGGCACTCAGAACTCTACTGATGAGTTCCCACACTAGCTGGGATCCTGCCTAGCTCACAACTACATTCAAGCAGCCATCGGAGTATTCCGGTGCACGTTGCTCCTAATTTGGAAACTCCGGAACTCCTTCACGTCGACGCCATCTTCCGCCACTCCGTTGCGGCGATGAAGTTCGGTCGCAAGATCAAGGTGAGGCTGATTACTCATAGAATGACGGGAGCATATACGGATCATGGTTCTGGCCGCATACAGTCTTCGGCATATGCTGAATGGAAAGTTAAATACATCAATTATGACGCACTCAAGCAGATGCTCAAAGAGAAGACCCAGTCTGGTCCGTGGACAGACGGCGATGAGGCTGAATTCACTCATGCCCTTGAGCTCGAACTGGAGAAGATCCATGTCTTCCAACGTGAAAAAGTATGTCAAGACACTGGATCGAGTGGTGGGAAGACATTCAACATCCTTCTCAGGCTGCTGAACTATCCGAACGAATCAACGAGGCGGAGGCATCTGTTAGGCGCCTGGTTGCGGATTATGAAGAAGAGGCAGATGGCCATGAACATCCCAATGTTCCAACTTCGGCAAATAACGTTCATGGAGACGTCGAGGCCGCGATACATTCCAACGTTGTGTCCGCGTCTGACGATGCAGGATCTGATGATGATATCGATGACACCGGAAGTGATGGCTACAGTGTTGACGCATTGGTCGAGCAATTCCGTGTTCTGGAGGAGGAAGTCGCAATCCTCGTAGCCGACATCCACGACTTAGCATTGTATACTAAGGTAACCATTGATCTTTGTGTACGTCTCGACTTCGTATCTTCTGACGGCGTGTGCTTGGCATGTAGTTAAACTTCACGGGCTTTATTAAAATTGTTAAGGTCCGTCTAACCCACTCGTCTCGCCGGGATTGCCTTCGCCCTCCTGATACCGTTCTCCCCGTAGAAACACGATGTTCGTCCCTAGTCCCCCCAACTGTGGTCCCGCTGCTAATCCAAAACCGCAGAAGAAAACGAAACGTTCCCTTAAAGCCACCTTCGTCCAGGACTATCTCGATAAACGACCATTTTACAAATTTAATGTGAGCTTCGACAATGTTGCATCCCACCGCATCTGTTGGTACTGATCATCTGTATTCCTGAAGTACGACTCCATCATTGTTAAGCTATCGAACCTCTACAACTTGGTGCGGACTCGAGGTCACCCCGTGGAAGGCGATGCTAGTGCCGGAGGTTCCCAGAGCGCATTTGTGCGCCAGACCACGAAATATTGGGTAATGAAGCCCTGCATTCTTTTCGACGGTCCTTGCTGATAAGCCGTCATAGGTTCACCCTGACAATTTGGTTCACCTCAAGTTGGCTATTCTCCGTCAACTCCCTGTGCTTGGTAAGTGAAAAATGCTTTCCGATCTACCACCGGGCCTCGCCGCTCACCAGCATTCATTAGTTTTTAATCCTGATAAGGAATACGAGCTCAAGGATTCAGGTCAGTATCTAACCTTGTTCGATGTTGCGGGAGATTGATCAGACACCTTGCCACCAGCCATTTCTTCGATCTACTTTGATAATGAGGATCTAGACCTATATCTGGGACGCTTGGAAAAGACAGAAGGCGCGGAAGCCATTCGCCTCAGGTGGTATGGCGATACGGATGTAAAATTAGTGAGTCGCTCATTCGGCCTCATAGCAATTTGACTCGTTAAAATGTACTCAGGTATTCGTCGAGCGTAAGACTCACCGTGAAGATTGGACGGGCGAGAAGTCGGTCAAAGCTCGTTTTCCTATTAAAGAAGATAAGGTCAATGCCTTCCTAAGAGGAGATTACACGATGGACGATGAATTCGACGAACTACTGAGGAAGGGGAAGAAGAAGGAGAGCGAAGTAGAAAACACGAAACAACTCGCGAACGAAGTTCAGTATGCGATATACACCAGAAGGCTCCGACCAGGTAACGCCATCAGGAAACGCACTGCGTGAGTGGTGCTGAACTGTGATCAATGGTAGTTATGCGGACATTCTACAATCGCACAGCCTTTCAGCTCCCTGGTGATGCCCGTGTCCGTATTTCTCTCGACACTGAGCTCACCATGGTGCGTGAGGATAATTGGGACGGGAAAAGACGTGCGGGAGACAACTGGAGGCGAACTGATATTGGCATCGACTATCCATTTTTGCAATTGGAGCCAGGGGACGTAGAACGATTCCCCTACGGTGTGCTAGAGGTCAAGCTCCAAACACAACTGGGTCAAGAACCTCCAGATTGGGTTCGGGAGTTAGTCTCTAGTCACTTGGTAGAGGCCATACCCAAATTCAGGTAAAGTATCGTCCCTTGCTCTTTGTATGCGACCGCCAATCGATCTTCAGCAAATTCATTCACGGCTGCTCAACGCTTCTCCCTGACCGAGTTGATCTGGTGCCATTCTGGCTTCCTCAAATGGACACTGATATTCGGAAACCGGATAGAGGCGCTATGCTCATCGAACGACCTCAATCCTCGCATACTCCAACAACTTCGTCCCAATCGCCGCAATTGGAGACACCTGCTGCTGCTGATCAGGACGAACCCGTCTTTGGCTCGTACACAGAGCCGGTTTCTGAAGGAGAAGAAGATGAGAACATGGATCTCGCAGTACCGCTGGACGAAGCACGGCGCATGCAATTGCCGGACGCCCAAGTAGCAGAGGCCCAGCAATTCCGAGAAGCTGTCTTGCGAAAAGAGGCAGAAGCACGGTTGAAGGATGGGAAGAAGAAGGCGAAAGACTTTGCTGTTGCCAATGGTGAAGGTGATGATGGAAGTGATGAACGCGTCCCCTATCTTCGGAGACGTTCTTCAGTCCCTGCTGAACGCCCGAAAGGATTGTCGATAGATCCTCTGGCCCCGGCGCTTACGTTCGATCAATCATTCTGGTCTAAACTGAAGCCCAAGGTGAATGGCGCTTTAAAAATACAGGATACTACTATCGTTGAGGATGACGAAAGGGCGCCGTTGCAAGAGGAAGACCTCGCACCCGACCAAAGGATATTGGTTCAAGATTTTCGCGCCGAGGAAGGGAAAAAGATCGCTGTGCCTGTTCGCATCGAGCCCAAAGTCATCTTTGCGAATGAGCGGACGTTTTTGGTAAGCACATAAATTTCGTGGGTATTATATGGTGTCTCAACTGCGATTCGTCCCTTCAGAGATGGACGCACTTCTCGGTTCTGGTGGGCTCCATTGCCACAACGCTTCTCAACTTTGTCGATCCTAATGATGGAATTGGTCTCCTGTCGGCTGGCACATTCACTTTTGCCGCCCTTCTTTCTGTCGCATACTCCTGCAGCATTTTCGTCTTCCGTGCTTATAGCATGAGGAAACATCACGCTGAGGGTTGGTACTATGATGAATATGGACCCACCATATTGTGTGCAGTCTTGATTGTTTGCATTGGTGTGAATTTTGCGCTGAGATGGCGTGAAGTTGCCACTGGTGCAAATATTAACCTCTTCTAAAATTGGTATTGGATATATTTTTCAAAATTCAAATTGGGTGTATTTTTACTGGTTCGCAGGCTGGATTGCTGGGTCTTGTTCTCGTTAATATTGCAGTTCCTTAGATGATTCGGGGAGCTTGTCCATGTGCACTGGTTCCTGACTGTACCTAAAACTGCGTATATAGTAATATAAATCGAAGATGTCGGAAGGATGAAAAAAAAGGGAGAGAGTGCGACACCTATATAAAGATGTGTAATCTCCTCCGCGGTACTGACTCTGTTCGCTTTCAGAGTCCTCCTGTAGCCGTGGGCACTTGTTGGACAGCAGCAATGAGGGTGTTATTTTTTGTTCTTGTTTTTCTTCACGTCTCAACCGATTACTGGTGCACCTTTGGGTCCATCGTCATCCTGGGCTAATGACATATTCCATTGTTAGTTTCCCGTCTCTTCGATGCCTCACAAGCAGGGTTGGGCTGACCAGCATCAGACCACCTGGTCACATGGTCAAATGTCAGACACCCGGTCTGATCACGGTCTCTGGTCTCAGGGACTAATGTATTGGTCACAAAATGGCACATGGACATGTGATCCCACGGTGTTAGCCGAATGTATTCATTATATCTATAGCGACGCTGACCATCCCGCAACCTGACCCAAACTCGAGTCCACATCTAGATTCATATCTCTGGCAACAAAATCTTGCATCTCCAGCTCCAATGCGAAGTTTTGTGTACCCTGGAACCAATAATGATTCCATGGCCCATCCAAGGTCATATTAAAAATGTCGCGTATTGCTTTGCCTTGTAGACTAGCGCGCTAATTAGAAGTGGTTTAAATATTAATGACAGAGTCCGGAAACTAGGAAGCACTTACACACTGAGAGTCATGAGGGGAGTCATGGTAGACAGGGGCATTCCGGCATAAATGAGGAATGTCCAAATCCTCGTTGAGATCATCAAGGAGATTGGTGCGGAATGAAAAGTATGAGTGGTTAATGTCATCGGGAATTGAAGATGGGTGTCCATGTTCCAGCTCTAGGCGACTTCCTGTTGGATCACAGTCATTTGCTGATGAAGCATAGCCAAATGATCGTCGGATGCGCTTCCGGTGTGTTCCTTCAACTGCATGCTCGCGATTGAGGTCTAACTTGATGGCAGAAATTTTGACCATTTTTTCGACAGCTAACCGATTTCGCGAAGGGTCTTTAGTGTCACTAGTAATAGAGAAGAAGCGTTCAGAACTCGCGGAATTACAAACAAAAGAGAAAACAAGGATTGAAAGTTTTGCAAGAGGGTCGGTGGTGCGTGCACATCGCCATGCCTTGAAGGGATTGAAGTCCTAGAAGGAAAGCACCTGAGAAATTGCATTTGTGAGGTTGCACAGGCCCTTACTGGAATCCGCTTGCAGAGGTTATTCCGATTCCAGTCCCCATCAGCATAACCAAAAGCATCATGTGGATCCGTCAGATATGCAATGCTGCGCGGACCCAATTCCTCGGGTGGTGTGTCAGTTCCGAACACACGACAATACACCCGTTCTATCATAGTGACTAGGAGTGCAGTAGAGACCATCAGTGTGAAAAGAGCAGTTTTGACGAAGGGATTGAGTGCAACCACGGCAATGAAGACATCATGATCAACCTTTTTCCAGCGGAAATCAAGGCTGTTGAGAATGGCTTGAACGGGTGATGAATGGTTATCAATGACTGTGACCAGTGCAGCAGCAGAAATGTCGGTGTAGTACTTGCAGAGGTGACCAAAAATGAGCGCGACCTGGTCTGCCCTAGTGTTGGAATCTTGACAAACATTGACCACGACAGCCAGTGGCTCAATATGTTTCTTAATCCTGGAAAGGAGTTAGTACATACAGGAAGAGGAAGATCAAAAGTACACATATTCACTCTCTCAAGTCATCCCAGAAGCCTTCATTCTGGATTGTTGCAAGGATCTGCCGTGCTTTTGAAATTGCATCGTGCCTCGTTCCAGCTGCTGTCTTGAGTTCATGTCTACTCCTGACTATGATTGTTTTAAATGGAATTTCCAGCTGAATTAATCAGCCAATGGCCATTATGTGTGATGTTGTCACGGCCGCACATTCCGGCCCGTTAGCCACCCGTCCGATGCTGCCCAAGCCCGTTACCGCTATGCGAGCATGAGCGCGAGCCCCAACCTCATCCCTATCCTCCCTGAGGACTCCCTGCTCACTTCCCTGCTTGCCCCTAGGCTCCCCTACACTTGGCCGACTCCCCTGCTGCTGCACCAACCTCCCCACCCGAGTCTGCCTCCGGCACCGTGCCCAGCGCGACTCCCCTACCCCGCCCACTTGGCCCCTACAGGGCCGCTACCATTCCCGCGCCCGACTCCGGCCCAACTCCGAGTCCAGCACCGCTATATTACCATCGCCGCTATCGCAGCCCTACACTCTTTCCTTTATTTATCTGTTATTGTTTGTTTTGACCCTCGGTCATTGCCGGCCACTATGTGGCCAACCCCACTCCTTATTCTTGTTTGCTTCCAGACCCTTTGGCCTCCGGCCCGGGTCCGCTTCCATTCATTTCTTCCTCCTATATATATCCTGTATGATACTTTATTGTACCTTAGCTCTAATATTGATGTGACCACGACCCCTAAGTCCTGACCCCAACAAGGCAACCCCAGTGAGTCTGAAATGAGGGCCAAGAGACAGCTAGGGGGCACAGCACTCCCTTTAGAGTTGCTGAGGCCAAATGCCCTACCCTCAGGCCTTGTTCGCGGCATCATGGCCATCGCGGCCTATAGCGGCCCGCTAACAGCGACCTTCGGTGCTGACCCTGGACCAGTGTCTAACAGATGTCCAGCGAGTAATACAAGGCCTAATAAGTGCCTTTGCTCGGTCTACAGTTCGGCGTTGCTCCGCATATAGTAAGTGAAGTGCAAGTGAATGATTATTGAACCAGTTTATGATGTCATTAGCTTCGGCCAATCTCAACGACATTTGTTCATTTTTTTTAATGTAATCCCCAAGAACTAGTTGCATCTGTGCAGTCAGCAATAAATCAATGAACATAATCATAAGATAATCTATGAAAACCTACCTGGTGTGCATAGCAATCTGCTACTATTAAATGTGGGAACTGCTCCTGCAACCGAATGCGCGCTGCCCTTGACTCTCCTGATGCATCTGAAACCCAGCCGATTAGCTTCAGATTAAGTTTATCTTCGATATATTTCTTCTCCTCCTTGATAAGGGCCAGCAACCGTTCAGCTGTCTTTCGTTCACCCAAGGTGTTGTGGACATGTGTCACACGCACCTAAATTACAAACATTGAGCAGTTGTTATGAACAGTATTAATGCAAGAAACCGTAACTTACTGTTCCCATAGCTGAGATCATGAATGCAACGATATGATTCTTGGATGTGTCCTTCCATCCATCACATTGCCCGGTTGCATATGCACCATCCATCATTTGAGTTAATCCCTCTTGGCGCAAGTTGTATTCAACATCCAAAATCTTTCCTGAAAGACGCTTCCGAGTTGGGAGCTTAAATCCAGGATTCAGCATAGAGAACAACTTAGTGACCTCAGGGTCATCGACTGAGAGAAAGGACCATCCAGCTGATACAGTCGCGCGAAGCAGTTGCTGTTCAATTGCAGTCTGATCCTGGTCTGGGAGATGGGGGGGAAGTTGTGAGAAGCTTTGCCGACGAGTTGGAATGTTAACGGTGGGAGGGATAAGTAGCATTGGAGTTGGAGATGGTGAGGTGAGGCCCGTAGGAGATTCAGTGGTGGCATCCATAGATAGGGAGGGAAGGGGTGAGAGCCGCTTTTCTCGTGCACGCTTCCTAATGAAATAGGAGCTATCGCGCGTAACTCAGTCTCAAAATAGAGAACTAGTATTAAGATGTTTACCTATCGCGCGTAACTATAACATGAAAATACAATGAGTTATGCGCAAACACAGATAGGAAAGAAATGGTATCACCTCAGTCTTGAAATAGAGAACTGAGGGAGGGAGAAAAATTACGGCGTCCAGCGTAACTTATATGACTGGAGCCAATATCGCTTAAAGCGATTGTCAGTGACAACTGGCGATATAAGACAAAGTAAATTGGGAGCGCGTGGTACCGCGACTCTGAAACAAAAAAGGTATAGTCGTTGTTAGTCACGACGATATTAAGTTAAAATAAAAACTCCCCAATCCACGCTGCAGCTCGGCTGTTGTCGATGAGCGTTGATATTCCAACACTTCCAAGCCTTACCTGCTTCCTGGCCTTCAGTGGAAGCATTTTTGCATGCTGCTAAGTGTTGCGCGAGTCTCTCAGTAGAACCCTGAATTGTAGGAGAGTGTTCACTCGCTGGAATGAGTAGTAATTATTAACATCATTGGAATTGCCAAGCCATATTTTGCGCTTGAGCACATACCAGCCATCCTAAGTTCTGCCTCACTACGTCTCTCTGATATAATCCCTCTTATCAATTTCTCCGTGTCTTCATTTTCGAGTGCGGTAACATGCAATGCAACGCATCCTTTGCATTTGGCAGCGTAATGGGATTTATTATTGCCATAGTGCTCAGGTAGTTTGTGAAAGAAGCTCCAGAGGGGGCTGGGCACGGGACTCATTGGTTGAGTGTGAGGCAGGAAGGTGGATGGACAATTCTAAAAAATTCACACATTCAAACCGAGTCTCAAACATCGCGAATTAGGGTTGCATCAGTCGCTTGATTTCATAAAACAAACATAATGGCTGTGTGGTGCTAGCTAGGCAGGCTTACACACTGCGTTAAATGTGCATTCCATCCTAGTTTTAACCTCGAAAAGCGGGTCAGGGGGACGACAGCTGTCTCTCAATCGTACGCGCGCTTCCTGTTCGGGCTGTTCCGATTGACCGGCATTGACGCGGGAATGACATGTCTGACATGAATTTGACCAGTCAATGTCTGACCATGTGACCGTTTGTGACCATGGTCCGTCCAACACTGCTCACAAGGTTTCCGAGTTCATTAATAAATATCTCAGCGGAGTTGGTTGCCACAGATTGCCTCGACACAAACAAAGGCAAACATGTACGCACCCGAACTTGGCGCAGTTGGAATTATATAACAGACAACATGGGATCGTACAACGTGAAATGGCCGAAGATACAGTGAATTGTCAACAGGATGAGAAGTTATCGGCTCCAACAGACATGTTCCATCAGATGGTCGAGCTGCAAGGTGATTAGCATGGGTCCGCCGAGAGTTTATGAAACATGACTTACACATCCATGATTCAGGGAGTGGGAGTGACGAGAAGTGCTGCACAACCCGCAGAGCAGGTTCCGAGGGCACTGTTGCACGCAACAATGACCGCAGGGGCCCCCGCAGCTGCTACGGTACCAAACGTAAATCCGGCCGCGGCGTAGCATGCGACAGTCACGACGTTACACCCCGTTTGACAAACTCCGTAGGTAAAAGGACCCGCCAATGCAGATGGGGCAAGGGTGAGAGCGGAGAAGAGGATGAGAGGATTAAAGTATTTCATGTCGGTACTGTTTGGCGATCGTCAAAATTTAACGCGCAGGAGCGGTTTGGTAGGTTATGGTGGTTCGTTGGAAACCTGGTGATTAGCTTTAACCAGTCTTATATACCGCCAAGATGAATATATTGGCCGATCCTTCTCGTTTTGAACCCGTTGCAACCCCCCCCCCCACACACACAAACTGCAGACACATGGTGGAAACCACGAAATAGATGACTCGTACATGGTCCCGAGTATTCGATCTTGGGCCAAAATCAACATAATGAGCGCGACGTCGCTCGTGGTTTTACACAATTTCTTCATCAGTTCGCAACCTCCCTGTCGTGCAATGGTCCGCCACCGACCAAATTATTGCGTCCCCACTATAATCAGATACTTGGTGCTATCCAACCTCAACGCAGAATTCCAACCGAACCCATAAATCCCCAGCCGTCACCGAAGTCGATTCGTTTAGGATTATATCTAATCTCCGATCAGCCGCGTCTTGTCCGGTGATATATCGTTATCCTATATCACAAACCGATCTCTCATCCCTCCACTATACCTCAACTCCGCTTTTGTTTCTCTGCACACCTTGGTGTCTGACGCCATTTTGGCCACTCCCATATCCCAAATCCGTGATTCGACAGTCGTCCTTAAGCCTTGCGCGAGTTTCAGTCAGTCTTCCGGACTTTACGCGAGAAGGACGTCGATTGGCCACCGAAGCGTGTACTGTATATAGTCGAGCCGCCGCTTCTTTTAGATCTGGGTCACTGATGGTTCTGCAGTTTCTAACGCTCTGCGGTTACTGTTCCTTCTCTCGGTGCAGATTGTCGGATGTGAGGGTTCGGGTCTGTCTGTCAGGTCACTGCAGCTCAAGATTGAAATACAACATATACACAACATGGGTAATGGAGGACATTGCACTGGCATACCAACTCTTAAGTGGGCGCCACTCCAATCTTCCAGATGATCGGCTGCAAGATGATTGACGTCAGTCAACTTGACTGCTCACGATTCAGGGAATGGGAAGGATGAGAAGTGCTGCGCACCCCGCAGGACGTGTTCCAAGGGCGCTATTACATGCCACGATGGCAGGTAGGGCCGCTGCAGCGACCACAGTACCAAACTTAGATTTGGCTGCAAAGTAACACGCTATAGCCACGGTATTACAACCGATTTGGCACATTCCATCAAAAAGGGGGCCACCAATGCGGGCGGAGCGAGGATGACAGCGGAAAGGAGAACGAGAGGGCTAATGTACTCCATTTTGGTACCACTTGGTGGAAGTTAGCATGCATCCATCGCCCAGACCGTTTTCGTAGATGATGGCGGTTTGGCGGGTTCCGAATCGCGAATCAGCACTGTATACTGCCGGGATGAATACATTGGCCGATCCTTTGAGCAAGTTACAAACTGTGTTAGCACCCACATGTGGTCCTGAGTATTCCTAGGGAGTTACTGGCGGGGAGCGTACCACCACGGATGATTCCCTTCATTGGCATAATCATCCTCGATACGGAATTCGAGCCTTGGATCCCCAGCCTATCCAGGCAACCTGCAACTTTCTCCTTCCCTACACTGGCGAGTCGTACAGCAAGGCCCTTGAGAGCGGTTTGCCAGTGGACCAAGCCCAACAGCGGCTCTGGAGTTGAAGTCCGTGAGGCATGAGGGTATTGGTGGATCTAGGGTAGTCAATCGTGTTCATGGCAGAATTTAGGGGTGTCCATTTTTCGCGGCTCAGATTAAACCTGACAGTAGCTCTGGAGTTGAAACTCCAGGGGTCTTGTAGTTAGTTACTTGATTGATCTAGAGTGGTGACCGTTCGCCCATCATGCTCAGGGCAAAACCTCCCCTTGTTGAGGTTCACACAGTGCCTCTGGGTTCGAAACTTAGAAACGCACGCGGCTTAGGGGGGTAGTTGCCTGATCTAGGGCGATGCCCACCATGTCCAGGGCTTCTTTAGAGACTCCACTTGTCGCGGTTCGAACCCAGTCGTGGCTCTACGGTTGGAGTTCTAAGAAGCATCCAGTGTCAATAATGGCAGTTGCTTGCTTTCATTGTCCGAGTCAAGACCTGACAGTCGTCACTTGTCACGGATCAGAGCAGGCGGTCCCCGAGGCAATTTTTCCCCTGAGGATGTCACTTTTTTGTGGTCCAAGGACTGCTCTGACTTGAGGGCACAAGATTTCCAGACTTGATGTGCTCCGGCATGTGGTCCTAGTGGAAACACAACGCTGTCTATCGAGCTACAGCTACAAAAGCCAAGATGCGATCGATAGGCACGCTCATCGATCAGTTGGGAAAATTCTCGTGGACTTTTGCTGTTCAGTATGCCGAGCAAACATTATTAGACGTTGCGCACGATGCGTGTGCTGAGTGAGAAACCTGAAGCTAGGCCATTCTGCGCAACATGCGGATCGAAGCCATGCGTCACGCTTGAAAGGAAACAGGTGTCAGCACGCCTTTCTGATGAAGCATTCTGTCGGACTTTAACCCGGCCTCGTCACTTTGGCCCCATATGACGATGGTGGTGAAGTGCCATGGCGTTGCATGGTTGCTGTGAACCCCGAGGGGAGTCACGAGGGTTCCCTCCATCGACTCGTCAATCACTTCAGGTGGACTTTCTGGCATGATCCAGGGGAAATAAATAGGTACATATACACTCCGTTATCGACTCAACGACGGGAGTATGTTAGCTTCGTAAACGTGAACGAGCCCGGCTGGGGCCGCGCCAATTTTTTTTTGCACAACCGCTGGGACTTCGAAAACCTACTTGTTGTTTGTTTCCTTCTCAAGTGATCATGCGTGGATCGCCTCTAGGTACAGTGAGGACTTGATTGAGTTTTGGGGAGCTCACTGGCACTTCTGGCTCCCTCTTCCAGTAATGGCAATTTCACCCTGTCGCGGTTATCCCTGCCATCTCATCTGTTTATGCGTAGCTATTCTCCTAGAGATGAGTCCCGCCTAGAATTTAGACAGCTCCCAATATTAATATGATCCCGTGGGTTGCACTTTGTATCTTCAATTAGCTGAGTGTCATCCCTATGAGTGAGCTTGTGCATCATTGGCTTCATCTGTTAAAATCGTGGCATCGCAGCCCGACATTCCGAGCACGCCACTTCAACATTATCAGCGCATGAGTGCACTGCTTTGAGTTCTTTCCCGACATGAGGCCGCAGAAACTCCTTTTTTTTGCAAAGCACGTGGGGTTTATTTAACGCGTTCCTCCATCCTGATATATTCTGGTTGTACAACCGTATCGTCAGCTGCCCACGTCAAGGGGTAACCCCAGTTCTCAACTCTCGAACCCCCAAACACCGAGTGGAAAGAAGCGCCATGTCCAATCCAGGCCCTTCAAAACCAACGTCTTCTCCAGTCGGGATCCACTTTCCAGGGCGTCAGGATGATCGTCCAGTGGCGGGCCAGGCACAATTCGCCTCTAATGATTCACATGGCACGCCTGCGTCGTTTGGAACTCCACCTCCGAATATCCCACCACGTTTCGTGAGTGCCAGTTTGAGACCGAGTGTGAGCTCCTCGCCTCGATTGGGGCCGGCGTTCGGCTCACCATCTCGTGGAAGCCCTCTCGTGAGTGGCCGAGCAAGCCCTGCTGGACTCCCGGAGGTTCGTGATGAACGCGGCCGTTCTGGGACCCCAATTCCCAGAGAGTTGGATGGGTTGCCAGATGAGGAGAAGGCTCGTGTGCTGAGGAGGCATTTGGTGTCCCGTGAGGAACGAGGTAGTCGTGCACCATCTATAACCCCAAATGTATCTGCGAGACAGGATACGGGTGGTGTAAGCGCTGTGCCAGGAAGATCCAAAACTTCTTCGCTCTACGAGATGGATGATGAGGAGTTCCCAATAACATATTCGCATCCAGGTGCTGATATAACGTATGCCGCTCATCTTTTCCAGTGGGCTAGTTTCTGAACCTTAGCAGTCATAACATTTACAAGTGGCAATCTGATGCTCGTCGAGAAGCACTTCGCCGTACCCGTGCCACCTCTTTAATCGCGCCAGCAATAAATGTCGATTCAGCTTTTCAGCATATTCACGAACCGGGAGGATTCAGGAGGAACTACCTTCTGTTGCGTGCAAATGAACAAGGTATAGAAGTGCCTCCCATGTCGAACCACTTCATCGATTTCCTGTACCTCTTCGGCCATTTTGTATGTGTCGCAATTTCTCTCATCTACTCCATAGGCTCATAGAATGTCCAGGGCGGAGAAGATCTTGAGGAGGACGAAGATGAAGAAATGGATGAAGATTTCCTTACACCAAAGCCCCATCCACTTTCCCCTGCTGAAGCAGGCTTGCGTGGTGTCCAATCTGGACTAGCTCAACGGCCTTTCGATGCGTCGAAGCCACACGAGCATCGCCCTCTACTGCCTCGTGACACTTCCAGAAGCCTGAGCAGACTGAGAAGACGGCAGCGATCAGCGAGTGGGAAGTACGGGGACGCGACTGTCACTCAGGCCGTTCTCATGGTGTGTGAATTCTACCATCCCCGAACTTGCGCAGCTGAAACGGGCTTCCATAGTTGCTCAAATCATTCATCGGGACTGGAATCCTTTTCCTCGGAAAGGCGTATGTAGCCATTGACGGAGGATCTGTATGAATCTAACTCCCACCGCAGATTCTATAATGGAGGGTTGTTATTCTCCATCCTCACTCTCACGTTTATTGCTGCTATCTCGCTCTACTCATTCATCCTACTGATAAAGACCAAATTCGTGGTATCGGGAAGTTTCGGTGGTAAGTGACCCTCTCGTGACTCTGCTTGGTCACACTCAGCATCTTTGCCAAAGACCTCGGCGGGATTCTCTACGGAAGGTGGTTGCGAGTTGCTATCCTTACGTCTATCGTGATATCACAACTCGGATTCGTCTCTGCCTATACCATCTTCATCGCGAGCAATTTCCAAGCGGTAATCATGGCCGTTTCCAACTGTCGTCACTTCATACCCATGAAGTATCTCATTATGGTGCAGGCGATTGTTTTATGCCCATTGTCACTGGTCCGAAACCTTGCGAGGCTCTCAGTGACGGCCCTGATTGCTGATGCATTCATCTTGGTTGGATTGATTTACATCGGATCAAATGAGGTTGCGGTAATAGCTGAGCGTGGAATTGCCGACGTTGCTATGTTCAATCCTAAGGACTTCCCGCTCCTTATTGGGTAAGTATGGATTGGATGCACTCCACGGGGTAATAGCTAACAAATGACGCCCGATGTAGGACTTCTGTCTTCGCTTTCGAAGGTATCGGATTGGTCAGTTGCTCCATCATCCCCCGTAAGAGTACGGGTGATGACGTTCATCAGGTTGTCCCGATCACTGATTCGATGAGGGAACCTCGAAAGTTTCCAGCGGTTCTGAGCGGAGTGATGATTTTTCTCCTATGTCAGTTCCCTTGCCAGGCCCGACTTATGCGATCCATTAACTCATACTCCCCTTTTCACACCCACAGTCTTATTTGGCGGTGCTGGCGTCCTTTCATATGCGGCTTATGGGTCGTCTGTCCAAACAGTTATACTAGTCAATCTACCACAAGATCAAAAGTTTGTTCAAGTTGTTCAATTCCTTTACGCATCGGCGATTCTTTTATCTGTCCCATTACAACTTTTCCCCGCCGTGCGTATTATGGAGAATTGGCTCTTCACTAAGAGCGGGAAAACAAGCTTGAGGGTTAAGTGGAGGAAGAACGTTTTTAGATTTGCCACTGTTTTCGGCTGTTATGTCGTTGCATGGCTTGGTGCCGCCGATTTGGATAAATTCGTCAGCTTTATTGGATCGTTCGCTTGGCAAGTGATATCATTGGCCTTTGCCTCGCCGTTCATTGATCGTATCCTTGCAGCATTCCATTATGCTATGTGTACCCTGCAATGTTACATTACAAGGCGTGCGCTCGCACAAGGTGGGCCAGGGCAGGGGATATTGCTCTTCTGGTATTTGGATTGGTAGCTACCGTGTTCACGACTTGGCAGACTATTCACGTACGTGCGGCCCTACAACAATGCATGTGGCTTTTTACTCATCAAATCTTGTGTTCCAGCTAATGATGGAGCCTGCACATGGAGAAGATCCTCAAATCAGATACTGCCAACCCGCATCCCCTGGGGATTCTACTCCACTTCGGTTACTTTTTGAACGTTTGGGGATTGTGTAATGGTTTTAGGGGTGCGGGCATCATTTTTGTATATGTTGCCACCCATTTTCGCTCTGGAAAGTCTGGCGGGCAATGTCGCCTTATGGAATACTACCTACATCGTTTTGCATTTGAAATAAAAGAAAGGCGCTATCATAATGGAAATGTGCCTTACAGCGTCCTAACTGATCTGTCGTCGCTGTTGGTTTGAGAAACGTTTGATTCGCTACTGGTGAGCAAATGCACCAGCCGACGCGATTCGCAATCGTCTAAGCCGGCAGTTGTGCACAATTGTTGTAGTGTTTCCGCTTCTATTTTAGAAGGCTTTGGCTGATTGTTGAGATCTGGTTTAGATGATGGCTCGTCTCCGGGGAATAAATGTTTAGAGAAATAAGCTGTTCGCCGAACGGAACCTTCCAGGAGTCCATGCAATGTATGGAGGGACGCCTTGAGATGTTCATCCGATTTAGATATTTGTTTTTCCCATGCAAGGAAAGCTTGGGAGAGTAATTTGACGAAAGGGTGGCCACGGCTTCTTGCGGAGGATGACTTGAGCAATGAAGAGACAGCGTCTGCATCAAAAGTGAGCAACATCGCACTTGGATAGTTGTACTTGTACCTCTAGGATGACCCGAGAAGATGAATGCCTCTGCAATGGAAGCAGAAAGCGTGGGATGAGACAAGGCCCGTGAAGCGAGATGATAAGCTTGGTCCTTGGAGCCAGATCGGATGGCGCTCCTTATGGCAATGTCAAAGAGTTCCTTTTCCCGGGCAGAGCTGTTGCCTGAGACAATAATATTACCACCTCTTACACCGTCCAAGTAGGCAAGGCACCATGAAAGAGCGAGATGGTAATCCTTTTTGAGATAGGCTGCATGGGCGGATGCATCTAATGCATCCCCCGAATCTAAGCTCGCGCGCAGTCGATTACAATGATCTAGTTATAATATACCTAGGCTGTGAAACCCCAAGAGCTGCGTGGCAGGAAGAATAGGGACATCTTCTAGCTTGCAATCGAACCATGAATGATTGAGAGAAACCAGTTCGTTTTTGTAACTCTCCTTGCTCTGCTGGAATGCGCGATCAATGCGCAGTTCCCTCGCGCTCGGCCCACTGTTCTCCTCATCGCTGTCTGCAAAGTCACCCAGCGGAAATTCCATCGCAACGAGCCTGCGGGGTTGTTGAGTCGTAAAATTGTTGTTGCGAGAAAAGTGAGTCAAAATATTGCTACATTGATGCGGAATCGCAAGCGGCGATGCCAAAAGATTTTCAAATTTGCATCCGTCACCAAAACGTAGAGACACTTTTCATCAGACTGGCTTAAGGTTCTGTTCTCCCAACGTTCCACTTGACGAGGGTTAAGTATTTAGACTACGTGCATGAAGCTAGACTTGCTGCTTTTATTCCTCACTCCTGTGTTCACCGTGCTCGCTGAACCACTTCCTCATGGAAGTTTGGAGAATGGGGGCTTCATTGTTGGGAGACAGGGCGGCCCCGCTCCCGGACAGTCTTCAAAGCCTGGAGATGTAACGTCATCATTGACGTCGACGTCAGAAACACCGACTACACCAACTACAACTGCTACGTCTTCCGCCCAGCCAACGACGACCCAGCAGCCGACAAGCTCAAGCTCGCCCTCTACTACCTCCCCGACATCTTCCTCTTCTTCTTCTTCTTCATCGTCACCTCCCTCCTCTACTTCGGTTGCATCTTCAACGACTCCTAGAGCACTCACCACTTCCTCGTCTCCACCTACGACGACAGCGCCATCTGTCACAACCGTCACATCATCCGTTTCTAATTCTCAATCAACGACGACTACAAGCTCTTCGCCATCAAGTACGAGCACAGGCTCATCGGACTCTGGTGGGCTCGGAAAGTCTACCATTATTGCACTATCGGTCGCTGGCGCTGTTGGCGCTCTCGCAATTCTTGGTTTCATCATATGGAAGCTAAAGCGAAAGCGTTTCTCGGACTTTGACGATGATGGTCAGTATTCTATTTAAGCCTTTTCCATGACACATCACCAATCAGTGCGACAATGAACATCAGACAACGCCATCAAATGGCCCGATCTTGATGGCGCGGCGGCGATGCATCCGCTACCAGCACGACCAACGGGTCGTGCAGGTGTGGAAACCAGTGCACTTGACCGTTCCGAAAATGACGCGTTCGACTCGCGCAGTTTCGCCGAAAATTCCTTGACGAACCTTGTGCATCCGGCCCCTGCCCCATACTCGTTGCCAGCTCCCGATGTTCCGCCGTCCCAGCAATACCACGATGATCCCGCAGCTTTTGGGGGTCAATATCCGCAGCAACCTGAAGGTTACTATGACCCATATCGAGGTCCCGTGCCGAAATCGATGACCTTACCTCCCGAGGATCAATACGGAAGGAAAAGTCCCGGGCCGTATAACGCGTATGAAGGTGGTCGCACGGGAAGTCCTGGCCCCCAACCTCCGTACGGGGGAGGCATCGGTGTTGGACGCGTACCATCTCCTGGACCGCAAGCAGCGTATGCGGGTCGTACGCCATCTCCTGGTCCCCAGAATGCTTACGGATCCGGGATCCCTCGGACAACATCTCCTGGCCCTTACGGAGCATTTGATGAAGATCCATATGGAGGCACGGATCAGCATACAATGGAGCAACACCATCAGCAACAGACTCAAGGGCGAAACGAAAACTTTGGCTCTGCAGGTTGACGCGCATATCCTTTTCCTTCCACCTGGGACTCTTCAGAGCGATCCAAATTTTGGGAGGCATTTTGTTTCTTGTAATGGATTAGCATTCAGAGCGTTCATTCCTAAGTTTTATAGTCAATGTAACCCGTCTTAATTGCCCTCAGCCCTGCTCATGACTTGCAATGGATTGTGAGGCCTGGAGTTCTCCTTTCCTACCATCCACTCTGCCTAACCCATTTGGTCCCTCATTTCGTTGTACTTATCTCTTGGTCGAAGGCGGGCGATGCGCTGAAATGAAATGAAACCTATTCCCCTTATTTTTGTGTATTTATACCGGTGGGTGCGGCTTGCAAGTTGGACAAGCAACGACCACCGCCCATTATATTAATGCCAGGGGGAAAGAAAAATATAAAGAAATATCTCAGAGTACGTAGATGCCTCTCCACAGCTTCCCCCGTTGACTGGCCCGTAGCCAAGGCTCCCAGGTAGCCGTAAGGTTGAGGGACCTGGAGTTTGGGTGACGTGCATAAAGGTGGGCTTAGGACCCCCTCGTAAGTATCATAACGTGGTTCAGGAGCTTCCCTCATGGGTTCAGGGTAAAGAGAGGCAGGCGGTGGGTGAAGTGTATGACATATTTGAGTCGGCAAGCATGCGATGTCGATCCGAGAGTTCTTCACTCATAAAAGGAATCTCAGCTAGCAGAGAGGCTATATCCTGTTTCCAACGCTGCTGAGGCAAGCGACGACGATGATGTCATCGACACAGAGGACATCGAAGCCGTGATGGAACGAGAACTGGAAGAACTAAAGCGACCTCGGTCTGGGGAATCTCGGTTTGGTTCGTCTGATTTCAATGCAAGGAATAAAAACTTCACTTCCCACTTCTGTCCATCAGTGAATTGCAAAGTGGATGCTATCTGCCGTGAATACCACATACATGCACCCTTCGGTCGGTTTCTGATTGATCCCCGTGCTTTGTCTACGGCGCAGTGATTTTTATTGCGATAAAACCGCCTATCGACCCCGTACGACTCGTCTGGACATACCTGTCCGAGGTGGAACAAACTGGAGTTACCAGAACGAGGTCTGCATTTACTTTTGGAAGGGGTTGTTCACTTTCTTAAGTATCTTGTGAGGCAAGGTCGGCCCAACGTTATGCCCCCGTCTCCGACTCTTGTGCTGCCACCATTGAAGACATCTTAAACTTGGCGAAACGTCTTTTCCCGCCCCACTTTGAGTCTGACTCGCCTGGTCCCATCAAGGTTCTATTCCTTCGACATCCTTTCTCTGCGCTCATACACCTCTGTCCAGTATAAAATTATCATTACATCACGGAATCACACCGGCGTTGACAAAGGAGAGCTCATCCGGGCTCTCGCAGCATGTGTCCCCAAAGATCGTGGTCACTCTGTAGATCTTGACAATCCTGACCTAGTCATCCTCGTGGAGCTATATGCTGTTCGTCGTTCTGACCCTCCTGCTTGCATTGATACATCCTGATATTCTCATCAATTCAGTTTGTCTGTGGCATCGGGATCGTCCCAGACTACTATCGATTCAAAAGATTTAATGCTGTTGCCGTCGGGGAGAGCTACAGAAAGGGAGTGGACGATATAAAACCTCGTCAGCTGGAGGCGTCCTGAACCTTACCAATCCCCCCGCCTGGCTTTATGTCTATAGTCAACTGTCGAATACAGCGCCCATTTATCCCAATTCTGCCTTTCCCTCGCACAATTGTCATGATTGCCGATATTAAGTTCTTCCACAAAAAGTCTCCTCGTGTTCGGTGCTATCTTTTGATGGTTCTGACCAGTTCCTGGCCGGGAAGAGTCCTGCATGTTACTATCGCTGTGATCCACACTCCGCTCTGCACCATATCCAACTATGATGCATCATAGGCCTCCAGTCCTTCCCTACCTGATCGAAACGACCTCGATCTTGTTTGTTGGTTCACTGTTGAGAAAACAATAGGGTGGCAACTGAAAATAGGTTCTTTTGGCATTTCCCTTGCACAGGTGTCAACCCCGGTCCCTCATTAGGCCGCGGATCCCACTACCTGCACAGTGCTGCCCGACGTGCCGCTGCGTGGAGTGCCTAGGTGCACGAACCACCATTTATGATTTATCGCTGACGAGCCTGCTATGTAACAATGATGGCGGTGCCGCTGCGGAAGCGGCACATGCATCCTCTTAGGCAAGGCTGTTGTGGACCAGCCAGTTCGGAGAACGTGCCGCTCATTCAACGTATCCTCGACCTTGGTATTTGTCATCGTTCATATCACAGAGGCAGCGGGAACTCGGCGCGTTGCCAACTCGAGCATTTAAGCTTGTGTTTTGCCCTGTTCCTAGTGACTGTATTGATTATCGGGACTGTGGAAGCTGTGGATCTCCTCCACTCACTAGTGCCTTAATTCTCACTGATTTTGTATTGTTCATGATGGTGTCAGTCGTGAGCACCTAAAGCATTTTCCTCCTTTCTACGTGGCCGTTGTTCACACGCCCCCCTTCAAGGATCTGCCGCATTGCACTATCACCAGTGAAATACATGTTTCGAGGTCGGTTTCCAACAGTTTACGCCTGGAGCACCGTTGTCACTCTTGCTGTCCTCATCAGCTCTTAGTTTCCCCCGCGGCTCATCTAGCTGCCGCTATCGTTTTTACGGCCGATGTAGTATGCAAATATAACAGACAGCCTAGTTGCCGCACCAACTAACTCTTGTCTCTTGCATAGTCGATAACGTACTACACCCTTGAAGTTTGATTCATGAGATGACGCTGCTCCTAGATCGTTACGGTGATCCTCAGGTCAAGATTGAACCCTATACGAGGCGTGTTCAGGACTAATTCTATCTGTATCCGCGGGGACATTTGAGATATTCTGTTACTCGACGATGTCACCAGGACACAGTATCGCTGCCCATTGCTGTGACTCCATTGATCCGTAGATGTGATGCTGCCTTGAAACCCCAGTTGACGTCCATGCCCTCACTCGTTGTACGTCCTGCTGTGGACTCGTTGCGCATCGACGATAAAGTGTACGCAATCCGAGCGCAAGCTAAACCAAAAAAGCCTATGCACATGGCCAGCCAGACTACTTTGTCATAAGGTTCTTGGCCGATTGTGCACCCTCGACGCGTGGGCAAGTAGTGTTCCCGAAATATATATATATACATATATATGAGATGCGTACTTATACCGAGGGCCGGCTCCTCGAGCTTCGCCTTCTCCAGGGATCCTACGGTGAGACTTGGGAGCTAATATCAACAAGATATTCCCATGTTGCGAATCTGCGAACCAGTGGCATAGTCGGGGTACAAGTGATGGAGCAATTGGTTGAAGAAATGACTGACGCCGCGTATCGCGGTAATTTCTCATTGGGGATATCGGAAGCTGCGGCCACTCCTTTCAGGAAGGGAAAATGGGAAGTCACCTACGAAACATAGATCGGAGATCAAGGACGGACCTAGAAGGGAAGTGGGTGGAAGTCGTGCGATTAGGCTGAGTTTGGAGAGATAACGATGGAGTTCCTTGAGGACCCGTGAGAAGAGCTCATTTGCAATTTTAGAGGACCTCATTCACGGATCGGCAGGACCCGCTACGGAGCCGCGGGAATTCTTCCAACTCTTTGAGAGGCATCGAAGAATACTGCCATGCAGGGTAATGCTTGCTCGAGAATATTCGTCCGCTATGCCTCATCCACACGAGGGCCATTTCGTACGCCGAAACCAAACTTCGCCCGAGTACTCAACAACCCATCTGCACCTCACCCCTCACCTTCCTCCGCGCCCTCTCCCGCTTTTCCACCCGCTGAACCGAATACGCACTACCGCGTCACTCTTCACCGCTCCGCTATTGGCCTCCCTAAACAAATCTCACGGACGCTGGAAGCTCTTGGATTACACAAACGAATGCAAACAGTCTTCCATGAGCATTCACCAGACATAGCGGGGAAATTACTCCAAGTGAAGGAACTAGTCCAAGTCGCGAACGTCCCTGCGGATGCGGTTCGATCAGCTAGGGAGTTACGAGAGGAGCGGAGAGCAGTTCGTGGATACGATGTCGTACAGCGACGGCCATACGGTAACGGTCACTTAACGTTAGTGCAAGCCGTACAAGAACAGAGACTGGCAAGCCACAGGAAGGAGAAAGCACGGCGTCTAGGAGAAACACAAACCTCCACAGACCCCTCGATCACTGCGACATAATAATTCCTGCGTGATCTTCCAGGTCGATCGGAACTTTCAGGCCTCCAAGATTTGATATATTGTGCGGTAGAGAATGAGCGTACATGCCTATTAGAAGCGTACAAATTGAAAGTGGAACGTTTACGCCAAAATTAAGCAGACGGAATAGAGTGTAACGTAGGCATGTCATAATGGGTGATGTAAACAAGTGTGGAAGGAGTTGGAGTTGAGAAAACATGGACGGCAGGTGCAAGCTCGGAACTCCCTGCGAAATTAGAAAAGTGGGAACATGGATGTGAAAGCACGCGCCAGCGCGACCTCAGCATTGGTCAACCTTGGGGACAAATGAGAACTGAAATTGCGAAGTCGAAGGGAACACAAGCGCACCAGCCGATTTTTCGGTTTACTGTAACCAGTTTCACTCCATAGCGTTAGGTTGGGGTCTGAATAAGTAATAACGTCAGAAATGACGGATCACCATTACGTTGGCACTTACTCGTGTACACATTTATGTGATCGTTGATGTACTTCGCTGTCGGATAGTCTGTCGGGTTTAAGGTAAGAATATTTCAAAGTCTCAAATGAGAACTCACTTGGAGGATCACAAGTCACCGAGTCCTTCAATCCTTTACGCTGCCAAACTCGCACGTAGTCGACTTTCATCTCAGCAGGAAATGTCATCGCAGCCACATCAACCTTCTGGAACGACTCTAGAGGAAGAATTGTCTGTGTTAGAAACACCCCAACACCAAGAAATATTACGAACCTGAGACGGCCAAGTTAAGAACCATTGCCTAGAAACAACAAATATGAGCGCTGTGCAAAACATGAGCTTGGTGGAGACAACGGACCATCGGCTCTTCCGGAATGATACGATCTGAGATGTTCACTGTTGGATCTGCGCTAAATGTGTGTGCGTCGATTGCGAACACAGGTTGATCTGCGATCCAGGCGATGTGTCCATCCTGGCGGTTGTTCGGATCCGACCAGAACTCCACCCCAAACTTAGTGAACTGTGCTCCACCTAGTTCAAAGGCTGTGTCATTCAAATCCGTCAGAGCAGAGATAGCCTGTTGGCTGGACAAGAACTTGTGGGTTGGAATACACATAACAATGATAAAGCATTGCGTACAGAGCAGAACCACTGCCAAAAGCAAATTAGGCCAATCAATACGCTGCAGAAGCGGTGGGAAAAACACATACCGATAAGTATTCAACTTTGTACGCTGGGGGTTGTAGATTGTAACATCCGCGGAAGTGTTGGGGAAATAGTAGAGATTGTTGAAGGGTGCCAACTGAACGGATTGCGTGACACGGCCACCATAACCCTCCTTGTTCTTCTGAGCCTCAAAAATGTCAATTTCAGGGGCCGCCCGCCCTTTAGTATTGACAGGACCGGGGTGATCTTCCCCAGGACATGTGCATGCACTGGTAACAATGAAGCAGGTTCAGCGATAAGGAGTAAGGGATGGGAGAACGGCTCACGAGAGGCGTTGGCCAGGCTGCCAAGAGAGGTTATAGTTGTATTTCTTGTTGCCACCTGCTGTGGCCGCAATGGCTGGTTCTCCATTTAGAGTTTGGTTGGGAAGGGTACCAACATCGCAAGTGTCGTAACTACCTAAGGTATATCATTCTGATGATAGGGGAAATGTGCAGCTGACTCACGAATACGGCCAGAGACCATCTGCGGTTGCTCCGTACCCTGGTCTTCCAAGGTTGCCCATCATCCAGACCTAGATTGCCATAATCAGTTTGGGTCCTGCATCCCTAAAAGGAAATACGAACACCAGGCCACTGTCGAGAATGAAAGTTAGTTGGCTGCAGCAAAAACTCAGAATGAAAAGCCTACATATCCAGACACATCCGGAGCTCCAGGAAAGATGACGCTAACTGTAGAGGCTTAAATCAGCCAACTAATACTGAAATGCATGTCGTAACTCTACCTTCCATATACCCGGTGGTGAAACAGAATTTATTCCAACTTTGAATCATTCCGGACTTGAATATCCTTCCGTGGGACTCCTGATCCTCAATAACGATAACAAGGGCACCGTCTCGTGTTGTCACTTGGCCTGGATCGTACCACTCCAGATCTCCAGTGGCCCAGTACTGTGGGAGCATGAACCTATTAGTAAAACCATAAGAAATAGAACCCATGACTTGCCCAAAGATCGACCGCCTCCCAAAAGGGGTCATCTCCAGGGTAGAATGAACGCCCAGGCGTCTCAAACTCATCCGAAAAGACCAGCTCATACTCCTGTCCGTCGACACCAATGCGAGTATAAACGTCCTTCGGAGTAACAGGGTCAATTGCGCTTGGGAGCAACGTCAGAGCAGGGATCTGGCCTGTCCCGTTGAAATGAAAGCTTTCCCATGGCCGCTTCATCGTAAAATCCATTACGATTGGGTAGACAGCGAACAAGGTAAGAAGGGCAATAAGCAACAAAATGATCATTGCAATGTTGATCAATCCCCGCCACGAAAACCCCCCAACTTCGAGGTTGCGCTGGCCCGGCTCATGAATGAAATCATCATCATCTGCCGGACCACCCAGTCTCTCATAGGGACCATATTGATCGATTGAAAGGAATTTGGCTCGAGGGTCGGCGTCGGACTTGTAAGGGAGAAATGCGGCAGTGGACTGAGCGTATTTGGAATCAGTCATGAACGACAAAACTGAGCCCACGTTGGATCCAGTTGAGAAGCGACTGTGTGGCGGGGCAAGACTCATTACGCGACTAGAACTTCTTGAATTTACGGTGGAAGGTGCGGATGGAGGCGGTGCCTTGAACATGACCTGGGGGATTTATGAATAAAAAAAGGAGTTTAGAGTGACTACGCTTAAAAGCGCGTCAAAAACACTTACAGGATAAGGACTATAACCCCCGCCAACATCGCCGGCCATAATCCCTTTGATGTGTTCACGGTCAGCATGACTGCTGGCTGAACTTTCATCCGATATCGGTGGTTCTGAGCGGTCTGCGGCAGCCCCCCATGATGGAGAGCCCCCCCGCGCAATGGGGCCACGATCACCTACGGATAGACCACCGGCGTGGGGGTTCAATGGAGAAGAGACATATTTTGGGAGAAGACGAGCGTCAGGAAGCGGAGACTCAGAGCCGGCCGGAGAAGGAGGTAACGGGTCTCTAAACGGGGATGACTCCCTTTGCCTTGACGAAGGCGTGGATGGTCTCTCAAATGGGTCGGACGGGTCTGGGTTCGGGCGAGACATAATAATGGAGAAAGAGTCGAAGACCGCCGATAGTGGGAAGTCGAAGAGTGAGCAATTCTCAATGAGGCAAAGGTAGGGACGGTGGGATGGTGTAAGAGAGAGGCGCAGGAATACTGCTTCACAGACGATCAACAAGCAATCCAAGTGTTTATTCGAATTTTCCAACGACAGGCAAGGACAGGAAGGGATTTATGGTGAATGAGTAGTTCGGCAATCCCCCCGTGTACATCATCTTGCATCCGTAACGACGACTCCGCAGCAACGCTACGAGTATGGCTGAGAACGTGGATAGGACTCGGCCCAGTTGTATGAGCCATCTTAGTAGCACAATCAGCTCTAGTGCAGCGCTTGACGAGTGGTTACTTTGCTCAAAGTGCCAGGCATTCTCATAGGCTTATTTCTATATGTTCCAGCGACGAGAGGATTTGTCTGTTCATCATCCAAATATCTTTATTTTCAGCTTGAATACACAGGGATGGGGAATTGCAAACGAAAAGTTTTACCATCAACATGTCAAGGCTGCCTATCGTTTCATTAGGCCAATCTGCTGCTTATGAGTCATGGGTCATGTCCTCGACCAAGTTGAGGAAATACACAATCTCGGACTACCAATCGACCGTAATGTGCCAACAGCATCTCTCCTAGTCTGGTATCGAGGTTCAGCCTAAAGTAGTCTACGTTAAAGTGTCGGGTCCCAGACGCTGGACTCTCCTTCCTTGGCGACAGCTCGATCGCGCAAGGCGTAGAGCCTTGCCAAGTAGTCATCTTTCCCAACATACGCGCCGCACAATCGTCTCTTCCCTGTAAATTCGGCTCGTCCATGAAGGACTCTATGGTTATCAATGACTTGGGGAATGTTGTTCCCTTGTCAGGCTGACTATGGCAGACTGCGTCACTGCTGCACACACCTACAACGGTCCCCGGCTGCAACTGAAACCAGTATTCAGAGTCAGGACTCGAAAGAACCCGATCCCAACTGGCAAGGGCACGATACCTGCACAGCGGTCAGAATATTAGATAGCCGGATTACGGCAACGCACACGTACCAAGGTGCCACATCCTCAGGTGCCATATGCTTGATCACGCTTCGGTCGTCATTATTATATCGAATCATGGAAGGTTCCCCACCCCGAGTGGTAATGATGGGGTAGCCTTCCCCTATCACTGTATATTTGTAGAGCGCATCACCCACAGCGTGCGTCGGGACACGTGTCCTCATCAGGATTTCGAAGTCTTCGGGATGCTTCTCCTGCAGGATGGAGGCTGCGCGGAACCCATCAACAAGCAGAGATTCTCCACCCGATCCCTCTGTATGCGATAGGAGGTGGAAGATTTGAAGTCCGCACGGATCAGTCTAAAAATGGTTGTTAGAAGACGGTTGTATAGCGGTAGTTGGACGAACAAAGTAAGTGGTGTCGGTGTGTGCTTTGAGTGCCATGTTAGTATATGCAGTGTCCCCATGTGCCAAATCGGGGCTGAACTCCCAAAAGCCACCATCTACATGAATACAGGTTAATACTGAGCCGTTACCCCACTGCTCAAGCGGTCGTACAATGAGTCTCCCGAATAAAAGCGATTCGTCTGATAAGTTCCTCAGTAAGTTTTGGATCTACGGGGACACCATTGACAAGGCAAAACCCATAGCGGTGCTGGAGTATTAACTTCAGAAGCATGAGTGGGGACATAGGTGGTCGAGAAACTCACGACATTTTCTAACCATTCCAAAACAGCATCTTCGGAGCCGATAACTGCTTCATAGTCCACAGAAGGGGGCGACTTCCCAATCGTCGATGACCAGTATTGTTTTCCAAGTGGGGAAACGCTTTGAAAATGGTGAGTTTGATTCATTGTGAGAACCGCAATCTTGACCACCTCGTTCCTGCAAGATGTGGGGTGGATGCCGAGGGTGGACACCCACTTGATCCTCCCTCAAGCCACTCCCAAGGGTAGACAGATTCATGTATTTTAACATCTGGGCGCTCATCGTGCCCTAAAACCTTGCTCAGTAGGCGGAACCCTGTAGTCTGTCAAATACCCCTCACAGATGACTTTTAATCCTTCCCGTGTGGCCGTCACATCTGGGCGAGGTTGAATTACTGCTCACGATGGGGAATCCAGGTCTCACCTTGAAGAGATTGATCTAGAAGGTCAAATGTGTTTACCAGGCGTTGACGGGTAATTGGATGAAAGCATTCCGGACACCTGCAGTGATCCCGCAGCCACATATTATTGCTAAGGAGTATCAATAAACAACTCTCCCAGCTAGTAGAATACAGGACTTAACCATACAATACCGACTTGGCCCCATTCCATTCTATGATCACTTCTTTATCACCCCTTATCACATTCTTGGGGAGAGAAGCCACAGTGGAACTCAAGCCAAGATTACATTTTAGTGATAGACCATGGGCCTTTGAGGACTGCACCTGATGTGGCAATCGAGAACGAAGGGACAAGGGCCCGATGCAACGCACAAATCCAAAAGATCGGGACTGGTGGCAATGATATCGCCTTAGAAACCCACTAAATAAAGCCATGGGCACCGTAGGGAGTTGGGCAGGTTACCAGCCTCTATTGGAATAGAGTAGGGAGTCCCGTCGAACAACTGATGATTCGACCGTTAGTTTCCAAATTAGTCCGGCTCGTGACGCTCATTGAGTCATTCGGTTTTATCGGAAGTTTTTGGCTCAATTCAGCTTTCGACAGATAAAAATGTCCATTCGTCAATCCACAACTCTTCTGCGCAGTGCGGTGCGCTCTTTAGCAAGCGGAACATGCCCTGTGGCTCGTCATTACTCCGCGTTGGCACGCCCCGCTGTGGTGGCTCCCAGCACAATTTTTAAAGTCAGTGTGTTCATACCTTCCAAAGTGCCTATTCTGAGAGTGAAGCTAGACTCCCTCGAGAGGCTTCAAAACTCTTGATTTTGCTGGGACGAAAGAGATTGTGTATGAACGTTCAGACTGGCCCCTTCCCAAACTGCATGAGTATCTGAAGAACGACACCTTGGCTTTGATTGGGTATGGATCGCAAGGACATGGTCAGGGTCTTAACGCGCGTGATAATGGCCTCAATGTTATTATCGGTGTGCGGAAGGACGGGGAGAGCTGGCGTCAAGCCGTTCAGGATGGTTGGGTACGACTTCACCTTTAAATAAGGACATCCCAAATTTAACTCATCCTGCTAGGTGCCTGGCGAGACTCTCTTCCCGATAGAAGAAGCAATCCAGAAGGGCACCATCATTATGAACCTTCTTTCTGACGCCGCACAAGCCCAAACATGGCCTGAAATCAAGCCTCTTATTACCAAGGGGAAGACTCTCTACTTCTCCCATGGATTCTCCGTCGTTTTCAAGGAGGACACGAAAGTTATCCCTCCAGCCGACGTAGATGTCATCTTGGTTGCCCCTAAGGGATCCGGGCGCACGGTTCGGACGCTGTTCAAGGAGGGACGTGGTATCAACGGTAGCATTGCTGTCTGGCAGGATGTCTCAGGAAAAGCCCTGGAGAAAGCTCGCGCCCTCGCTGTTGCCGTCGGTACTGGATACGCATACGAAACAACCTTTGAGAAGGAGGTGTATTCTGATCTTTATGGCGAGCGCGGTGTGGTATGTGGTGTCACAATGCCAAAATCTTTTGTCATTTTGCTGAAACATATATTCATGCTTTTCACAGCTCATGGGTGGCATCCGTATGTCTCTCTCATGTCGTTTTTCTGGTCGCTGATGAATGGTTTAGAGGGGATGTTCCGTGCCCAATATGAGGTTCTGCGGAGAAATGGACACTCTCCTTCAGAGGCTTTCAATGAAACTGTCGAGGAGGCAACTCAAAGCCTCTTCCCGTTGATCGGTGCATATGGGTATGTCACTATGCTCTGACTCCATATACATACTAATGTCTGTCCCTAGCATGGTAAATTTCTCCAACCATCACTGAGGTGCCTTATGTTAATTGATTATTTACCTTTCACGCTGCTAGGATTACATGTATAACGTGAGTCTTTGGTTGGAGCACGTTTACTGGGTTTTAATATGAATTTGTGTCATCAGGCATGCTCGACAACGGCGCGCCGCGGTGCTTTGGACTGGGCTCCGATTTTCGAGAAAGCTAATCTTCCTGTCTTCGAAGCGCTGTACGAGTCTGTGAAGAACGGCACCGAGACCCGCAAAGCGCTCGAATTCAATGGGCGGAAGACCTACCGGCAGGATCTTGCTAAAGAGCTTGAGGAGATTAACAATCAGGAAATTTGGCGCGCAGGTTTGTGATTTTTTTGGTGCCCAAAACAATTGAAACTAACGTCTGCCTAGGTCGCACGGTTCGCACACTTCGGCCAGAATACAAGGAATAGATGGGTCTTGGTTGTTCGCCGCCTTGCTCCAAAAAGGAGTCTTCGGACTTCGCCATCTACTTGCTGGTCTGTTATATATACATGCAACCAATTCCAAGGATGAATCATATGATATTTACTGAGATGCTGGAAACTTATGCCTGAGCGACTGATAATATGGGGGTGGGCAATCCAGCCTTTAACGGTGATAGCGCTGGAGTCGTCTTTAGCGGAGGTGTCGAACTTGTTGTCGAATGGGATATTTAGTATCGGTCATCGTTTCACTCGAGCATGATCAGACAAGGTATATCCTTGTCCAAGACGATATCCCTAAGACCTAGGAGGTGACATCGCCAGCCTCAGCATCTCAATCCAGGCCGATGATGGTGCCTACATAGAATTAGAACGAAGTCGTAAGAATGAAGTTATATTATAAAGTGAAGTCTTGAGACAAAAGAACATGAGCAAGTCAACCCAACTTGTGGAGACTAGGGGAGCACATCCAAGGCGTGAAGTCAATATCCGGGTGTGCGCGCAGTCACCATGAATTCTGCCATCATTTCTCGTCTGGTTGCTCACGCACAAGCAGAGAATTTTCTAGAGCCTCGTCCTTGACTTATTGAAGTCAAGGATGAGGCGTGGCATCAACAGGACCCAGGGAATAATTCTCTGCTTGTGCGTGAGCAACCAGACGAGAAATGATGGGTTAGGGTCCTGGTGTTCTTCGCTATGTTACCCATGTGATACTGCACTCCACATTTGGATGTATGAGAAGTGCCTGGCTCCGGACCCTCAATACAGATCAGTAAAATGCGATTAGCAGGCTGATTAAAAGTTAAGAGGCGGGAAGAGTGGCGGGTTCTGCCGCATCGGGCGTCTTATCCTTACATAACATTGCGGAATGCTGGCGGAATGAGCATTCCATGAGATTGATTATGTAAGCGCCCTCCGAGATAATGAGCTACACCAAATGCTGTCGCTGGATCGACTTGAGAACAAAGCCCTCCAATCCGCCACATAACCACAATTCTTGAACACTGCTTCCTATGGCTTTCACTCTGTACTTCCGTTCCGTTCCGTCCTTGGGTATGCTAACTTGCACGCTTCCATTGTCCATCCCTACTTTGACATACCAGCCTGGTTGGACAGTAAGCTCACCGTTGATACCACCTGCACCTCGCGTGCCTCCTTGGGCGAATTGTTTCGTAAGGTCTACGACAAGCTCGGGGCACTCTAGGCATATCAGCCCGTTATTGATAGCGTTTCGTTTGAAAATGTCACCGAAAGATCCTGCAATGACGAGATTGACACCGGCTGATTTTAGGGCTGTCGCCGCCTGCTCGCGCGACGACCCTGTACCGAAATTATATCCAGATACAAGGACAACACCTGGTTTGCCGTCTGGAGAGGTAGGGTTGAGCGAAGGCACAATGGAAGCGACGGTTCCGGCAAATGTGGTATCGTAATTTTCCATGACAACCTCTGCTTGACGCTCGAGGGTGATGTCATCTTGGTATGTATACTTGCCTGGATATATAGCGTCAGTGTTGAGATTGTCCTGGGGGGCGAATAAGAGAGGACCCTCAAAAACCCGGGGGAAAGAGTCGACTAAGGGCTCCACGGAGGTATCATCGGGAGCGGGAGAGGAAACGGAAGAGTGAGAATACGAAGGAGGATTAGCTGCGGACGACTGTGATTCGGCTGGTCCAGAGATGTAGCCGTTGATAGCGCTAGCTGCCACAACGGCGGGGCTGGCAAGGTAGGCTTGCGCCTTGGGACTCCCCATGCGACCCTTGTAATTGCGATTCGTTGCACTGATCCCAGTTTCCCCCTCTTCCAAGAGGCCGGTGCCTAATCCAATGCAAGGCCCACATCCTGCTGGTAAGACCTTCGCACCAGCTGCTACCAGAGCTTGCCAGTCTCCGGAGTTCTCTGATTCCTGCTGAACAACGGAGCTTGCGGCGGCAACGTAGAACTCGACACCAGATGCTACGCGCTTGCCTCGAACGACTGCAGCAGCTGCTGCAAGATCAGAAGCTCGTGCGTTGGTGCAGCTAACGATGTATGCCTTCTGGATTTCGATCTTCTTCGCTTCCAGGACAGGAAGTGGGGTTGATATTTTGACACTGTTCGGGCCAGACACGTGCGGGATCAGGGTGCTCAGGTCAAATGTCAGATGCGCAGAGTACCCAGCATCGGAGTCAGACACAATTTTGTTTGCTTTTATAGCTTCCAGTCGTCTCCGGTTAAGGCGTGGGTGTTCGGGGGAGCAGGAATGGCCCACGGTGTCGAGGAAGGGAAGGTGCTGTTTTCGACTTTAGAGATAAGGTTCTCATACCAAGCAATCAGGGTACCATCTACAGGAAAGACTCCGGCTAAGGCACCCCATTCAGTCGTCATATTCGCTATTGTCAGCCGCTCGTCCACGCTGAGAGCAGCCACTCCTTCACCCACGAACTCGATAGCAGCATTCAGGGCCTCGTCCTTGTTGAAGGAACCGCAAAGGGCGACTATAACATCTTTCCCGGATACCCCAGGATGCAAACGGCCCCTGAGTTCGACCTTGACCATCCGAGGAATCTGCCACCATGTCTTTCCAGTCGCCCACAAAGCTGCCGCATCTGTCCTTACGATGGGAGTGCCCACGCAGCCAACGGCTCCATACATGTTGCTATGGCTGTCACTGGCGACAGTAAGGCAATGAGGAAATGCATATCCTTCTTCAACGAGTATTTGGTGTCCGATTCCCCGTCCAGCAGGATAAAAGTCTATATTGTGCTTTCTAGCAAATGCCTCTATGGAAGAATATTTGGCCAAGTTCTTTGGTGACTTGTTCTGCACATCATGATCGAGTGTGAAGACAAGTTGATGAGGATCGTGAACACGGCTAGCGCCTATGGATTTGAATCTATCACGTCAAACAAATGAGCCTCTACAGATTCCAGCTTCACCAAGTCCTCACTTGGATATAACAGGCCCAGTGTTGTCGTGAGTCATCACATTTTGCGGTTTGATCATAACATAATCTCCTGCCTTGACCAGCTTTCCTGGGGCCAAATCGACAGCATACTTTTGCACGATCTTTTCAATGTAGGTTTGGCCAGTTGAGGAAAGTCCGGAGTATGTGGCAAATGTTCTGGTGCAGAGTGAAAGTGGGCGCCCTGCTATCTTCCAGGAAGGCATGGTCACATGCGAATCGCCGGATTGAATTTTTGAGTGGCTCTCGACAGCTCGTGACTTCCTTCGGCTCCGCGATGCATTCCGCCAAGGATGAGGAGGATGAGTGGGATCTCAATCCAACCATAACATATCGGCATCTTCTATCGAATATACCTCATGTTTAGTGGGTGTCTTCATGTGTCCCAGTCATCGCACCTTTTTTGATCAGATGAGATTGGGCAGCAACCCTCTTCGTGTTGTAAGTGAGTACGCAACGTATGAAGTATTTTTTGGGGCACTTAAATGTTCCCATGCAAGCCCTGTGCGATAACGATGCATTTTATGCTGCGTGTGAACGAATCCGACTTGGACTTCCTCCAGGTGAGACGCGAGTGCAGTGTTTGAACCACACCCGACGTGTTCCGAACCAACTATCATACAGAGACCCCGGTCGCTGCCCTACAGTGGGATTCGTTGGTGAGAATAATTTTTACATCTGCGGTACTGCGTTGGTGATTCGTGAATAATCTGAATATACGTTCCCTAGATTGCTGTCTCATACCCCGCACGAACATATGGCGTGAAACGCATGGATAATGTACATATGACGCGCTTTCGCTTATAATGCCGCCGAACTCATCCAATTTCAGGTCAAAGAGGCCAAGAAAAAATGTCCAAATTTAGTAGCGGTACATGTTATGACCTACAAGGAAGGCGACAGTGAACCAGCGTATCATGACAATCCTGATCCCCGACATTACAAAGTACATTCTTTCATTCGGCTCTGTTTACTTCTCATTTCTCGATCTAGGTCTCTCTGGACCACTACCGCCGTGAGTCTAAACGTATAGTGGATGTGTATCGAGAGAGGCTTCCTCCTGGAGCCGAGCTTGGTAAGATCATTCTCCAACAAGGTTTCTCATGAGTTTCTCATCAATTTCCAGAAAAAGCGTCTATTGATGAATGTTTCTTTTGCCTTACTCTTCCGGTTAGGGACATACTTCTGGAGAGATACCCGTACCTAGGGCAAGTGCCTCCTGAGGCTCCTAACGGACTTGATACTCCTCTACCACCACCTCCGTTGACGTATCCCTTCGAGGGATTAGGGAATCTAATTCCAATTGTCCCGTCGTCACCGACCTCTCCTACCGATTCGAAGCCAGAGTGCAGTATTGTAAATCCTTCCAATTCTCCTCGCAAGGGTCAACCCGAACTTCCTGAGGTAATGAGGAATGAATCCAATGCCTCGACATCCAAACACCCTGTAACATGGCATGATATAGTTAGTGTGGCATGATCTTCACATTGTTCTATTCCTGATTCCTCAAAGGCTCTGGGCATAGGGGCAGAGATCATGCTCAAAATGAGGACGGAAGTAAAAGAGAAATTGGGTTACACGTTTGTTCACGTTCTTCTTCTTGTTGCCTCTGATTCGAGGTGGCCACTCTGTCAGGACGAGCTGTGGAATCGCTCGTAATAAGCCATTAGCAAAGGCATGCTTCACCATACAATTCTCGAAGTGGCAGAGCTGATAGATCATGCAGCTCGTCGCTTCCTATAAGAAATTAGACCAGCAGGTGGGTCAGTCCAATGCTACCATCCGAGCTTCTGTTGAGACCGCAATAGTCCATCCTCCGAAATGCAGCGATACCTGGATATTGGAGGCCTATGCCATTCCAGAATGTAAGATATTCATTTTGCTACGAGGGCACAATTAGTCACTGCTCGGAAGATCCGCTTTCTTGGTGGCAAGCTTGGTCGGACGCTTTCGGATGACATGGATGCCGAGACCGTTGGTGATCTAGAACATATTTCACTTAGTAAGCCATCTTTTCAAGAGTTTCCCGGCCGTATGTGGATTCGCGACTTCTATAGATGAGATGCAACGAATGTATGGAGAAGAATCTATATGGGTGTGGCAAGTCCTAAGAGGAATCGACAGGAGTGAAGGTCAGCTCGAGAGGATCCCTACTCAAATGAGGATTTCTGACATGCATGTCAACAAAGTGACCGAAAGAACGATAACCAAGAGTATGCTAGCTCGAAGAACATTCAGCCGGCTTTCACCGACCCTGATGAAGGGGAACAATGGATTCGCTTGCTTTCGGTGAGTGCAATGGTTCTTTCGGACCTATTTAGTGATACTGACGTGGAGGGAAGTCTGAGCTAGCTATTCGTTTGGCCGATGCGAGAGAAGTGACACCCACAATCTGGCCGAAAACTATCGCCGTTCATTTCTCCCAAGGTAGTTATCGGGGAAACCTCCCTTGCGTGTGTTCTGATAGATTAAAATTGTAGGCTCTGAGCGGCGTGCCTCCAAACAATCGCCTTTCCCTTATACTCGTAACCTCACGGCGACTTATGTTGGCAATGTGGCGCTTAAATTGTGGGAGGCTCTCACAAAAGACAAAAAGGAGAAATCGGGTTCCGGAAAAATCCATAATATTGGTGTTTCGTTTGGTGGGCTGATGGCGGCGGAGACTGGACAGAGAAGTATCAAGGGTTTCCTAGCTGCTCCCAGACCTCGAAGAGATGGTTCTCCGTTAGTCGCTTTCCTGAAACTCGAACCCACTGAAGGTCAGGACCGTTTGAAAAGGAGACCGAGAGATCAGAGTAGTCCGGAGCTACAAGAAGCTGCTGATTCTAGTGACAGCAACTCCTTCGTTTGCTCTCGTTGTTCCAGACGAATTTCATTGCCAAGCGACTCGAGGGAGGGTCTCGACGATCGGGATGCGATGGCATCCTTGAAGATGGAGCATGAGGATTTCCATTTCGCGCAAGATTTAGCTCGAGAGGACCATGATTTGAGCCCGAGTCGTACAAGCATGGCATCGAGGGAGGTCTACCCCGATAGGCCCTCGACGAAGAAACCGCGTAAGGAGTCTCACTCAGCTGGTGGCCGAAAAGCAGCCAAAGATGGGATTGCCAAATATTTCTCCCCGGGGCCACCTACGCCCTCCTCATCCTCCAAGGCACTGAGATAACGTACGCTAAGTTATAGACCACTGTTGCTCTTACCTAACGTTGCAGTGACGGCCGGCTGCCCGATGTTTGTCCTCATGTAGCAACAATCAATGTTGCATTGGGTTTGAGCCACCCGTGTGCGCGTTAATCGTGTCCGGAAAAGCACTTTTTTCTCAATCTACGACAAGCGTACCAAGTCACGATACATGAAGAGTCGTGGGCGAAAAGATGAAGAGAATATCCAAGTTACTTTTTAAACCATTTTGGAATCTTCTTTCCCAAGCTAGAGGCGAGGGGGCCCATCTTTGAGGAAGATGAAGATGGAGGCTCTTGTTCTCTTTTTGGAGTGGGGAGTGGGACCGATTGTTCAAGAAGTTGTGAGAGAAGAGGTGGGGGACGTATCGGATCTGCATATGACCGTAAGCAGGATAGAAGTAGCGAACAAGAAGACCTCACCATTGTAGCCATCGGTCTGGAATTTGATTAGCAATAAGGATGACGGGGCAAGATCTAATTGTGCTAATGATTGTAGTCTCACTTCTGGGTCAGAAACTTTTAATTCTCGTTTAGGTGGCTGATCTTGGTAGAAACACAGAGTTAAAATCGCGGAACACCAAGAGATGAATGTGATAGGCTCACAAAGTATGAATTTATCCGATTGTGCTTCCTCAATGAGTGAACTGCGAACGAATTGATAGACAGATTTTATTTTTTCTGTGGATGGGAATGACCTCTCCAGAATGAGTTGGTTGGGGAATTTTATCCGTATCTTTGTCTGTAGGGAAGATCAGCACCTTTGAATGATTCATGATTGAAGATGACTAACCGTAGGCCACCGACTGAGACGTGCCTCCTCATCCCGCTTCTTCATTGCTTGCGTCTTAAGGGGTGCATTTGTCAGAGCAACCACGCGTCTCTGCTGGGATGCATATGCTGCCTGTCGGACCACATGAATAGAGGCACTGGAAGATCGATGCTCTCTTCAATATCGCACCTTCAGCTCCGCAGTTGTAGGCTCGAACTCCTCGTCCGGTATATCGGCTTTGCGCATCGGATTCCATAAGTTATAAGCGTCTCATAGATCCTGGTCGACGCCCACCTGGCAATGTGGAAAGGGGTGGAGGTGAGTACACTTTCACCAGATCGGCCGCAACATCTGTTGGGTTCGTGGCCGTAACATTTGTGGTTTGGGCAGACGATCCCGTAGTGCTAACGCTGTCAGTGCGAGGCTCGTTTTTGTCATTGGGTGTCTGCATTTCAATTCTAACTTTGTGAGTACTGGATCGCAGCTGGAATCGCGCCCTGAACGCGTGTCTTCGGAAGCAAAGTTGGTCCCTGCCAGCGTCCGGCTAAGACGCACAGCTTAAAATTCGAGTTCGCGGCCGCCACGCCCTCTCGCCCCAGGGCTTTTATACTCGCATTGGCTTGTCCTCTGGGTCACAATTCGGAGGCACCGACGTGGCTCATCGTTCCGGGCAAACACATCGGGTAATAAAATATGCCCAAGCCCTTGTATGGCGTCGTTGAAAGCACAGAGGTCCTAGAGGCGGCAGCACACCCCGCGGGACCATTGCGTGGCATGTGAGTATTTTGGGGGGTACTTAATACTCAAACCTAACACGCTAGTCAGTGCCGCCCGTCGTGCATTCAAGTCAATTGAAAAAGTCCAAGCTGCTGCGAGGCGTTACCTTGTGTTGCAGAAATATCCCCAGCTTGCTCAACTTCATGAAGAACAGCCTCGTGATCTTTCTTACGCGTCCTCTCTTCTGTTGCACACTCCAACTCAAATTGGCGCCGCCACCTCTGACCTGACCGCCTCTCCAATTTCGAATACCCTTCCGACAACGCCTCAAGCACTCCAACCCCTTCCCGATCATTCCGTTCCCACCACCTATCGAATACCCAGTCCTCGACCGCATCACCTTATACCGACACCTCATTATAACCGTCCCGAACACGCTATTGTCGATCTTGCCGCTCAGATTCGTGCAACCCAGAAAGTCAACACACAGCTTCTCGTCCAAATAAATGTACTAGAAACTAGACTTGCTGACTGGAAAGTCAAAGCGCTTGCTGCCGAGGCATTGGTGAAGGATCGGGAAGGCGTCATCGGCACTGACTCTGTCTCCCTCTCCTTATTCGAGAGGGAGAAAGAGGCTGTACGGGAGCTTCGAGAGAAACTCGAATGCAGCATTGCACATGAAGCCGCCTCTAAGGGCAACCTAATGCAGGTGCGTGGGAAGGTGCAATCGCGTGCGAGGATCCTGGAAGCGAACCGGGCTAGGGAGTCCAAGTCCAGTACATCTCCTCAAGACGCGGAAAGGGCTCTTCGGGCAACCATAAGTAGAGCTCAAGTGTTTTTAGAGATCACTACCCGAACTTCGCGACCACAGCCACGCCCAACAGGCACGTCGTTGCCTCAAAATCACAGCAACGAGCACGCGGCAACGGTGCAATCCACACTCATTAAGCTAAATCGCACGCGTAGAAGCCCCTACGCTCCTACCAAACCCCCACTTCCCAAGCTTCTTACTCTACACAACCTGGCTTCCTCACTTCCTCGACCACCTTCGGACGAGAACGCCAGGGCTGCAGGCCGTGGGCTCAGCGTTCCACCGTCAACAGTAAATCGATGGAAAAATACAAGCAAAAAGCGACTGTCCGTTCCTGTCACAGACACGACGTTCGTTCAAGACAGGGTAGCAGTGAACAAGCGGCTCGCTGCTTTCTATGCTCCTCGTCCATCCCCCCTTTCAGAGGTAAGAAATTCTGGGCCTCTTGCTCCAAATCACTCGTTGAGTGTGAAGTATCCCACCATACCCCCCACTCCTCATTCTGCGCCACCACCGCTACCACCGCAGTCACAACTTCGCGGTGAACCAAACGGCGAGCACAGGCTGCCATCATGGGTCGACGAAATGCTGGATCACATTGCACATCCCCTACATCACCATCGTCTTGCTTCGGCAGATCTAAACAGGACCATATTGGCTAAGCGAACGGCCAGCACATCTTCTATTGACAATTTGCATCTATCCCTCCAAGTCCCATCCTCCAGCCCCACTCGGGAAGACTGGGATCTCATAAGCGATAATGAAACCCTTGGAGGATCGAAAGTGAACCTACTGGCCCTCGGCGAAGCGGCACCTTCGGATAGCATCCACCCGACGTCGTCCATGAGCAAACTGCGAAAACGCACACCACATATCCTTCCGCATCAACAAGAAGGAAGCCAGTCAAGCAGTATACAATCCTCTTCTGCATCCGGATCTGGATGGTTCAAGAATGTCGCCAGTAAGATTGGGCACCCAGGCGCCATTTCGCCGAAACCTGAACGTGTGCGAGGGAAGAAAGGGTCGACTGTGTCTCGTATATAATTTTCATTTACATGCGCGTCCTATTATTTCGGTATCCCCTTTATGATAGTTTCACTCGTTTTCCAGATCTCTTCCATTGCTCGCCTGCGTGGGCGCATTGACACAATATACGCATACCAATGTATACCATTATTCCATCACACCAATAGCCGATTTAATACCAAGTATCACTGGCAGTCCCAAGCTACCGAAGGTTCCACCAAACACCAGGTATCACGCAGCTGCAATATTCCATCTACATATGCTGTGTTTCATGTTCTAGCGAGATGACGCTTCATTCGGATGAAGGCAACAATCAATCTTCAATATTAACATCTCTCAAATACCCGGTAGAGGTCAGGCAAACTGGCCACCTGAACCACCGCGCTCCCACTTTGAACGTCACCCACTTTCCCTTTCCCTTTCCCTTTCACACCCTGTGGTCCCACCGAACCCAGTAAGCCCTTTGGCGGAACCAGATAATCCCTGATCGCGGGCATCAAAACATGTTCAATCTGCCATCGTTCCGCCTTTTCTTCCTGCATCAGATCATCGCTTTCACCGTCCCCATGACCGCCATCCACGTCCATATTATCGGCTGATGATGGAGAGGAAGAAGCTGGAGGGGGAGGGGCGAAACCCGCCGAATAGAAGAACGCCAGTTCGCGGAGGAAAGTCTCGAAGCAGTCCTTTTCGGACGTCCAATTTACCTATTGGAAGGGGGGAGTTACCAATCAGTGAGAGAGTCATAATGAATGAGCAGAAGCAGGCATACCTGTGGACCGAGTCGCATCAAAAAGGAAGGTAAACGGTCCAAATTGGGAGTGTAATCTTTCAGTAACATGGGTATACTCTCCAACAATCCTTTCTCATTGATGATAAGCGAGAAATATTCTTGGAGCATTTCTCGCTGATCCATCAAAAGTCCAACGATGGCCTAAGGTTTTTTTTTTTTCGTTGAAATATCAGAGAACGTTAGACAATCGAAGTATGGGGGTGATGCAATCGAAAGCAACGGACCTGAACAACTTGTTCTTTTGTCATTCCACTTTTCTCGACTGTGGTCTCGCAATCAACAGCAAGCTGAATGAGCGTCTGAACTTCTGGAGGTGGTTCGAGGAGTAGCTTTCCAAAGTCCCCGAATTGGCGTACGCCAAGTTGATAGAACAATTCTTCTCTGTCGATCGTATGAGCAACATGATATCAGCTAGTTGGTCAGGGACGGAGTTGTCGATTTTTTTCAACTCACGACAAGGCCCCATAATCGATCATGTATAAATTCGTTGTGTGCTGAATGAGAGCGAGACATCGTTCCAAATCTACGATACCGACCGGCGTGTGATTGGATAATATATCATGTAGACCTATCAAGTTAATTCGCCGTCCCGTTCCACAGACTGGTGAGCTGATACGATATAAAGGGACAGAAAGAGAATAACCTACGTTCATGTCCTGCCTTCTTAATCTCTGCCCTCATCTCCATGACGCTCTGCAGGAAACACTTCGAATCTTGGATCCTCACCATTTCTCGTTCCTTCCCAGTCCTTCCTCTAGTTGTATTCTGAGTTTGAGTCACTACGTCCTCCAGAAGTGGATCTTCGTTATCATCTTCCTCTGATGAATCCGCGTCGATATCCCGAGGAGTGCCTTTGCTCTGACTTGAGGCGACAGCGGCGGATGATGAAGATGAAGGAGTGGGTTTAGCTGGAGCCTGGGATTGATGCGAGGGATGGGAAGTTGGGAGGAACATGGAATCCAAAGTGCGATCTTGAGCTGTAACGCCTCGGACTTTATGATGTGGGTACGGTTTTGAAGCGGGAGTCTTCAAGGGCGAGGATACTAAGTAGGTCGTTGTTGATAGTGTTAAAGAAGCAAGGACCGTCGTATTCTACCGGTGGACTTTACTTTGTTCTCGTTGCTCTTCCTCATCCTGTATGCGGAATTTTGGACCACGATCACGAAGCTGAAGTTGTTGGACTCCATCCACATTGCTTCCTCCTCTTGTAAGGAGGGTCTATCAAATCGATGTACCCATATCTCAACCCATAACGTTCGTGAGCGATATTGAAGTACTCGCACCTGATACTCGAACGTCCTAGAATCATTTCTTACGGTGAGCGCTGCTTGAATTTTATCCATCACTGCTTCTGTAATCTTATCCTCATCTAAGAAATGGACCTAAATGGTTTGTCATGAATACATCGACTAAAGCGAAATCTCATATGACTATGAACAAACCTCTCGTTTTGTTGGGTGAACGTTCACGTCCACACTTGCTGGGTCAATTTCCAGACTGTATCCAAGAAAAATTCAGATGATGCAGAATTGAAGGGGCTGTTAAAGGATATAGAGACAACCTTACCTCAGGTAGACAAACGGATATGACCCCTTCGGGAGTATGGATGCATAAACAGCTTCAACAGCTCGCTTGATACGTGTCGACTCTACCAAGCGATCTATGTATCACCAGACGAGACACCAAAATAATAAAAGTTAACCGTTCATCAGGTTATTCGTCCGCCTTTCGCAGCTGGGGGAAGCTTGTACGTACGATTAATGAATAAGAGAAAGGTTATCTTTTTGGAATGATAGTTGACGCTTGTTGCGTAAATTTCGGCGGACCAGGTTGTCCGGCTTTTAAGAGGTGGAAGGTCATCTTCGTCTCCAGTGTCCCTCATCATATCATCTTCTCCTTCCTCTTCCTCGCCTCCATCCCCGTCCTCCTCATCACCACCGGCATCGCCACTCCTCTTTCTCTTCCTCGAAGACTTGTCTCCATCCTCAGAAGACGTCTTAACATGCATCAACTCCCTCCCCACATTCCCTCCATAAACCAACTTGATCGCACCCTCGACACTGGCACTTCTTCCACTCCCACTCGTACCTTCCCCTGGCGTACTAATATCCGGCACACTCCCTACTCCGCCTGCACCTTTTTTGCAACTGAACCCAACATTCGGATTATGAACTGCATACCTCATTACAACATCCAATATCCTTCCATACTCTTCAGAAACGGAAGAGGATGAGGAGCGTAAAGCTGATAATCGAGTGGGAGTATTGTAAAAGAGGTCTTCGACCGTTAGAGTCGTACCATTCGTTCCGGCGTAGGGTTTTATGATGTTTGTATTATTTATTATGTCTTCTTGGGATGGTGCAGGCTGTGAAGACGACGAAGAGGAAGCGGAAGGAAGTTGAGAAGAACGAGGTTGAGAAGAAGAGGGCGAACTTGATACTGGACGACCATCGCTATACGAAACTCTCCATGCGCAGGGATCTAGTTCTGTTTTCGTCGTCACCGTCAAGTGAGCAACATGCGATATCGAGGCCAGTGCTTCTCCACGAAATCCATATGTATGAATGGAAGCTAAATCGGAAAATTTAGAAATTTTGGATGTTGTGTAGCGTTCACAGAGGATTGGGAGATCTGCTTTCTAACTTAGGTGTTACTATTTGACATAAGTCAGCGAGAAAGCAACCAAGCAGGCTCAACTCGAATGCCACAGCCGTCGTCCTGAATTTGTACAAGTTTTAGACCACCTTCTTTGACAGTTACGCGTATCTGCTTCGCGCCAGCATCGAGCGCGTTCTCGATGAGTTCCTTGAGAGCTGATGAAGGGCGCTGAATAATCTAAGCACACAACGTGTGTTGGAATGGCAATGTACTATTGAAATCTTTCTTCTTTCCAATAACTCACTTCACCAGCAGCAATCCTGTTTATAAGCGACTGTTCCAAGCGCCGAATTGGCTTTGGCGCTTTCTTGATTGGTTCATCATCTTGAGTTGTCATGGCTGAGACGTAAGGACGAAAACGAATGGATGAACATGTGAGAAAGGATGATCTCAGTCTAAGACGCGCTTTTGTGACTGACGCGCTCCGCGTGTCACAAACTGAGTCACTTGACCGAAACTGTCGAGACAAATGACGTCTCTCTGATGAATTGAGTTTTTCGGTGGCAGTGCGGTTTGACCTCAATCGAGCGGTGTCGGTTGGTTTTGTTTTTCCACTGTTCCCTTCAATACATATAGCTTCTGTTGTCGCATTCTTAACGTTTCAATCGTATTCTGAGTCGCGTATTTCTCCGCTTTTTACCCTCATTAAACCACCTATAAAATCGACTCCACTCTCGTCATCTGATGCAAGTTCAAGACGACCTCCCTCCAACCCCCTCCACTGCTCGTCCAAATACACCAGGGGGATTCTCCATCGCACGCACATACACAGGGACCTCAGCGTACTTCTCCACATACGAGACACCCACTGCAATGGCTTCGACTCAACAACTCCCCGTCATTCACGCCCAAGACGGCCCAAGTCCAAAGTATGAAGGGAAGGCTCTTATCTTGGATGTAACCTCGACGGCTGCTCCCTCGGAGACCATGCCTGCTTCTCCTCCTCCAGAGGACGTAAAAGCGTCGCCAACCCTTCCATCTAGCACTGATGAATCTCTCGTTGAGAAGTCCCCTGCGAACGCCGCTGCCGCTACCACTGATGTGGCCGCTCAGCCACCAGCTAACACTTCCTCTCCCACATCCCCGACAAGCAGTGCGAAGGGACTCTCCGCCTATCCTGAAAATGTGGATGAGAGCAAACCTATTGTTGTTGAACCCGAAGCAGACTTGTCGAGGCACGCAACTGGTGCATTTGCCGATGGGGCTGCTACTACTGTGGGTACAATTATAATTATTCCTTATATCAGATCCCGGCCGGCTTTAATAACCACTGGCACATTGTTTATTGCACAACAGCGTCACCCAGAGCGAACTGGAACGTTGCACGAACGTGCCGCTACAGCCGAGGCCCAGCTTGACGAAAAGACCAAATCCAAAATTCTCAAAGCCGAGGGTAAGTTTCATGCCTCATTTCGCTCCACCACATTTCATCATGGGACATGCATCGGACCCACATTTCAAATCCATTCGTCATGCTTGCCCTCACGGCAGTCAGCGTGACTCCTGACCAACTTTCATTATGCGCCCTTCGGTCTTGGTTTCACATCAATTTGATTACTTACTTCACACGTTCACAGGGAAAAACAACAAGCAAATGGCCAAGATCATCAAAGCCGAAGCGAAAGCCCAGGATCGGGCGCTCCAGACGGCCATCGACGAATTAAAGAAACTCCAATCAGTTCAAAAATCCGCTGTTACGGTATAGCCATTCTTCTTCCCCTTCCTAATCGTTCGCACTGATTCCACTTCCTACTAATTGGAACGCTAGGAAGAATCCAAAGCCTTGTCGCAACACACAAGAGCGGTGGCCATCGAGCAAAGAACAGCCGCTGAATTCGCAAAAATCAAAGCGCAGTACGAAAAGGCTCAAGTCGAGCTGCGATCTAATGTTGAACGGTTGGAAAATGCTAGAAAATATGCAAAACAAACGACTGAGGAAGTGAAAGAGAAGAATCTGCAGGTTTTGAGGGCCACGGAGCAGAAGAGAACGGATGACAGGGAGAGGGCTGCTCAGTTGGCTACGCTTGGTAAGTTGCGATGATTCAAGGTTTGGAAGACGATGTCGGAGACGAGCAGTTGATGTTACGTCCTTGTTCTATAGGCTCTGGTGAACACTCAAAATTGTGTTGGTAAAGAGAAGGATGAGACACAATTCAGTGTACTCTTCTTTTCCCATCTTTAGTCCCGATACCCATTGATTCCTTCTTGTATACGTGCACCTGAAGCCATCACCCCCTATTATAGGTGAAGGCTTCGGACATACCCCAAATCCCCACCCATCTATCTTACACGAATATTTATCTAAACCATCTTAATATTCCTCTATCCTCTTTATTCTCGATTTCAGAGGATAGCCAACTGTTGTCACGAGTACTGATGTGTTTCCCTTGCTTAATGTACTGCCCAGATCTTGTCGAATAGCTAGGTTCGGCGGGTCGGGTGTAATTACTATGAAACAGGGTATATCAGTCTGCTCTATTGTCGGTACGCCGGCCTGAGATGAGCGGCCACGGGCATGATGTATATAACGCTGGTGCACTTGAGCGGTGGTCACTGTTGTAAGTGGGGAGTTAGATATCCGACGGCCCAGCCCTGCCATTTTAATTCGTCTCTTTTGTCTGGCTCAACTCATCACCTCTGCGCGCACCGCGGTCGTGCTACTACTAAGTGTAGTCGGATCGCGGAGAAAAGGCACTCAAAGGCTTCTTGACATCCTCCTGGTAGACAACTCCCACTGCACGAGCTAGACGCTTTCCACTGAACGGCGTCTCGGCTCCCACTGTTGTGTTCTGAAATTCTGGCTGTCCGCGCAATCCGCTGTACCGCGCCAACATCGATGGTCCATCAAGTATTCCCGTAGCTACCACTAAAAATGCAGGTGGTGACACTGCCGGCATCCAACAACTCATGGAACTTCCAGGGTGGCGCGTCTGGATTGAATCTTCTCTTCAGTTTGCACAAGCCTGTCCGGGCCGAAACCGTCCGGACACTTTCGCGATTTCATGCGATGAACAAGGGTCATTGGAAATCAAATTTCGACACGATACCAATGAACTGGATACAGGGAAAGAAATAAGCTAGCTTAGGGCAACAAATGTCTAAGCCTACTTAAAAAAAATTTCAAAACTGTCATGATAATCATGTAGCAAGGTCCTTGAGTTCTTGCACCGCCACTGGCAATTGTCCAGTTCCGGGAACCGGTATGTCCATGGAGACAGAAAAATTAAGATAAGGGAAAAAAATGAGCTACAGCTTAGGCCCACCAATGTCCAAGCCTGCTTAACAAAGCACTCAAGACTGCAATGATAATTATATAGCAAAACTTCTTGAGTACTTGTTCAGTTCCGGGCACCTGGAAATGAGCGCTGTTTTCCAATACGGAGGGGGGGGGGAAGTTTGCCAAAGAGTGCTCAGTAAGGTCATCAGAGCTGAGTGTCGAAACACTCCGGACTACGAAAAACTTACTGTCGCATTATCAGCTTCGGTATTTCGATAGCCACCGATATCATCGAATCGAAGTCGCAAGAAATCCTTTGCCAGTGCCACCTTTCCGCAAGGGCAATTCATGCTCGCATCAGGATCCAATCGGCAGTTATCGAGGCATTCCCCACAGAGCACATGTCCTAGACACATTTTAAACTCTTGAGAAAAAAACCTTAAGCAGTATGGGTACTCACCACAACGAGCCAGGTACAGGTCTCCCCCGGGCCTCCAGCACCAACTGCAAACCAGCTGGTCTTCTTTATTCATACTTTGGTCGAGGTTCGGAATTGGTTGGTATCAACAAGTCGAATATCGCGCATACGGAATGTCGATGCATCGAAAGCCCAGTCTGGTGTCAACTTTGCTCCGATACGTCGAGTGTGGTTGAAAAGGGACCTACGATCGTTGAGTGCTCTGTGCTTGGTACACACCTACTTCGCGCGATGAGGATTTCACCACTTCGCGGTGAAGAAGGTGCACTGAGGTCAGACTATCCGAAATTATATATGCGTGCCCTCGAGCTTGTTTCCATCGCTTCACGATAACTTTCAATGCCACCGACTCCAAGGTCCTTCACCAACTGAAAAGAAAAGAAAAATGCCACACGTTGCGTATGAGCTGCCACGCAGGCACTGCTCAATGTTGGTGCTCGGGGAATCAAGTAATAAAAATTAACCCATTTTAGGTAATCGCAAAGTTGACGCCTATGTCTCTGTTTCCATCGTTGCATAACGCATTCTAATGCCATTCCTAGGGTCTCCCTCGGCTTTCAAGAGAAACTATATGCTCCGAGCAATGGGGTGCCAATTCGAGAAAGATGAACATCAGTTGCAAGAGTGCCTAAAATATGCCACCAAGACACAAGGGCGCAAAGCTAAAAAAGCGTGGTAGTCAATCATTCCTTTGTTACTTATGTAATAGAGGCCTACCTACGCTGCCACAAGAGGAGCCATGAATAGGAGGGTCCTTTTCCGACAGCTCTCTTTGTCTGGCTAGATCTGCATGTCCGAACCTGTGATATGGCTTAGCTGGGGCCCTGAGGGGAAAATACTCACCGCTATCTTAGTATCTACGTGGTAGCGTGCTCTGCCAGAGCTGCTTCGGGCGTACCGTGCACAAGTCAGTTGAAAAGTAGCGGGCGCTTTATTCTGAGTGGAAGCGCACGGTAATGCTCCCTCTACGGCACGGTGCACTCCATTATTTTTTGGTTTTATTAGTCTTTTCAAGCTAGCTCGTCTAACTATTATCGAGAGTATTTGCGGCGCACGCGACTTGTTAGCAGCTGAACATAAGCTGCTCAGGTTTTCATGTTCTCGCGATCGAAGATGGGCTAGGGTTAAATATTCCATCAGGCAACAAACGGTTTGTGCTATGCATGGGTACAAAAAGGGAAGAAATGACTCCCAAGGACTGTCCACGGTTTTAGGCCCTAGGGGCGAAGGCTTTCACAATGAAGTTACGGCCATGAAGGCATAAAGTACCAAACAGGGCACCCAGAGTTTTCCCATCCTCTGAACGGCCTAAAGCACCACCGTGGTAACGACCGAAGCCATTCGAAGAATCATCAGCGTTTCAGTGCGGCTACAAGATCTAACCGATATGGAGTGCCGGAACTCATCGCGTTGGCATGCACGTTGAAGACTTGGCTTCTTCGATTGTTCGGACGTTTGAAGTCGTAGGCGTTTTTTTCCCATCTTCTGCAATAGGAGCATTTAGCCGTTGTAGCAAGACTGGTTCGCCGGATCCTTTCGTTGCATGCACGCGTCGCCAAGAGATGACCGGGGGCGATGCTCGTTGTAGATCCAGCACAGTTAAATTAACCTTTGCAGAGCAGGTGAGATACAGTGATTGGGCACGCCCCGTCAAAGACATCTCGTTTGCACCTCTAATTGAAAATACGAAGACTATGATACTGTTGACATGACATGACGTTCCCACGGTTTATGCCCCTTGATAATTACTCAGGCCATCCATCGGACGCCTTTATATTCATGGGAGTACCGCGTTTCACCAGTCCTTCGAACTGATCGACCAGTTTTGGTGGCAAGGTGGTTCTCTCAATCAATGGAGAGCCCTAGGCCCGCCCTTGATGGATTTGGAATTTCGTGCTCATTAGCTTCAATCGCTAAGAGACACTCAGAATGAGATAAAGGAGGAATATTCTTGAAGCCAGAGATCGATCACTTACACTTTGCTCTCTCCAGGAGTTGAAGGGAGTCGCATGCTGATTACTGTGAGAGGACAACTCAGAGTTTAGCTGAGCTGTTTTTTTACGGTAATCAGCATGCGGCTCCCTTCAACTCCCGGTTGGGTTCGCTCGAGCCTTCGAACCTCTTTTACCGTTCTCTGGTACAAAAGTGGCATTACTACGAATGGGAATGTGACGCAGATCTCACTGCGAGCGGTACTGACCGCTGTGAAAAGTGAAGCGTACAGAAGAAGCAGGGTTAGTAGTAGGCGTGATTACTGGGGAGCTCGCTACACTATATGTGAGGGGGGGTTAAGGACCCTGGGTTACCGTTCAATGCATTTTCAGAGGACCTTGTCATTTGTGTCATTCAATCAGGGGCTCTAAATCCACAGCACTCGCTATATACAGAGTAGCGGGATAATTGGAAAATTTGGTGTAAACGTTGGATAGTCACAGTGACATCGGTCTATATGCTATCCCAATACACAATCTGGTATTTATCAGTCTCAAACCATCTGACCAAACGAAAGAGTTTTCTGTAGGATCTGAACAGTGATGTTGCATATCCTCGTACTGATTCGGTTGTCGCATGGTTGTACGCCCTGACGCCACTTCTAAGGTCCCTTGAACAGTCAGGGGATGCTAGCTCTGTGGTCTGAGAACTGGGAAATTATGTGCCAGATTGAAAAGAGTCGGGCAGTGCTCGCGGGATACGTCATCGCTCCGAATGTTGGGTGTCTCTCAGTAGAGTCTGCCCCAGACATCATCTGGGCACTAAAGACGCACAACAGCGACAAGGAACGGACCGTCATGCGTCGCTCACTTCACGCTCGCTCGAGTCTCATGCTGAGTTCCGTGACCAATATCCGAATATGTGGGGGAATGCAGCCTAAGACTAGTCAGTGGACGCCAGGCAGATGGTCGGGTCGAATCCTGGAATGATGATATAGGCTCTTGGGGGGAGAACCTTAGAGGGAAAAATGACGCCACAATGATCATTGGAACACACGACAAGTCAAACACAGAAACTAAATGAACATGTGGCGGGGCAGGATAGAACGGGGGGAATCGAGAACAAACACAAATGTCCTATATCTTCGAGAATCAGGTCCAGTTCAGTTTGATACGATGGACAAGATAAATTCCCAGCAGTTGGGAATCATTGTCCAACTATCAATCGCCATCGTCGAACGACGATCCTTCGCCAGTTTCAATTTCGCGAAGATGTTCTTGGGCTGTCTGCAGCTGGGCCGCTGTATTGGTACCCGAGTGTTCCATATCGGTCATCAACGTCAAAATTTGGACATCCTCTTTAAGTTGGCGTAATCGTGTCTTCATCTCCTCTTGATTAGCCAAAGGGAGGCGCAGGTAATTCGCTGTTGACGGAGAGTCTTCATTAGGGAACTGAAACAATGAGTTAGTTTTCAATTCCCTGGTTCCTGGTGAACTTGAAAGTAAACTTACAGCTCTCGCTCTGTTGGAATATTCGCTCTGATCCACATCACTCCGGAAGATACCGAGGGTGATTTTCAGAGGATTTCCACTTGCCCTCACCCCACAAATTGGACAACTGATTCCTGGAACCGGACCATCGAAGCTTGTAACCGGAGGCAAGCAATGTTCACAAAAGAAATGCCCTACATGCATTTCCAAGGCAATCAAACTAACATTGATCAAGGAAGAATATGCTCACCACAAGACAGAGCGTGAGGATTTTCCAGAAGACGCAGGCACACCCGACAAAATCCGGATGGTAGAGACATCGCACAAGGTAGAACGTAAAAACCTCGTAAATGTTCGCGTCAAGGAGCTGAAGAATATAGTGTGGTGTCTGAACGAGGCTAGCTTACAATCCACTGAAGTCACAGCTTCTGCGAGGCTGAGGAGACATGCCAGTGCTGGACAGTCGAAGTTAAATGTCTTCAAAGTTGCTATGGTTTCGCGAGACGCTGCTACCGAACGGGGAAACGGGTCGGGGCAATGCTTGGCGAAACGCGACCATGCCTTTTGTTTGCAGACGCACAACCTTTGGAGGTACCATCCTACGTCGTAAGTTGATCATGCATAATAGTTCACGCATGCACCCACTACACACCCAGTGCTTCCAATCCTGAAAGGATATCACGATAAATAGTCATTTCGACGGCTACGGAATTTGTGGGGCCATGCCGACTATAAGTTATCGTCAGCTGTGAGTAATGTTAATCATTACCAGATCTGGGCTTGAAGTTGGCGTTTCTCCTTTTGATTCGCTCACTCACCCTTCTAACGCCCTCGTTGACACTGGTAACGCTGAAAACTCAGCATGGTAAAACAATAGATTGACCCCGTCTCAGTGGCAGCAGTGGAGGCATCGGGGGCCAGAGGACTCTTGAATATCTTTTGTCCTTCCGATCGCCTGTTGGTCTTGAACTAGGCGATGCCACGAACATACGCTGGCGGTACCGCGATCCCAATGGTAAGAACTATCGTACACGCGCGAGATACACAGGCGGCACGGCAAGTACAGGAGCACAGTAGTACAAGGACAGTCCGAGAAGAAAGGAAGAAGGCCAACGGGATGTGGGAAGGGCGGTTCGTGAGAATGCGGTGTTAGTGCGATCTTCCAGCCTGCTGGTGACAATTGTGAGTGATGAACAGAAGGGGGGGAGGCAATGTTGCCCTGGAGGGCTCGGTTATGATACACTTTGTTCATTTGTGCCACTCGTTGTGTCCGTGAGTTCAGGCCCGTTCGAGGTGTACAACACGCCATCCAACGCTTGAATTCTGGTATTAGTGTTTCCCATCAAAGATGCAAATTCAAGCCAAGTGTTGATGTCTGGACACGAAATTTCAGCAGTATGTATATGGGGAAGTAGTGTCAACAGTGATTCAGACATACATCCATCAGTGCCGGCGCTTTTATGCTGGATTGTGGCTAGAATTCGTCTCAACATTTCAATCTCCAGTCTCGCTTCAGCGAGTTGAAGTTGCGTCGTGCTAAGCTCGCCCTGACTGTGCTCGAGGCTGCTTCGCATCGATGAAGCTTCGGCAGCATTCCTTTGCGCAACACATCGAACTACCTGAACTTGTCGAGAGATGTCATCAATTGCAATCTCCTTCTCCCCAATGCGAGCCTGGAGGTCCTGTACTCGGTTGTCTGCCGTTTGGAGTTGAACTTGAGTGCGTTCGTATTCGGAACGAAGTGCAGCGAGGTCATTCTGAAGGTTCTTGACATGAACCAGCGCGAATAGGGGTACAGGAATGGTTGCTTCAGCCCAGGACTTTGTGTTTGTCTCTTGGGAATTAGATTCTGAACGTGTGGTGACAGCTGCTTTCGCACTTCGAGTCGGCCCTGTCAGTGATTTCTCCAACGGCTCAACGAAGAGTTTTATCGGCGGGGAATGGCCAGCTGGCTTCCTGCACATAGGACATCCCTTTGGTGGTCGTTGTCGCGAGCTGAGAGAAGAAGCGGCCCCAAGATACTGATTCAGACATTCGAAGCAGAATACATGCCCTATGATGTTCAAAGTGAGGCCAGACGCCCATTGAGGTCTCCAACGACATATGAACCTCACTCACCACAAGAAGGTAAAGCACAGGGGTTCATTAAGACGTCCGCACATATTGCGCAAGACCCAATAGGCTCGTACATATATGATTTGCCTCAGTATTGTCGGAAAAATCAGGTCCTCAAATGAAGCTGCAATCAGTCAACCAACAGACGCGTTATTCCGTAACCTCCGCAATCAAACCAAGGGCCTGAATAGGCCCGAATCGGGATGGTCTCGTAGGGGAAAGGATACTTTGGTGACAGGGAAAAGAAACGGTTGAGGAGGCAGTTGGGTCGGAGCGAAGCGCCAAGATGACTCCCGCCTGTTGCCGTTGTGTTTTGATGTCCGACAAGACTCTAATTACACGCTTTGTGCTCGTTATGTGCGTTTGGGAGAATGGCAGCTTAACATCCTCATCTACCTATTACATGGCTGCCTGACCCGGGATAGCCTCCAGAGGTTGACTTGTTTAACACTGGAGCATCTAATTCTTGTTGTCGCATCAACTCGTGCAAATTAGACCATAACGCTGCCAATGACGAAAATTCCCCTCCCACGCCTCTAACTTGGTCAAGTTTCTGGTTGAGTTTGTTCTGTTCTGTCAGAAGTTGCTCAAATCCCTGGAACGTGCGGATAAGTCAATCACGCTTCTGGCGGGGTCGGGTTCCTTACGCTACTAATCTCGGCAATCAAACGTGTTCTTTCTTTCTCAAAGAAGTCAGAGTCCTCCTCCTCGTTCGACGCCATCTTTGGTGTGATTCTGCGTTCCACTCCACGTGGTATCAATGTGGGTTGGAGGATGCTTCCGGACCAGTTTGCATCAATATGACTCGATGGAGTCCTGTGGGCGCCTGCTGGAACTGGAACTTCAACTACAGAGTACCCTTTTGATGTCACCAAGTGTTGATAGAGGTATTTTCACGGATCAAAAAATAATTGTCCTATAAACTGTGCCAGCTGCCTAGACCCGGTTGCTGATGTTGAATGACTGGCACTCGGGCACCAAACCATTCGGCCCTAAAGCTGACTTATCTGAATTGCGCTAACTTCGGCGGCGGGCACGCTAGGCCATAAGGCAAGAGTTTGGATGGAACCCCGCCCCTCTCGTTCACATGGCAGATGGCTTTCGCGTGCACCTGTGTAGTTCGTTGTAGTCTGGAGATTAATCTCGGAGCTATCCTCCTGGGAATCCCGTATGGGTTTTTCCTTCATCTGCTCAGATGAGTGTGGCTTCCATGAGGTGCATCGATTTCTAAGGATCACCCTGATTTCTGAAGGGTAACGTTGGCACTGACAATGCTGGGGGGCCTCCATTAATGCTGTGTATTACATCTGTGATTTCCTGGGTGGTATGTATGTTCTGACGGGGTCAATGAGGTTATGTGATGGAGTCGCTTGCGTCCCCCAGTGGCGAGCCTTTGCTGATCTGAAGAAAGTGGCCATGGCAGACAATTTCGCGGCATCCACCGAAATTTCTGTCGGCCGTATACAAATCCTGATGTCATCCGATCGGCGCAGATGAAAGCACCATGCGAGCATGCAATTCATTTATATTCCTGGTGCACACGATGTCCCACATTTGCAACGGTCAATGATCACTATGGAGTTTTGTCGCATCTACCAGCGGCCATCATGGTTGTAGGTCCAAAATTTTCAGTTGCAGTCCAAGGCAATGATAACTATTTTACCGATATTTACAATTGACACAGCAGGTTAAAAAACAAAAGGGTAAAAGTGACCGAACGGCTTAATTCCAACTAGCGCCATCACAAGGTTGTCTCGCGCATAATCTACCATCAGGTTTTCATTCCGAAGGAAATCCGACCTTACGGAGCGCGCATACACCTTAGAGGTTATAGTATTGATGTCAAACGGCCCCTTCATCTCCTTTTGGTCAATTCAGTTAGACAACACCCAAAGGGGATTGAATTGTTGAGCACCGAAAAAAAATAAACACCCATATCTCTGATATGCTTGGTCATCGGTATCCGCAACTGACCTGATCTGGGCTATAAGAGTAACACTTTAGGCCCACGATTTACTGGCTCACTCTTCATTGGCACGCCGCACGCACAGCACGCACACACAAACACAAAACGCTGCTTCTACTCGCTTGACATGGACTCGGATAAGCTCGTCGAATGCGAGATACACCTTGGTCCCAATCCCCTGAAACCTGTGAACGTATCGTAAGCTCAACAGTCTTCAGGATGTTATCCCTAGGCCTAATCGCATGATTTGCAATCCCAGGATCACACCCCAAAACGCCCGGGAGCACTGCAATGAAGTGCGGGTATACACACCGATGCTCCCGGTCAACGCGCCAGCTTCCCAGGCGTTATCAGTTGTCCACAGTAAGCCTGTGGACAGGCTGGTGATAGCTGAGGTGATCGTAACTACGGAATACCACGATTTTGACGGAAGCAGCTATCCACGAATAGCCACGAGGCTGGATCCGAATCACTGCGTCTGGCGATCGGGGGTGACGGAACGTTTTGGGATACCTTTCTACCCCGGATACCTGGTCTATAGATTTGGCATTGAGATTCCGGTTGGAATCCCTGTTGGTGGATGCAGTGTCAGCGCCAGAGTCAGGGTTGTGACGGAGAGATGGGATTCAACGACTGAAACATGCCAAGAACATAGTGCAACGTGGTATGATGCAGTTGAGCACGCATCCAACCGCCAACCCTCATAGCCGTTCTGGGTCCGCTCTGTGTAAATCCAAATGATACGGAACTACATCAACATCGCGCACCTCTGGTCCTTTAGCCCTTCGACCCCAATTAGCAACTTCGCCGTTGTGCATGCCCGTGGACATGCTCGAGTGAAATGATCGGCCGGTAAGTTAAACGATAAAAGATCACGGCGAAGTACTGTTGTTCGATGCAAACATGCCTAAATACACGGCGCAGCAACCTCGAATTTGGGCTTTACTCCAGCAATTATGACACAGAACAATCGTTTGGCGTTTCCTTCACAATTTAGACGCTTCTCCCGTCACTCTAACCAATCTGAAGGGGGGTCCGCCGGTCCTCAGGACACGAGCCACTTATCAATGAAGATACTCACAGCTTTCCCCTGTTCTCACCACGGAACAGCATCTGGAGATACCGTGGGCAATTCTCAAGTCCGGACTCGATGTGATACTTCCGCTTCAATTTGCCCTCCTGGATCCACTGAGCCATATCGGCCACAGCCTTTGGATAGTCGTTCGTGAAATCGAACCTATCCCCAACCATGCAATATGAATGTTAAGTCATTGGTACCGCAAATCAGCGACAACCAAAACTGACACGATGAAACCTTGGATGCTCGCTCGCATGGCCGTGAGAGTCTGGTAATTTTGCAACCCCCGTGGTTTCGACGAGTTGTACTCCGAAATGGTGCCACAGAGGACGATGCGCGCGTTCAGGTTTAGGCGGGTAAGCATGAAATCAAGGATCGATCCACCAACTATGGGAGCAGGTAGTCCATGAGACGGCGAAGATACAAATGACAGCATTCGACTAAGTCACACCGTTATCGAAGAACACATCCCTATTTGAGAATTGACATAGAGTGAGCGAGAGATGGTGTCCGGGAAATGGACCTTTTTGGCACTTACAAATAACCGACTTCCCTCTTGAACCGGCTGTGCCACCCTTGTTCGTTGTAATTATACGCCTTATCGATACCCAGGTCCTCCACTAGCCATCTGCATTTATCTTCCGCACCAGCAATGCCAATAACCTTAGCACCTATACGCAAACTAGTTGTCAATCATTGGTATTCAAGTAGCATGAGAAGGTGGGAACCTTTGATCTTGGCGATTTGACAAACCAGAGAGCCTGTGGCGCCAGCTGCTCCCGAGACTACGACGGTTTGACCAGGCTTAATCTTTCCAACGTAGAGGATACCCTAAGCTCGAACCATTTGCTTAGAAAACCGTGACGCTGAAATATTTGGCACTTACGAAGTACGCGGTCATGCCTGTCCATAGCGCCCATAGTCGATGGAATTCACATGATACATAATGGGTCAATACTTCTCAGACTCACCGATCATCCCGAGCGGGCCCAGGAAATCGACAGGATTCGCACCTGGCGGCGCTCTACGTTGATAACCACAGATAAGGCATTTCAACACAATGGAGGGGAGAAGCCCGCTCACACAACTTTTTCCAAAAACTTCTCCTTGATGGTCGAATACTCAGTCCAGCCTACGTGCCCGATTGAGGAAAATATAGTGATGGCACTGTTCCTTGCAGCCAGAAGATCACTAACCGAGATACCCCTGCACGATATCACCTTTCTTGAGCGTTTTTCCGTTCGTCAACACGGTTCCAAGTGCACCAGCGCGCTGTTTCCGCGAGAGGGAGAATGAGTGGTGCAAAAAGACATCACGATCACCCACCATTGTTTCCCCAATTTTGACTGGAGGCGTGTACCTGTCGAATCGTAGAACTACCTCAGCCACAATCACACATTGAGGGCGCCGGGTCACCATACGAGCGGACATCGCGAATCCAGCCACGCATGGCGGGATCGAGCGAAACGATATCGACGCGCACTACGACCTCATCTGGACCTGGTTGTTTAACGTAGGTTGTCTCCGAGACCTATTCCTCTTTCACCTCAATTTACACACGGCGATAGATTTGGCGGTACCGCTCACAAAGGTGTCTTTCTCGATGCCTTCTATTGGGCGTTTGGACAAGTAGACACGCTTGGTTTTCGCGGGTACGATCAGAGACATGCCGAGTACCCTCTGTTCTAGCAGCTAAACAAGATAGGAGCAGGAGCCCAACCCACAAATCCGGAGACGCATTGCCGGCCGGTGACTCCCACCTCCACATATTCAGTCTCAGGGAGTGACATGTTACATATATCACATGCAAGATGGTGAGGCCGGTGAAGTGTCGGACATTTCCTTCAGCCCCAATACTGGCCCCAAGATTACGTAAGTCGGTGGAATTAACTGTTCATATTCCCACACTTCTCATTGTTGTGCTTTTCAGTGGACAGGTGAGACCATCACGTAGCAGTGTCGGCGGAAGGTAATCAGTAGTGCTTATTTTGTCTGTAGACCTCTTGCAACAACGCAAATCACATTGTCCAACACGTCGGAACCTAAACTCCTGTTCATAGCTTGTAAGCCAAAATTCTCGTCATGCCTTCTTCTCGCCGTTTATGAGCGTTAGAGTATCCTGAACCCTTGGTATTTGTGATATTATACTCTGGCGATGGCACCACATATCCTCAAGCAACTCCGCTATATTGCTTTCGGTTCGTACTGTCTGTATGAGCATATTCGTCCTTTCCTGACGGACCCTTGGCATGCCTTGGTGTTTTTCAATCAATGGTTATCCAGGAGCTGCAACTACTTGGTACTTCAACGTTCCCAAGCACATCTCTGAGGTGTTAGATAGGGGTGTGACAACTCTCCCAGGGTGAGTGCGTCATTTTATTCCTTCACTTCGTAAGTATCGCCCGAACGCTTATCCTCGCTTTATCTAATAGAGCTTTGACTGTCACAAGTATTGCTCTGCAAATACTTGCTGTCGGAGTATTTCTTTACATCTTGGTTTATCTTCCTCGCATCAAAGGGATTCACCCTGACGTATGTGTCTCGTACGAGCACGCGGACTATGATATACTCATAAAGTTCTCCAGTACTCTCATTGGCCGCAAAATGAACTATCTACTGCGGTCCCAGTAAGCAGGGATCGTCGTTATGCTGCATCTGCATTCCTCACCAATCATACCCTATTCATATCCACTAGTGGCTAACGTTCGGGATTATTGGGGGATGGAGCTCCCTCTTCTATGCACTCTGGAGCTACACAGAACTCGTGCTCTGGAAGAGCATCGTAGCCAGTGCGTATATAGTTCTCCACTCCTCGCTTCCACATTTCAACACCTCTCGCCGTTTTCGTTCACCCATCCAGGTCTTGGGTTCTATGCTCTGACAGTGGGCATTATCGGGCTGATCCCAACTCCAACACCGCCTCCCCGACCAGAAGGTGCCGGAGAGGATGACTTGACCCCGGATGGAAATCACCCTCATCACGATTGAATTTCACTTCTGAGGTTTCTTGTTTGTGCGAAATGCCTTGATTGATCACGTCTATTGGATCTATTGGATATGAGAATACCTTACTCCCATACTATCGTGGAACTTTGGCGGGAGTATCAGCGTTTGTGCGAACACTGCATGCATCAGTATCCAGCCCTCACCGTAGCCCATGTGCGTTCGAGAACACAGATCTCTGACTCCAGGCGTAATCCAGAGAATTTGCAATCAATACAAACGTCAATCGGTTGCCAGACAGATCTGATCGGTGACGCTCCGGGACATCCCCCACTCTCAGGTTAGGGAACCCATGAGCTCGTAAGGATTGAGCACTCATAGTTCTAAGCGCATTGGATCATCGCCCTAAGACCGAACCGAATGCATTGGTGTCTAGCTATGTTCACATTTCATATTCCCGCGGGGTTCGCAGAAAGGTCACTAGCCGCATACTTGACTATGTAGGTAGTTACGGAAGAGAGAACTTGCTGTGTATGGCGACTTCACACATCACAATGTCAGCATTAATGCGTACGGCCGGGATTTGGCCAAATACTCATCTGCGGACACTAACTGGGTTACCGGAAACCTTTGAGTATAGTACTCACACATTGGAACCACTACTAGAGCTATATGGAACAGAGTAGACGGGTCCTAGATCGATGCTCGCTGGCACCATTTCGTAGATGCGCGTCCCCCTAGGTGTTGGTGGCCGGGATCGGTCAAATGCTCAGATGCAGATACTTGTGACATCTTTGAGTATTCGCATGACAATTAGAATGCCCGCTAAAAGTATAGAACGGATGTGACTCATGCCTAGCCCTCGATCGCACTCCCCTGACATTGGCTGCGGAGCATAGGTGTTGGCATTACGTTTTCGCAAGGTTGTGCCACATGTGGACGCCTATCTAGGCTCTCCGAGTCCTCAGTTATCAACTGGAAACTTCGCTGGAACTCCTAAGTGCAAGAGAAAGAGATGTATAGACAGACGCTTGATCTAGCACTACTATGGCTGCCAGCGTCGCTTTTCATTCCGTTCTCTTGAATCCTCACTCCCCTGGCGCCGCATTACCAGTGTACGTACGGGATCGGTGGAACACTCACTTGTGAACGCCTTTTTAAGTACCTAAAACTCGTCAAATCGTGAACATGCAATTTGCTCCAGGGTGCTCTAAAACGAAGAAGGAAGTGCAGAGATGTGATGATCCGAGTCAATACTGAAGCGGTTTGTCTGATAGTTTCTAAGTATAAGCGTGCACTGATGTCGATGAAATAAATGCAACTAGTGATCTTTATGGCTGAAGATCCGGCGGACCATTGAGGTTACGGATGGCCTGGAGCTACTAGGAAAGGTGTTGAACTGGCAAAAGGTCCACATGTGGACGTCTCATTCAGAGCTATGCAAAACAAGAAATTTCGAGTGACAATCTCAATACTCCATAGGAACAGTATACGAACAAGAGAAGAGAAAGTGAGTCGTATTTGCACGGTTTGGCCAAAAACTCACATGTGGACGCCTGTCTAGGCTACCTGAAACCTCCGAGTTCTCAGTCATCAACTGGAACCTCCAGTGCAACTCTAAGTGCAAGAGAAAGAGATGCATAGACAGACACTAGATCTGGCGCTACTGCCGCTCGCTAGCATCATTTCTTACCGCACTCTCAGACCTGGGTTGCATTGTCCTGGCATTAAGTTGACACTGCATATGGAGGCTGGGTTCAGTCAAATACCCACATGTGTTCGCGCGTCAATTAGAACGCCCGCTAGGAAAGAGGTGATTGGCGGACGCTACGTCTGGCACTATCTTGCCCGCATTGCACTAGGTATTTCCTGCGGTGCTTATGTTGGCATTACATATTTGCAGCGTTTGGCCAAAAACTCACATGTGGACGCCTATCTAAGCTACCTGAAACCCCCGATAACTCAGTTGTCAACTGGAACCTCCACTGGAACTCTATGTTATAAGAGAAAGAGAAGCTAGACGGACGCTGGATCGGCACCACCGCTGCTCCGAGCTGGCATCGCTTTCCACTGTGTTTGCTTGAACAGTGTACATACGCAATCGGTGAAACACTCACTTGTGGACCACTTTGTTGGTACCTAAAACTCGTCAGAATTTGAGGAGCCGGCAAGGTGCTCCCAGAGTACTCTAAAACAAAGGAAGGAGAGCAGAGGCGTGGTGATCCGAGTAATACTGAAGCGGTACTGATTTGAACAGCGATCTTTATCTCTGATGATTCAGGGTTTAAGCAAGTCTATCATGGTTGTTATCGTTCTCTAACACATCACTGACCCGAGGTTACGGATGGTCTGAAGTTATTAGGAAGGGTGTCGAAGTGGCGAAAAGTTCACATGTGGACGTCTCATTCAGAGCTACGCAAAACAAAAAATTTCAAGTCACAATCTCAATACTCCATAGGAACAGTATAGAAACAAGAGAAGAGAAGAAAGTGAGTTGCATATCATTATATTTGCACCGTTTGGCCAAAAACTCACATGTGGACGCCTGTCTAGGCTACCTGAAACCTCCGAGTTCTTTGTTATCAACTGGAACCTCCACTGGAACTCTATGTGTAAGAGAAAGGGATGTCTAAGTAAGCACCACTATTGGCTCGCTAGCATTGCTTTTCATTGCGTTTTCTTGAACCCTCACTCCTAGCATCATTAGTGCGGAATCGGTGAAACACACACATGTGGACGTCTCTTTTGGAACCTAAAACTAGTCAGATTTCGAGGAACCGGCGAGTTGCTCCAAGGGTACTCCAGAACAAGGGAAGGAGAGCAGAGGTATGGCGATCCAAGCTCTACTGATTAGTTTGAAGCAGCGATCTTACGTCTAAAGATCTGGCCTGAATTTTGGGTTTAGGCAAGTGTATCATAGCCATTCTCTAGCACATCACTGACTCAAAGTCACGGATAGTCCGGGGCTACCAGGAAGGATGGCAAAGCGACAAAAAGCCCACATGTGGACGTCTCGTTCAGAGCTATGCAATACAAGAAATTCCGAGCGACAAGCTTAACACTCGATAGGAACAGTATGAATGCAAGAGAAGAGATGGAATTAATGAAAGTGAGTAGCAAGGTTACCGATAGTTTATATGTTCATCTTATTAAGGGGTAAGCCGCAGTTTTATAAATCTAGCCAGGCTAGCGGGCACAAAATGAGACCGGATTTGAGGCAAGTTGCTAAGTTCTTGATCTCCTGGGAGGATGTCCACCTTGTCGTGGTCCAGGAGCTGCCTGATGAAGACTTCAGGACTGTGACTTGTCATGGTTCAGCAGTCGAGGGCTCCAAGAGGCATCCATTGCTCGATCTAGTGTGGTAGTTGCTTAATCTAGGGCGATAGTACGTTGCTTGTTGTTTCCGGGGCAGAGACTTCTTAAGAGTCCCCACTTGTCGCGGTTCAGTCGATCCCGACAGTGGCTCTGGGGTCAAAGCTCCGAGGGGAGGGGCTGGGGGATGTTTGTGTATCGCGTTTACAGCAAAGGCCTCCTTAGAGTCCCCACTTGTTGCGGTTCAGTTGATCCCGACAGTGGCTCTGGGGCCGAAGCTTCATGGGGATACGATCTCTTTAGAGTCCCCACTTGTTGCGGTTCAGTTGAACCCAACAGTGGCTCTGGGATCCGAAGCTCCAACGCGACTTAGAGCTAAGACTTCTTAAAGAGTCCCCACTTGGCGTGGTTCAGTTGAATCCGGCAGTGGCTCTGGGGTCGAAGCTCTAAGAGGGGGGGTGGTGGTGGGGGTATATCGCGTCAACAGCAAAAGCCTCTTAAGAGTCCCCACTTGTTGCGGTTCAGTCGATCCCAACAGTGGCTCTGGGGTCGAAGCTTCACGGGGATACGATCTCTTTAGAGTCCCCACTTGTTGCGATTCATTGGAATAATCCGACAGTGGCTCTGGGATCCGAAGCTCCAACGCGACTTAGGGTGAGAGACTTCTTAAAGAGTCCCCACTTGCTGCGGTTCAGTTGAACCCGGCAGTGGCTCTGGGGTCGGAGCTCTAAGAGAGGGGGGGGGGAGAGGAGATGTATCGCGTCCACAGCCAAAGCCTCCTAAGAGTCTCCACATGTTGCGGTTCAGTCGATCCCGACAGTGGCTCTGGGGCCAAAGCTTCACGGGGGTACGATCTCTTTAGAGTCCCCACTTGTTGCGATTCATTGGAATAATCCGACAGTGGCTCTGGGATCCGAAACTCCAACGCGCCTTAGGGTGAAATGACTTCTTAAAGAGTCCCCACTTGCTGCGGTTCAGTTGAACCCGGCAGTGGCTCTGGGGTCAAAGCTCTAAGAGGGGGGAGAAGGGGGAGAGGGGGTTAGTTGCTTGCTTGATCTATGGTGGTCGTTTGTTGGTGACGTTCCCCTGGGAGGATGTCCACCTTGTCGTGGTCCAGGGGCTACCTGATGAAGACTTCAGAGCTGTGACTTGTCATAGTTCAGCAGTCGAGGGCTCCAAGAGGCATCCAATCCTTAGTCTTAGTGATGGTTATTTATGGAGATGGTAGCGACGGGACAGAGTTTTCTTCTATGTTCCCAGGACTCAAGAAAAACAAGGGGGGACGTAAGCGGCGAGTGCGGCGTAGGGTTAGCTTAAATAGAACTATTGTTGGGGCTGTTTCACAAAATCCATCCTGATACCAATTGCCATTGACACGGGCGCTCACGTTCGTTGATTGCAGATTTAGATAATCCGATATATGTGGTGTAGTGTATGTATCGCTCCAATGTTATACACATGCCACCCCCGAAAGAGGCATGTGTAGTTCGCTGTCAAGAGCAAGCATTTTGCCAACGAGAGTACAGCAAGACAAGGCTAGCCAACGTTCGTTTAGAGTAGAATATATCAAATCTTGGTGCAGTTGTCTATGTATACAGAAGGCAGAGCAATTCTCCATGTCTTCCAGGTGGCATCAATGCAAGAAAGCGTACTGAGGACACACAACCAGAGCAGAGGGACGACGGAGTCGGCTGGTAACCACGGGTGGTAGGTAGGTGCACATTCGGCTGATTGGTATATTGGGTCGTTCCTTCTTAGGCCCCAGTCCAGCATGATACAGTAGGTATCCGAACCGTGTGCAGTCAGGTCGTAAGAGACACCGGTAGCATTCGCAGTTTCTTCGCAGTTTCTCTGATATCTGCGTTGCTTTTCAGCACCGGAAGCGGCGTCGTTGTAACAAACAAGCCACATAGTGGTAAGTAAAAAAAAAAAAAAAGATCGCGAGGCCCTTTACACGTGCAGCTGGAGGATATACTAGTAAGTGCACTTTAGATGGTGTGGCGCTGTCGAACGACTTGCATATAGCCGTGGGAATAAATAAAATTGGTGTTGCGTAAACTTATCTTTCCCGGTTCTCACTAGGACAAGCCAGTCCTACTTGTAGTACAATATAGCGAAAAAAAGCTTCCCAAGCTAATGTAGGTATCATGCGCAAAAGTTGCAACCCCATATTTACGTAATATTTTTGAGACGCACTTCAATTTTGGGCTAGTAGCTGGCTTGGCTATACACGAATGAGGGGACGTTCAGATATCTTCATTTCATTTACCATACCTCCTACTTGCGCAGCGCAACAAGGAAAAGAGGAAAAGGGAAAAAAAAACTAGCGCTGACCAGTCGTCAACCCAGCCTGTACGGTAGGCCGTGACTGAATACGACCTAGCCATTCCTAGGGGGATTCGAGGTTTTGAATTAAGTTTGGGAGTCTCTTCCTCTTGTCTGTGATGGATCCGACTTACAGCGACATGAGGCCACTTTTTCAAATCGCCTTGTGGAAGACCTCCAAACGCGAACATCCCACGAACCCTAAAGAGGACAGATTCAGTCATTAGCTGCAACAGATCGTCGATGATTAGGAGAAACCCCCGCCCACTCACAAGGGGAAAAGACTAATATCAGCAACGCTAAACGTTCCCTTCCCATCACCAACAAGATACTCCCTCCCACCCTCTTCTTCCAACCTCTGATTAATAACACCAATCACCCTCGCCGCTTCTTTACCAACCCTCTCACTAGCATGAGGAACTTTTACATCCAACCAATTATAATGGACAGCTTCCATGAAGGTTGGGGTGAGATTACCAGGACCCCAAAAGAGCCATGAAAGTTGTTCGCCGTAATGAGGTGAAGACGTAGAGAAACTTAGTTTGTGGTCGGGGTCGAAGGAGGTGGTGATGTATGATAAGATGGCGGAAGATTCGAAGATCCGGGCGGTATGACCGGAAGGGAGCGTATGTAGAAGAGCGGGAATTTTGTTGTTCTATAAGTATATATACCGAGCAGATTGGGTGAGTGGGTAGTTGTAGCCAGTCTAGGAAGGCTCTTATTCAAGACGTACGGGGTTGACCTTTGAGAATTCAGCACTGAAGTGCTCCTTCTTCCGACTTTCGATCGTCTTCAGAGAGTAATCGAATTCTTTCCCATAAGCATTACGAAGTTCCTCAAAGAGGATAGCGGCTTTATGACCGTTGGGCGACCCTCCTCCAACGAAAAGGTATAGTTCCTAAATGGCCAAAAAGATGAGTCCAAGGGTCATGGCCGGTTAGCATGGAAAAGTGGAGGGATGAGGTGTGCGGGAAAAGCTTGAGCGCCTGCCGTGTGATGGAACCGAGACGGAGTGCATTAACACCGTCCAAACCAGCAGAAAAGGGCAGCTGACTGGCATAAGCACGTATCGGCGATCATTAAAGAGCCGATGGTCTTAATAAATGACACGCTCACGCCCGTCGACCTCGGGTAGAGACATACCGAACGCGAATGGCGCAATATTTCCACATGCAACTCCACATCTTTGGGAAGACAAAAACAGGAGACTCGGGTATAATAAACTCACCAAGGCTTTCTTTCCTTCAGGCGTAACGATAGGAGGCATTCCAACGCTGGTAGTACTAGTCGCCATTTTCCTGAAACTGACGCAGTTGTTGAGGGTGGGAAGAGCAAGACAGAGGAGTGTTCGAGCGGTGGTTTGACCAAAAACCATTGTTTAAGTAATGAAGGAGCAAATTCTATATTTATTTCTACCACATCTCTTCAGATCCACAGGTTGCACAGGCAACGGAGCAAAGTGATTATGTAAGAACAGGGAACCAATGTTGATCACGGCCCTTGTGTTCTTGAGTGTGCAGCGATAATGGAATGTATTGGGCGCTGAGGCGATGACAAGCAATTAGTCATCCATGAATAATCCTCGGATCTTGGAAGAAAGGGATTTCCCAACCAAAGTAGGGTTCCGTCAAGTCGGAGCCAAGTCAGCAAAGCAGCCAAGCAGTGTACAAAGCAGTACTTGTGCAATGGTGTCTCATTCGGTACTGAATCGTAGCGTGGGAAAACCATCAAATTCCTAGGCGCTTGGATCAAGTCCGAATTCAAAATCAGGGCGCCAACCTTACTTACCCTGACTGCGATGAATAAGGATCGCAATTGCAACAGCAAGCCACGTAAGCGCACCTGCATAGGCGCACACGTATGCAAACCACCAGTGGCTCACCAGTCACCCGCCCTCCAATCCACAAACGCCCCATTCCCTTTCATCTGATCGATGAGGCGTCTCCCGCCGTGAATACTTAGTCCCTTGTTTTCATCATTTCCCCAACGTATGGTTCGGAAAGATCTATACCTCTTCACTGTTCCTGGATGGTAAGAAAATGCTCTGGAAGATAGATCAAGGATGATGAGAAACAGGGTACGAATAATCTGCTTGTAAGAGTACCACCTAGTATGATCATATTGTCGATCCCGGCACTACGTGCGTGAGTTGGCATTTTGCTCGACGTACCCTCCAACTCGGTTATCAATCGTACTCCCATGCAATTCGCTGTAATAGATACGAAAATGGACTCATCCATCGGCAAAATGCCATTCGATGCGTCTTTCACGATCCTATCCCCCCGTCCAGGTTCCCTCTTCCGGAAGGAGGAGCCAAATCCCAAGAAACACCAACAAATGTCCAAAACATATTCACTTGAAAACTACACAGAGTCTCTAGCTTTGTACTTGACTTCCGCTAATGACCCCGCGCGGATAGTTTGTTTTCTTGGACAAAATTAAAAACAGCAACATTCGCAATGAACGAACCGTTCCAGAAACATTCACCAAATCCCCCCCCCCCTTCCTCAACTTAATCTTAAAGTTACACCTCCACCTCCCTCTTGTCTTCTTCCCGTGGCTGTGGTGACCTTTCTTCACTACCAAGTATTGCTTTGGACGCATTTCCAGAAGCCAGAAGTAGTGGTGGCCACCACATTATATAGGCCGGACGGGTATCTCGGAGGAGTAGACGTACGACGGGGGCGTCCTAGGGCTTTGGACGATCCTCGGTTGAGAGCGCAATTAAGGTCAACCTACCATCAATTTGAATTTTCTCGCGCTCGTGTTGTTGCGCGATAAGAGTAGTGTTCACGTCTCGTTGGAGAATACCTTCAAGATCGAGGAAATGCAAGCTGGTTCTATTTTGAGAAGTGACGTGTCCCACTGATGTCAATGACGTAGCAATCTCATTTAGCTAAAACTCAAATTCTCCATCCGAAATCAAATCGCAGTTGCCTCAGCTTCCTCAGCAGCCTCCTCTTTAAACTGGTATTCTAATTTCCTACTTTTGTAACGGTAGCAGTGGCACACTCAACCCCAACTGGACCGCTGGCCTTTCCCCTATCCGATCTAACCACCCTTTGAAGTGAGGGTACGATTCTATCGTCTCCGAATCTATACCTGCGTAGGACCATTTCCTGCACCTGTGAAAGAGAGGGTATGTTAATTCACCGGAGTAGGGGGGGAGGAAAGGAAGAACTAAGATATTGGATGGAGAGAACATACCAAGTCCAGGCGCTAATATCCGCAATGCTGTACCTCCCCCTCCCGGATCCAACAAGATAATCCCTCCCTTCACCTTCTTTCAATCTATCGTCCAGTACGGTAAAGAGACGTTTAGTCTCATTTGTATATCCTGCTCCCAAGGGATATGGTCGGTTGGTGCGGTTACCGGGAGGTTAATAAAATAAGAGAACAAGTTAGTTTGTGGCCTAGTTAGACGGCGAGGGGGAGGGGTGGAAGACTTACGGTTTATGGCGTAGGGGATTTTTTCAGGTGCATATCTCGTAAAGTGAATCGCTTGACCTATATTTGTGGTAGTACAATCATCGATCATCCAGTCATAATGCATCTTCAAAAAGACGGACATACCCTGCATGGGCCCAATACCACCATGCTAATACCACCCAGGTGAAATGAGAATCGTGTCAGCAGGTCAATCCCCACACACGACCCTTCAACAACTTACTATAAAGAAAATCCATTGTAAACATTCGCTTTCTTCCTCCGAACCTTCCAGAAAGCTGATTTTTCTCTCCTTATCGAAGTGCTTAACTAGGTAGAGCAATATGGCACTACTTTCGAAGACGTTGAAGTGCGACATCTTCCCGCCTGGGTGATGGTGTGTCAAGGCGGGAATTCGACCGTTAGGGTTGATCTTGGGAGGTGGGAGGTGGTGTGAGAATGTGGAGGATGAGATGTCAGAAAGGGAAGCGTACTTTTAAAAACCAAGGTTGTTTTTGTTCAAGGATGGAAAAGTCGAGTGTCTGCAGAAGAGAAATTGAGCCTCAACTAGAAGGGGAGAGATCGACTCGATAATGGACTGACCTTGTATCCATATGAGATCCGGACATCAGGATAGGCGGCTTTCAACTCCTCTAACGGATGTAATGGGAGAGAACGAAGGATTAGTTGTTACACTTGGCTCTAGATCCTGCGGCAAGGCATGTCGCACCCAGTGTGACGGAAACTTTATAGCCGTTAGGTGATGGCGCGGTATAGAGTGTAAATGTAGCTTTAGCCTCAGACGACATCAGACGCATATGCGTCGAAATGGTGGCAGTAACAGAAGCACCGGTGGAGCGAGTGGCGGACGGAGAGGAAGTAAAGCCAAACAGACTCTGACATATGACCGGTGTCCAAGCTTGAGCTCGAGCCCTCGACAACAACGAAGCTCCATATAGCATCCTGCAACCACGAATGCAATAGCGTGACATGGTAATTCTGTAAGCCGTGGTTGGAGCTCGAATGTCCAACTTGGGGTCTGAATGCTCCCACTAGAGATTATTGCATAGAGGGTCATTGTCGGGTACTTATAAGTCCATGGAGTGAATAATGAATCTGAGAGATTAAATATGGGAAGTGATGGGATGGGTGTGGGTTGGAAGGGAGGGATTCACCGAGGGCTCATTTATCGCTTAGCTAGTACCTGCTCTTTGGATCAATCGGAGCGCATAATTTGATCTACCACGCTCGGCATTATGTCCTGTACTTGGTATTAGTCCCGGGACGTGCGGTAGATCGGCTGTCTTTCCCTGGGGTGCTGATGTGAGGCATGTCAGCGAGTAGCCATAACGGCTCAAATGCGTGATTTTTGAAATTTCGAGGACCTGGATGAACCAATGATATTGATGGTTCTCCCACTGCTATTGTTGGAGAGCTCTAGTGCGACGCACGAAGATTCGAATTTGAGATATCGGGAAGGCACACGACTGGTATCACAGCCAGGGGAAATTGCAGCTTCGTCAGGGTACTGCCTCAGAATCAATGATGTATGTAGTGTTGCCAGTTGAAATTGAGGACGTCAAAACAGATGCCCCGTGCGTATCGAGACGTCGAGCACTTTAGACCATCCTGCAATCCCGAAAGTCGGAGAGGGTCGGAAAGAGTCGGAGAGAGTCGAGTTTTTGCTTGGTGCTTCTTGCGGGGTGGGTCATTAGAACAATGTTCCAAGTGAACCACGCACCCGGCTCAAAATGAATTCCCGTCCAACACCTTCCTCCAACGAAAAGGTCGAAAATTCATCGCCCACAGACCTTCAGCAAGGAGCAGAGCTCCATACCAACTTTTCACGTCCATATACATCACCACGTTGCTGACAACGGGGAGTTTAGTTGAGGAAGAGAAGGTCGCACCGTCGTATCTATCTATTCTCGACTTGATGCAAGACGCCCTCCACCGCATCATGGACATGCAAGATTTGGTGAGAATGTCTAGGAGAATGTCTTCTCGGTACGATTCATATCCATACGCCAGAACAGAAAGCTGTGTAAGATATGAGAATTAAGCCTCATCGATTATAGGCTAGCGGGATGAAGGTAGCCCTTTCACGATTCTCAGTCGTAGATTCCTGGCGAGAGTACCCAGATGACCTTTTAGTTAGACATTATATAGCAGTGGGCGAATCGGAGTGTGAGTCCAGAAAGATTGGAACTGCGTGCGAACGCAAATAGGAGCCAAGGCTGCAACTACATAGTACAGTTATCTTCTATTAGGTCGTGATATGAGCTATTCCGTATTGAAAAGCGAGGAAATAGAAACAACGTCTCCGCGGAAGCCAAGAAAAGAAGAGACATCGCTTCGATTCCATTTTCCCGCGGAGTATCATCATAAATTTCGCACAGACAATCTGATGGCAATAAAGACATCCATTCGGGGAGCTGCCATGCGACCACTGGAGAATAAGCTAGGGTCGATGGTGTGGATAATCTTTACAAGACTCCAGACCCATTGAGCGTGCGGCCGCAGTAATGAACACGGCTAATTCCGGAAAAACATCTTTTCACATTAAATGAACATGTTTTGCGCGAGAACGAATCAAGCTTGCTAATCGATGAACTCATGATGAAATGAGAAATGGACATTGCGCTTTCAACTTGACTATTTGAATTCATTGGTTAACGGAAGTGACTTACCTCGATGAATATTTGCAAGTTTTTTCCTTGGCTTACAAGGCGTTTGGATCTGAACTAGCCCAAAATCGAAGTACGTCTCAAAAAATTATGTAAATATGCTCGACTCTCAACTTTCACGCATGATGTCGATGTCTGCATGCTCGGGAAGCTTTCATGAGCTTAGAGCAGCAGGAGAGGAAAAGCGGCAACGAATTTAATTTATTCCCACGGCTACAAGCGTTCGACATCACTAACAATATCCTAAAACCATGGGCAAAAACAATAGACGACTTAGAAGGAAGAGTAAAGATAGAAATACCAACCAACGAACCAGGAGAATCAGCCAAAAAGACCTGGGCGAAGGAACACAAGAACGGATTAAAAAAATGGAAACGCGATGAGTCCCACATCCTACTATACACCGATGGCTCACTTGCGCACGACCAGGGCATCCGAAAAACGGGATACGGGTTTGCAGCCTACCAAAAGGCGCGTGTCATATTCGAAGGGAAGGGGGGAACAGGACCTAGAGCAGAGGTGTATGATGCGGAAATGGAGGGACTAGCGCAAGGATCAGCTAACCTCAAGATCTGGCTCGACGAGCACTACCAAAAAGGAGACAAACTCACCCTCTCAATCTTCTCCGATAACACTGGAGCACTCCAGCGCATAATGGCCACGTCCCCAGGACTGGACATCCAACAATCACTCCGATTCCGCAACACCATCTCCCTCCTTCTTTCAGAACGCCCCCTCTGCGACGTAATTATAAAGTGGGTCCCAGGACACGAAGATATCAAAGGGAACGAACGGGCAGACACCCTAGCCAAAGAAGGCTCCAACCTGCCGTCCGAATACCCGTACAGTACCTCAGCGGCATTCATGAGAAACCTAAACAAACGCCAATATAAGGACGAATGGATCTCTCGCTGGAACACTGACCCTATACAACAAAAGCCATCAGAATACCGAAGCTGTAACCGCATAGAACCGCAACTGCGACCAACAAAGCGGTTCAAGTCCCACTCCCGCAAATCCTTCAGCCGCCTAGTACAGCTTCGCACCGGCCATGCGTTCATCGGACAATTCTACAAACGCTTCCTACCAGAAGAGAACCCCAGTTGCACATGCGGAGAACCCGTAGAAACGAGAGAACACATACTTCTCGAATGTCCCAAGCACGAACACCACCGAAACTTGCTCCCAGACGATGAAGGTGAACTGATCCTTGCCGACCTCCTGGTGGACGAGAAAGGAATAGAGAGGGTAGCGGGATTTCTGTCAGCGAGTGGAGCATACGAGAAAGAGAGAAGGACAGAATAGACACACCCCGAGATATGACACCGCTGGAAGGCGGAACCCATCCCATTTTCGAAACCGACACCTAAAAACGGTCAACCCAACACGACAACTCAAAAGTGGAGCAGCATTTGGGCAACGCCTTATCAGAGAGATTAAGGACACCCGAATCGGACTTATTTCTTTATTTTCTCACCTTATTTTTGTGTATTTATCTCGACCCCTGCCCTTGGCGCTCTCACGAGCAGCCTACAGTTTGCAGGTTAAATATCCAGAATAAACAACAACAACAACAATATCCTAAACTCCAGTGCATCTAGAGAGCCCCTCGCTTACTTATATCCTCCAGCTGCATGTGTACAACCTTTCTACGTACCAAGGACTTTTCTGTGGCTCGTTTGTTCAACGACACGGTGCTGAAAAGTAAGGGCAGAGAAACGCAAAGAAGTTGTGAATGCTGCTGGTGTCTCCTGCGAGCTGATTACACAGTTCAAATACTTCTTGTATCATGCTGGGCCGGGGCCTAAGAAGAAACGAACATTAACCCCATGTACATACATCTACCACCCTTGGTTACCAGCCGACTCCGTCGCCCCTCTACACTTTCTTGCACTGATGCACCTGGAAAATCGCTCTATCTTCTATATATATATGGATATGTGCACCGAGACTCACCGTTTGCGTCTCTTGAGTTGGGGCAACATAGAAGATAACTCTGTCCCGTCGCTGCCATCTCCATCACTGAGACTAAGATTGGATGCCTCTTGGAGCCCTCGACTGCTGAACTATGACAAGTCACAGTCCTGAAGTCTTCGTCAGGCAGCCCCTGGACCACGACAAGGTGGACATCCTCCCAGGGGAACGTCACCAACAAACAACCGCTGTAGATCAAGCAAGCAATTTCCCCCACTCCCCCTCCCCCCTCTTAGAGCTTTGACCCCAGAGCCACTGCCGGGTTCAACTGAACCGCAGCAAGTGGGGACTCTTTAAGAAGTCTTTCACCCTAAGGCGCGTTGGAGTTTCGGATCCCAGAGCCACTGTCGGATTATTCCAATGAATCGCAACAAGTGGGGACTCTAAAGAGATCGTATCCCCGTGAAGCTTTGGCCCCAGAGCCACTGTCGGGATCGACTGAACCGCAACATGTGGAGACTCTTAGGAGGCTTTTGCTGTGGACGCGATACATCTCCTCTCCCCCCCTCTCTCTTAGAGCTCCGACCCCAGAGCCACTGCCGGGTTCAACTGAACCGCAGCAAGTGGGGACTCTTTAAGAAGTCTTTCACCCTAAGTCGCGTTGGAGTTTCGGATCCCAGAGCCACTGTCGGATTATTCCAATGAATCGCAACAAGTGGGGACTCTAAAGAAATCGTATCCCCGTGAAGCTTCGACCCCAAAGCCACTGTCGGGATCGACTGAACCGCAACAAGTGGGGACTCTTAAGAGGCTTTTGCTGTGGACGCGATATACCCCCACCCCCACCCCCCCTCTTAGAGCTTCGACCCCAGAGCCACTGCCGGGTTCAACTGAACCACGCCAAGTGGGGACTCTTTAAGAAGTCTTCCCCCTAAGTCGCGTTGGAGCTTCGGATCCCAGAGCCACTGTTGGGTTCAACTGAACCGCAACAAGTGGGGACTCTAAAGAGATCGTATCCCCGTGAAGCTTCGGCCCCAGAGCCACTGTCGGGATCAACTGAACCGCAACAAGTGGGGACTCTAAGGAGGCCTTTGCTGTAAACGCGATACACAAACATCCCCTCGCCCCTCCCCTCGGAGCTTTGACCCCAGAGCCACTGTCGGGTTCGACTGAACCGCGGCAAGTGGGGACTCTTAAGAAGTCTCTGCCCCGGAAACAACAAGCAACTATCGCCCTAGATTAAGCAACTACCACACTAGATCGAGCAATGGATGCCTCTTGGAGCCCTCGACTGCTGAACCATGACAAGTCACAGTCCTGAAGTCTTCATCAGGCAGCTCCCGGACCACGACAAGGTGGACATCCTCCCAGGAGATCAAGAACTCAGCAACTTACCTCGAATCCAGTCCCATTTTGTGCTCGCTAGCCTGGCTAGATCTATAAAACTGCAGCTGTGATAGCCTTGCGGCCTACCCCTTAATAAGATCAACTTATAGACCGCCTTGCTACTCACTTTCATTAATTCCTTCTCTTCTCTTGCATTCATACTGTTCCTATCGAATGTTAAGATTGCCACTCGGAATTTCTTGTATTGCATAGCTCTGAACGAGACGTCCACATGTGGGCTTTTTGTCGCTTCGGCGTCCTTCCGGGTCAGTGATGTGCTAGAGAATAACTTGCCTAAACCCAAAATTCAGGCCAGATCTTCAGACGTAAGATCGCTGCTTCAAATTAATCAGTAGAGCTTGGATCGCCATACCTCTGCTCTCCTTGTTCTGGAGTACCCTTGGGACAACTTGCCGGTTCCTCGAGATCTGACTAGTTTTAAGTTCCAAAAGAGACGTCCACATGTGTGTGTTTCACCGATTCCGTACTAATGATGCTAGGTGTGAGGATTCAAGAAAACACAATGAAAAGCGATGCTAGCGAGCCAACAGTAGTGCTTACTTAGACTCCGTCTATCATCCCTTTCTCTTACACATAGAGTTCCAGTGGAGGTTCCAGTTGATAACAAAGTACTCGGAGGTTTCAGGTAGCCTAGACAGGCGTCCACATGTGGGTTTTTGGCCAAACGGTGCAAATATAATGATATGCAACTCACTTTCTTCTCTTCTCTTGTTTCTATACTGTTCCAATGGAGTATTGAGGTTGTCACTCGAAATTTTTTGTTTTCCATCGCTCTGAATGAGACGTCCACATGTGAACTTTTTGCCACTTCGACACCCTTCCTACCTTCCTAATAACTTCAGGCCATCCGTAACCTCGGGTCAACGATGTGTTAGAAAATGATAACAACCATGATAGACTTGCCTAAACCCCGGATCATCAGACATATAAAGATCGCTGCTCAAATCAGTATCGCTTCATTATTTCTCGGATCGCCTGCTCCTCAAGATCTGACTAGTTCTAGGTACCAACAAAGACGTCCACAAGTGAGTGTTTCACCGATTGCGTATGTACACTGGTGTGAGGGTTTAAGAAAACACAGTGGAAAGCGATGCCAGCGAGCAACGGTGGTGCCGATCCAGCGTCTGTCTATGTTCGCTTTCTTTACCACATAGAGTTCCAGTGGAGGTTCCAGTTGATAACTGAGTTATCGGGGGTTTCAGGCAGCTAAGATAGGCGTCCACATGTGAGTTTTTGGCCAAATGCTGCAAATATGTAATGCCAACACATAAGCACTGCAGCAAATACCAAGGCGAGCGCAGATTCGAGGAGTGCAATGCGGGCAAGCTAGTGCCAGACATAGCATCCGTCAATCACCTCCTTCTCTCAGCGGGCGTTCTAATTGACGCCCGAACGCATGTCAGTTATTTGACCGAACCCGGCCATACGCAGTGTCAACAATGCCAGGAGAATGCAGGTCTGAGAGTGCGATAAGAAATGATGCTTGCGAGCCACTGTAGCGCCAGATCTAGTGTCTGTCTATGCATCTCTTTCTCTTGTACTTAGAGTTCCAGTGGAGGTTCCAGTTGATAACTGAGAACTCGGAGGTTTCAGGTAGCCTAGACAGGCGTCCACATGTGAGTTTTTGGCCAAACCCTGCAAATATAACGCCATGCAACTCGCTTTTATTATTCCTTCTCTTCTCTTGATCGTATACTGTTCCTATTGGGTATTAATATTGTCACTCAGTCCTGTTCTGGAGGAAGAGTCATAAGCAGGGAATGGCTTCATTCGGGGAATTACTATACGACAGAATCCACTTTGGCACCGGCCAGCGCTGCTTAGGGTATGTCTGTTGACCTACGGTCCCACTCGATCTCTACACGGCTTGAACCGTATTGTCCAATCACACCCTCGGGCTCTTGGCTACGCTTCCTGATTCATTGCGTTGCTGCACCACAAACTGCCATGAATCTCAGCCACGATGGCACACATTCTCATCCTGCCCATCCGCATCTGTACACAGGGCTGTTTTCTCTTTCGGACCGATGGCGATTGCCCAAGTGGACGCTCAGGCTCGATGTACAACAACAGTTGTTTCTTCTGCTTTATACCGACTGAACCTGAGCTTTCCTCTCTTTCTCGCTTCATTTGTTCTCGATCGTTTCTTGGGTCTGACTTTAACGCCCTTGAAGCCGGGATTGAGCCTAACCCCACTCCCATTTGGTATCGGAGAAAGCAGTTAATACATGGTCGATGTACTTCAGAGTTTGCGGAGAGTATATAAACCTTCTGGCACACATTGGGCCATCAAGATGCCGCACAGAGGTTTGCGATCTGTACATAAAAAGGAGGCCAAGAATACAACTCAGTACTTCGCCCGTCAACTCTACCCACCGGGACTACGACGGTTCGGGCCCCCAGTTCTCTATTTCTTTCCATACCGTAATCCCGCTTCGCAATGCTATTTCCATTGGTTATCCCACCCGGATACTGGGCGCCTAATATATACAATGAGTCTCCGTAACCCTATCCGCCGCAGATCATCATTGACAGTAGAGTTCAGGATGAGATTCCGGTCCTAGGAAGAACCCCCTCCCTCGGCTAGGCTTCCAACTTGGGGGTGTTCGTGTTTCTGTTTTTGTGGCCATATTTTAAAGTTCGAAACTCTGTCCTTTTCTAGGTTCAACTTGATGATGACGCTTCTGGGCCCTGGACTGGAATAAACCCCCACGTTTCATTGAGATTCCTAGGTCGGCGACTGCTCATTGCGCGTCGACACAAACCATTTGCGTCTGTGGCGGGAGGATGTCGTGTGTGTGTAAAGTTGGACGATCTCACCCCACTATTATCGGATCGAGTTCACCCCTGAGACACTGAATACGGCTCTGACTGCGGCTTGAACAGCCGTAAGCGAGGATTGCGCAAACTACACTCGAGCCCGACCTCTGATACCCATTCGGAACGTCTTCATGAAGCTATCGGGTGAAAGGTTCTTATACATTGAATCATACAACTACAAAGTTGTGATTATGTCGTTCTCCCTGTCCTCATACCAATATACGGCCTCACCACCCGTGCACCAGCAGTACAATTACAGAAGCCATCACTCCCCGGGGTCTACTCACTTGGTCAGAATAACACCATTTCCCCTCAAGATCCACTCTGAACCCTGCCTAGCTGCTTCCTCCTGTTGTTCCTTCGTCAATTGACTCGCAGCAGGACCTTTCTCAGGCACGTTAAGACCCGCCTGAACACCTGGACTTTTAGCAATTCTATCGAGCCATTTCTGTCGATGGACCCGTTAGTCGTGTAGGGATGAAGAAAGAAACGCGAGACATACGGCAAGGTTAGGGAAATCATCGAGGCTGTCGAGGCCCGTCCATGCCCAACCGTTGATCCTATTCCAATGTTCGACAAATAATTAACACTATAAGATGACGATGACAAACGTACCAAGGCCAAACATTGATATCAGCAATAGAATACCTCCCCTTCCCAGATCCGACTAGATAGTCTCGCCCTTCACCTTGGGTCAACCTGGCCTCGAGGACGCTATAGAGACGTTTCGTTTCGGTCATGTAACCTGGTGGATTAAAGAGATTACGGGAATGGTAGCTTGTTTCCTTGCACGAAGGCGAAAGAGAGTGAGGGAGGTATACCTACGGTTTATGCCATAGGGGATTTTTTCAGGTGCGTAGCGGTAGAAGTGATTCGCTTGTCCTGTTATCGAGCCAGAGAATGTAATTATAACGGAATCTTGACAATTTCCAGACTTGGCGAACCTGACATCGGACCAACACCACCATGCTATATAAACAAACCCAAGAAGTTGCGTCAGACTATGGTATCAATGCTCTCAGGCCGCGGACGAGACGACCGAAGTCCCCCAACACCATATCCGGAAAAACTCACAGAAAAAAATATCCACTGAAGAGCTTCGGATTCCTCATCTGATCCCACCTCAAAACTGATCTTTCTCTCTGGATCCCATCGCTGAACGAGATAAAGAAGTATGGCGGCTGATTCGAAAACGTTAAACTGCGTTCCATCTGGGCGGTGGTGGGTCACTGCCGGAATTCGACCATTCGGGTTTATTTGAAGGAACCATGGTTCTTTCTGTTCCAGTTTGCTGAAGTCCAGTTTCTAAATGGCGGGGATATGAGAAGTGGGGATACAATGAGTGCCCGTGACTGGAACGTGAACTCTGCATACTTTAAAATCGTAGCTTAGTCCTCCATCGGGATACAATTCTTTGAGGGCCTCTGTGAGATATAAGGCAAAACGGCAAATTAGCGCTCGCAATCGCCACGCAGGCTAGCCTATACGCACCAAGAGTTATGGAGACTTTGTGGCCATTAGGGCTCGGAGCAGTATAAAGGGTCAAAGTAGGCGTCGACATGATCGAGCGAGTAGACAAGAGCCTAGCGAATGCGATTCGGAGGGGCAGGTCGAATGGAGGAGCACGTATAGCAAGCAATGAAGGGCCATTTATATAGCAGAAATGGAAATGCAATTTTGTCCACCATGTGGAGGTATCGTGCTTGACATTAATGGGTCCCTTAGGCTGCCGGGTTTGGACACTGCTTGGTAAGATCAACTTGAAAGGTGAGCCGAGCTAAAACCCATTCCAGAAATCATGCACACGTAGTCTCAGGCAGCAGTCAACTCCCCTAGGCACACTAGTGAGGGGATAACTGGTTATGGGTGAATCTTAATTAATACTCAGGTGGATTCGTAAGGCATGAAGAAATGAATAATATTTGTGTGGGAGAATGACTAAGCGTATTACAGGAGCAGTCCGCTCCCAAGGGCCTTCAAGGTCAGATTGCTTTCTCCGTGCGCCTGGGCTCAGTGATCACTAGGTTGTAGAGGGGTCCGCCGAGTTCGGGTTGTTGTACTCTATTTTGTTACCCCGCGGTACGTGGGAGTTGCGGCTATCTAGCTAGCTCGGTACAACTGAATCTACATAAGGGGTGTGGTTTGTGCTCCTCTGCGTGCTCCGGGTCGGTCGCGTTCTCCTCCCTCGCCGAGTCAGATCGCTTGCCATTGACATCACCACAACCCACATTCGAATGCGATTGCGACAATGCGACAGGCACTGGCATGTGCCCCTTGATAGTGTCGTTCATTATGTCACTTATGTACTGGACTATCGCCAAGTCAATTCAAAGTTATGCTCCTGGCGATACACTGGATGACCAATTTCATTTTTCCGTTGCACCGACATCCAAATCTCAATATTGGCATTACGCATGATGGTATGCAGAAAAAGAAAGAGTACAACAGCAACGAGCGATGGGAATGAAAATATTCAGATAAAGAAATGAGTATCGCAGATGTTAAAATTTTAGGATGCGATATGGTGATTTGCGATGGCGGTAGTGAACTCTAGCTATAAATATTGTTTCAATCAAAAATTGAGGATAAATTTGTTATTGTTCTCGGACTATCCAATTCAGGCCGCAAACTGGGAATCACTGTGCCTGGGTCGCTCGAACGTGGACCATGGGTGCTTCGGAGTGATGTCCGAGATCGAAAAGAGCATTACGCAGAGAGAAATGCCGACTTCAATTGAGGCCGACGTCGGTGGGGTTGCCTGTCATACCTTGACATCGCCACAAGTCGATTGGTATCCTCAGACTTCCCACTCTTGTATTCGGATAGAGTTGATGTGCAGTTGCTTGTCGAGATAATAGCGTCAAATCGAAGTTTGTTCTTACGTATTGGAGGTTGATATCCCCAAACATAGTTCAAATTCCCAACTTTCACAACGCTGGCACGAAAAAAAAAAAACTGGGATAGAGTAATTGAGCTGAACACCCCCTTCCACACATACAGCATATGCATTATGGTGTGGTTGGCCCACGAGAAAAGGCAATGATAAGCGGAATGGGGAAGACCAGAGAACCTTAGGCCACTCAATCGCGAACCATCAGCGCCTCGGAATCGCGCCCGAGATCGGAGAGTGCACTACGTAGGTTCTTGAGTGAGTTAGCCAATTCTGGGGCATGTGCTCCTGGGTTGACAAGAACTAGCTGGCGCCGGATTTGGACACATTCTTCAATAATTAGGAGTGCCTCCGAGTGCCGTCCGAGACTGGAAAGAATGATAGATAGGTTGTTGAGTGACATGGCTAAATCTGGGGTGTATGATCCTGGCTGAACAGCAACTAGCTGGCGTCGGAGTTTGACACTTTCTTCGATGAATGGGAGTGCCTCTGGGTCCCGTCCGAGACCGGAAAGAGTGGTAGATAGATTGTTGAGTGACCCGGCCAAATCTGGGGTGTATGATCCTGGGTGAACAACAACTAGCTGGCGTCGGAGTTTGACACTTTCTTCGATGAATGGGAGCGCCTCTGAGTCCCGTCCCAGATTGGAAAGAGCATTGCATAGGTTGCTGAGTGTCACGGCCAAATCCGGGGTGTAAGATCCTGGGTGAACAGCAACTAGCTGGCGGTATAGTTTGACGCTCTCTTCAATGTATGGAAGCGCCTCTGAGTGCCGTCCAAGATCGGAAAGAGCAATACGTAGATTATTGAGTGACATAGCCAAATCCGGGGTGTATGATCCTGGATGAACGGCAACTAGTTGTCGGTAGAGTTTGACGCTTTCTTCAATGAATGAAAGTGCCTCCAAGTGCCGTCCGAGATTGGAAAGAGTGGTATACATAGTGTTGAGTGACCCGGCCAAATCCGGGGTGTATGATCCTGGGTGAACAACAACTAGCTGCCGCCGGAGTTTGACGCTCTCTTCGATGAACGGAAGCGCCTCCGAGTGGCGTCCAAGATCGGAGAGAATGGCAGATAGATTGTTGAGTGACATAGCCAAATCCGGGGTGTATGATCCTGGATAAACGGCAACTAGCTGGCGGTAGAGTTTGACGCTTTCTTCGATGAATGAAAGTGCCTCCGAGTGCCGTCCGAGATCGGAAAGAGTGGTAAATAGATTGTTGAGTGACCTGGCCAAATCTGGGGTGTATGATTCTGGGTGAACAACAACTAGCTGGCGCCGGAGTTTGACGCTCTCTTCGATGAACGGGAGTGCCTCCGAGTACCGTCCGAGATCGGAAAGAATGGCAGATAGATTGCTGAGTGACATGGCTAAATCCGGGGTGTATGATCCTAGGTGAATGACAACGAGCTGGCGCCGGAGTTTGACGCTCTCTTCAACGAATGGGAGCGCCTCCGAGTGCCGTCGGAGACTGGAAAGAATGGTAGATAGATTATTGAGTGACATGGCCAAATCCGGGGTGTGTGATCCTGGGTCAACAGCAACTAGCTGGCGTCGGAGTTTGACACTTTCTTCGACAAATGGGAGTGCCTCTGGGTCCCGTCCCAGATTAGAAAGAGCGTTGGATAGGTTGTTGAGTGACGCGGCCAAATCTGGAGTGTATGATTCTGGATAAACGACAACTAGTTGGCGATAGAGTTTGGCACTCTCTTCGATGAATGGGAGTGCCTCCGAGTGCCGTCCGAGATCAGAAAGAGCAATACGTAGATTATTGAGTGACATAGCCAAATCCGGCGTGTATGATTCTGGGTGAATGACAACCAGTCGGCGGTAGAGTTTGGCACTTTCTTCAATGAATGAGAGCGCCTCCGAGTGCCGTCCAAGATTCGAAAGTGCATTATATAGACTGTTGAGTGACTCGGCCAAATCTGGGGTGTAGGTCTCCGGGTCCAGAGAAACAAGGTCACGGCAAAGCGTAACGGAATCGTTCGCTGCTTCATAAGCCTCCTGGAATTTTGAAAAAAAATCCAAATTCCTCGCAAGCTGGATAAGCTCATTGGCCAATGCACAGACAACATCCTTGGACCGGTGCTCAACAGCCGACTAAAACATCATGAGGTAGTTCCATTAATACAATGAAGGACACATACTTTGGCCCACTTAGGTAGTAACGAGATACTAATGTAGCCCTCCATTCTCACACAGACTTCCACCCAGCGAGTTGCCTCCTGACTTAGAAACACACCGACTAACCCAGCAAGCCCCTCCTCCGGTTCTTGGACTCCACTGAGGTGATCAACAATATGGCAACATGCATAATGAAAGTGCTCAGATAACTCCTCTCGAGGAATGCGCGGCATTTCATCTTTTTTCGACAGATTTTCAATCAATCCTAAGCCCTCTACAGAGGAAAGATCCTGGATGAGAATCTCGGTACATCGCAGTGCAACTTTGGCATTCTCTGTCCACACATCTACTGGACCGCAGCTGGGGTTGATCGATTTGGGATCCATCCGATCGACGATGAAGTCACGGAAGGATTGGTGTAAGACTCGAACCAGAACATGATGGTCCCCAACCGCTGAGAGGAGAGGTGCAAGTTCAGCCAACACATATCGAACAGAAGATTTGAGGAAAGGTGACAAAATGGCATCCCAAGCTACGACAGATAGAGGCTTCTGCGCAATGAAGATTGCTCCCATCATGATTGGGTAGTCATATGCAAACTCTTCATCCTCCCAATCACACTTCTTCAGAATGCTTGTATACAGCCGATCCATCATTCCCTCAGCAGGGACCTTTGATCGTTTGGCACCAGTGTCGAGCAGGCCCTCTAACGTCCTCATAGGATCCTTGTTGGCCGTCCTCATATAGCGAAAGATAGTGCTGATCCAAACAAACAAGCCATTCGCTTGTTCTGAGATCTCCTGTACTTTCTTATCCTCGTCCTGAAGATTATGGCGTACATCTGGATGTACTTTCTTCAGCACTTGCAGCTGGGAATGTATGTATGTGGTGCAGTCCTTCAAATTTGTCCCATCCGAAAGATCAATAGTGAGACGATCGATAGGACAATCGGAGGAGAGGTAGCGATTCACGAGATCGAATTGTCTCGACGTGATAAAGAATTTTATGGAAGATGGTAGCCTAGGCACCCCTTCCCTAAGAATTTCGGCAAGAAGCTCAAACGCTTCTTTATCGCATTCATCTAAAGCATCGATGATGACCACCATAGGACGGTCGGGAGATGGAGGTTTATGTCGGAGAGGTGAAGCCACTAAATCCTCGAATTGCTTCGCGAGTAAGGCCGTTGAGAGGGAAGGGTCTTTTCGCAGAGCAGAGATAATGAAAGTGCGGTAAACTGGGTCATGGTCTACTAATGCCCGAGCCATGCCGCTGAATAGAGAATCGGGCCGTGACCGTTCGCCAGCTTTAAAGAAGAAGTGCAGTAACAGGGTAACGTCCTCTTCACTCGCACACCGTTCTGCTATCGTGAGCGTAATCGAAGTCTTACCGGCACCGGCCACAGCTGTCAGCAGCATTAACCGGTTCTCACTCTCCCCAGTGTTGCGGCACCATGTCATAATACGCTCGGTGAGATCCACCCTAGTGCCTTCTAGGCATGCCTGAGTGGAATCATCGTGGGCGATATGAGGGAATCGGAGACTATCCAAGATTTTGTCATCCTGTAGACGACGTTCTATGGCCGCTAATTTGGCGCTGCCTATTAGGTTCGCCCTAAGCTGCATCGGCCGAAAATCAGAATGATTATGGAACGATACTATGAGAAAACCTACCTGAAACGATGTCAATGCTTTGTCAAACTCTTTCTTTAGGTCATCGATCTTTCCTGGGTCTCTCAAGTAAGACAATGCATTCATGAAAGCTGGTCGTTTCTCCAATTTTTTCAGTCTTCGATCGATGTCGGACTTGATCTTCTGTAGCGCGCTAGGACTTGATGTAAGCAACGGTGTCGGGAAAATAAATACAACTTACTCATCAAGCTTCGTGATACTCTCCACCCACGGCTTTGCCTCTTCCGCTGATGGATCATAGGATTTTATGGCTAAAATCACCTCAGTCACAGTGTCGACTACATGTTGACCAAAACCAGCCCATTCCTTCTTGTCGTCCTTGAACTTCTAAGTACGTGGCGCAAACTTCAAGTGTGAGCTTGCATTCAAGGCCGGTCACAAACCATTGCTAACCTGAACCTCGTCGAGGATGGAGAGTGCACCGCCAGTCGCCATTTTTAGCGGGGGACACCAATCGGCCGTATTATTGACAACCCGGAGGATTGGGACCGCTATGGCACCACCCGCTACGAGGAGATCGTCGATCTTTTGCCTGAGGATCTCAGCCTTTTGCTGCAATGACATGGTCGATAGCGGACAAGTGGACGGAGAGTGCGCAATACACGTGTGAGCCCCTGATACTCAGAGCCACGGGGCCTCCGCCTGATTATGGAAGGATATGATATACGCATTTACTTTAGTAATAGTAGAGGCTGGATTCTGCCTAGCATTTAGTCTAATCCGATGTCAACCGCGAATTCTAGCATGCGCGTTGGCATGACCCAGACTGGTTATGACGGCGAGAGAATTAGTACGACCCCTGCTTGCTGACTTATAGGACCTCATATGTAAGTCGTAATCATGCACGAGTTGCAGCGATCGCTTCGTACCGAGGGCCCGCGGTAAGCGCCGCTGTGGTCCCACGACGTTTCACGACGGTCATCCCGTTCCTCAAGGGGAGCGATTAGCTTTTAATTAAGCTCTTAGGATGCAGGCAAGTGGGTGTCGGCTGTACGTCAAAGCTTGTCATTTTTCAGCTATCGTTTTCTGGAACCCAACTTCCCTTTCTTTTCGATCAAGCGCCGCTCTCTAGACTGCGCCCTGAAAGCTCCAGGGCCCCACTGTACGCGTGTCGCGACCATCCCATGGCGCCTCGACCCATTCAAGTTGGCGGTGAGGCTGTTTTCGTGGCGCTTGTGGACCCAATACTTGTTCTACTTGTTGTGCCGCATCATATTCGATCGTGCTCCGGTCACCACTAGTCGGGGTGATTACCCTCAGCGAATAAATTGGGCCCCACAAATACTTCGACTATGTACTTCCCAACCCATCGATACAACAATAATCTCAACTAATATGGCGCCACTGTGCCATGCGATTTCAGCGCAGGTTGGCATTCCTAGCATCTCATCACGGTCGTCCCATCCCTTACCGTAGGGGCGCAATCGGCTTTTATTTAAGCTTTTAAAATGTGGGTGTCGGCTGTGCGCCAAAGCTATTCGGACAGTATAAAAAAGCTTACATTTTTAGCTATCGTTGAAGTCTTTTTCTGCAAACTCAATATATTCCCCTTTCCTTTGTACCTGCGCACCGAAAGCATCCCCTGAGGCCTCGACTCATTCGGTGGGGCTGTTCCAGTGCCACTTGTGAGCCAACACTGTACCACTTGGTTGTGGCCCCGATGCGTCACATTCGATCGTGCTCCGGTCATAGGCAGTATCCCAGCCTCTAGACTTCGGTCACCGCTGGGGGTGACAATAAGATTGGCCGCTACGTGTAGAGTACTTCGACTACTTCGCAACGCATTGGTAGAAGAGTAGAATCTCATACATTACAGCAAATGCCAACGATGGAAAACAGCTGCTTTGCTTCTGCTTCCCTCGCCATCCAATAGTGCGCTGCAGCGACCAATAATAGTACCAATACTGAAAAGTGGGTTTCAGCTGTTCAACAGTTGCACAGGTTGCAGGCCTTATTGTCGTGTCTGAACATTACGGAACAAAATGCTACATTTCAAGTCCAACAAAACAGAGCGGGACTCAGCCTCAAGGATCACACAACTTTGAGAACTGATAAAAAGAACGAATTCATACTGGTATCGAGAATACGAGAAAAGGGAAGGGCTGACTAATAATAACAACCCAAATAGACCTTCGGTCACCAATGGGAATGCTGCAATGTTCAAGATCAGATCAATATTTCACCCGTGTGCTCGCCGCAATAACAACAACGATTGGCCAGCAACGAACGAGAAGAGGAAACACCCAATGATCAAAGTTTAAGTGCCTTAAGAAGTCTCGGCAAATCAGGCGTTCCAAATCCAGTTGCAGGGTCCCAACCTCTCGTCGCATTGAACCCTGTCGTTCCACAACCTGGGTTGCTACCCGTAGTGATGTCGTTCAGGACTCCCGGTTTGAGAGAGTAAATCCATGGGTTGCTGCCCGTGTTGAGCGTAGCGCTTCGGTGAGCGGGTGCCTGAGGAAGGGAGAAACAAACAAACGTACAGAAATCCGAGGGGTCTGCGACCTTTGGAGAGTAGAGCATCGTTTAAGAGGGCAATCTAAGACGCAAGTATACCTCGTTGCTAAGGTCTGCGAGGAGAGAATGAAAAAGAAAATGGAACCCACTATCGCAGCAAAAGTAGGTGTCGAAGCGCTTGTACCCGAGACACGTATGACTTCCCCTTGATACACGATGAAATACCGATAGCCCCTGCACAGAGGATGAGTGAGAACCCATCAGATCAAGCAATCCCTCGAGGATGAAGGAAGCCAGACGCAAAAAGAAACTCACTGAGCCGCAACATCAGGATAGGCTCTCCCATTCTTGTTGAACAATCCTTCATACGCGCTTCCGAGTGTTTTAAGGTATCTTGGCACTGCATGGTGTTGGTACCATGGACGGGGGAAGTAATCACTGAATCCCCCTCCCGAGAAGCGAACTGTTGTTTCGGGAATTTGGTACGTCGCCCCGACAGTCGTGACACTTTAAAGCAGCACGACTTAATGTTCGGCACAGATATAGGGAAAATACATAGAAAACTCACTATGGGCACCCACCAGGGAAGATAGGAACGAACCTATTGGGGGTGAAACAAGCTCCTGTTTCCCCCACGCGGCCTACACCTCCATCGCCCGAGGCATGCAGAGCGCTAACACCCCGCGTCCCAAGTGCAGCGTAAAGCTTGCACACACGTCGGGCGTAGTTGATTGGAACTGTATCCTCATCCTCACCTTCATATAATTTCGAAAATTCCGCGGTCCCCACATGAGTGTTAGAGTGAAAATTTTGGGTTCAGGGAAAAATAGGATGCAGAGACTCACCATAACTGGTAGTCAACACTTGAGGAAGATCCTTCGTTTTCTTCCTAAGGAGGTAAGTGAGAAAAACGTCGTAGCTTGTGGATCGTGATTATTTAGTTGATTCATATGAATATGGGTTTGGCATCCGCTCACGGTTCATTCCCATTGTCCTCATAGCTGATGCTCCGGTTCGTATTTTGGCCGCGACCATATGTACTGTAGAATACTAATTAAGAAGAAATGGTGTTACGATAGTTAAAATGGTACTGATTTAAGCCGTACGTACTTTGCTTGACAGGGTACTGCGATCAAAACAGATTTCATGGGGTAATTGAGTAACCCGGAATCTGCATTGCGCAGAGGTGAGGTAGCTCACCGATATCCCTCCCGCAAACTGGACATCCAAATTCTGTGAATTTAAGAGGAACGCCAAAAGACCAAGGGGTTAGTGTCCAAATTCTATACGTGAAAAGGAAGAGAAACAAAAAACCCGGAGAAAGTGGGAATGGAAGAAGCGAGATTCAAAAGGAACTTACAGCCTCGATGCCAGCCTCGGAAATGTTCTGAGAGTTGATTGCTCCTACGTAACAGCGACAACAAGGGAAAATGTTTGCGTCGATGATAACGAAATGCCACAACGATGAACTTTACCGTTGATAAGCTCCACATGGAGGGTACTCTTAAGCGCTGGAGGATAGAAAATGGAATAAAAGTGTTTAAGGTCAGCAAGGTTGGCATATTGCTCGAGGTACCTAAAATGAGAAAACATCATATTTTAGTTTATCCAATTCTCCAATGGGGATTCAGAAAGCGAGACAATTAAGATGTGATGATACCTACCCGGTAATACCGATTGAACTTCGCGTTCCTTTAGCCTTGTACGCATTGGTGCGATAGAGCGTTTTGAGCTCTGGGAGCGACATGTTTGGCTGTGGTACTGGGGCTGGGGCGGGACCGCTTTGCTGGTTGAAGGAGCCATCGTCAACTATCAAAGACGACAAGAGAGGTTGGCCAGAAGGGAAGAAGTTCGTAGGCTGAACGACGTCGATATGGTCGTGAAGGTGAGCAGGAAGACTATATGACGTTGTACGAATCGCAGTGAGTCCGGTCTCGTGGTTCGCATATATTGAATAGGTTGTGTCGAGAAGTTTCTCTGCGATTTCAATGGTGGTCTTGAGTGAGATCCAATCACTTGCGGGTGTTCGTTGGAGCGCGTCGCCTGTGATATCTATGCCGTGCGAGACAAGGAAAGATTCGAGCAGGATGATACTCTCTGAGTGAGGAGCGGAGAACTTTTCGACCTCTTCTTTGGTCAAGTGCTCAGTCCATCGGGGGCTGGATGGGTCGCTTATTTCAAGCAATGCGGATTCGATCTGGTGAAAGTAAGGCTGGGTGAGCCCAAAACGGAGAGTGATGGGAGTGTGAGGTGAAGGAGTGCCATGGTGGGTCCATCCCCGTGGCAGTCGGATCGAGCTCTTCTCGACAAAGTGGTGTGCTGGAGGTACGGCGCACACCCAACTCAATAAGGGGAGGGCAGAAACGAACAATGCCAACGAGGGAACCATTCCGAGACACCTTCCCGCTCAACTGCTCAAGGACTGAAAACGGGGGAAGGGGGGGGGAACACAGGCGCTTTGTAGAGAGGCCAGATGCGATCCTTAAATCCACATTGTGGGCGGGGAAAACTAACCGGACGGGATGCCGCTGAGGAACATCTTTGAAGGGATAGCAAAGTGACTTCTCCACAATGAAATTGCCCAAGGGAGGGGTGCAACTCCCATACAATTCGAACGCCACAAAATGGATGAGGAATCAAGAGGGATTGCAACGCTACCCTGACGATGGGCAAATGCGGAGTGATCTAAAGCTAATGTGGAACTACATAAATGTAGCGCACAATATGTGAAATTCTTCTCTGCCATAAAGCAGGCCGGTGACCAGCTTCTATAGTCTCACGCGAGCCTTACAAGATCACGTAGGACAGAACAATGGCGGGGGATAAGACCAACGCAACACACGTTCGCTCCCGCTCTCCAGCCCAAAAGCGAAGGACTCAGAGAACACGATTACAGTCAGAAAAAGGATGTTGGGGTAGCGAGATTGATCACGAGATTGGCGAGCTTAAATTTAGAATGACACAGACACATAACATTTCGCTACCAAGCTGCGGGAAACGCGTCCTCGAAGGAACAGCGGGAGTTCTTAGTTGTTTCAAGCAGGAAGCGCGCGGGCTCCATGAAGAGGAAGTTCCATGACTCCGCGTAATCCCCGCTTGGTGCCGACGCGGCAAGACGGAAGTCTGGAACGCAAAAAGGATGAGTCAAAACGGAAAGCCCGCAGCGCATACATAAGCACCGCCAAGCAAACTGGGTTGGCTTTCACGAACAAGGTCCTCTCGTATCCTAGTGACGAGAGTGTTTATCGCTGACGATCTTGTGGATAACCAAACGGTCCCAAGCCTCTAGCTTCACTCTTGGGAAAGAGACTAGGGTTGAGTAGTGACAATTCACTCAGTCATCCCTCTTCGTCAGCACTTTTCCCATCCGAATCCGGGATTACAGTGGTAACTTCAAACTTATTCCTCTGTCCTTTTCCCCATCTCCGTACCGTCTCCACCATGTTCTCCAGAACCAAAGAGACACAACAGACCGATGGCACATCCCTCAAAGGCACACACAGCGCGGGCGAAGATGGCCAGTTGCGTCGATCCATCACCGGCCACCCCAGTAACCTCTCTGCAACACAGGAAGATGCTCTGCATAAGTTCCGTGAAGAGATCGCTGCGGCGGGGCTCTACGTTCCACGATCCACTCCTGATGGACGGCGTGCCAGTCACACGGACGTAGCGTTACTGTGAGTATGTGCCTCGCGATTCAGAAAAGTTGATATATGACTCCTTGGATATGAAGGCGTTTCTTACGCGCTCGGAGATTCGACGTGGGCAAGGCGATGAAGCAGTTCACCGACGAAGAAAATTGGAGACGCAAGTACAATGTTGATGAACTGTACCTCAACTTCCCGGTTGACGAGATGGAGGCATCGAAGAAATTCTATCCTACGTGGACGGGGCGCCGCGACCGAGTGAGTGGCACATATTATTTTGCTGGTGAACGCGATGGCTCAACTTGGAACAGAGGGGTCTGCCGATATACGTATATCGCCTTGCCGATCTCGACTCAGCTCGCCAAAAGGAACTCTCGGTTGTCTCATCAGACCGCCGTTATCAGCGCATGTAAGCTCGTTCCCTTCTACCGCCCCATGTCTAATATCTTAATCCACGGGACTGTCAGAATAGCGCTGTACGAATACATGCTGCAAGGAGTCCTCAATCTTTGCGCTGCCCTTGCAAAGGACACTCCCTCCGCAATTAACAGTGCTTCAGGCGTAACATCTTCACTACCCCCATCCCAAGTTTCCTCCGTTAGAACGATGGTGGATTTAGCCGGTGTTTCATTATCACAACTCTGGAACATCCGTTCCCACCTCCAACAAGCTTCGAATCTAGCCACCGCTAACTATCCCGAAACTCTCAACTCCATTTTCGTCCTCAATGCCCCCGGTTTCTTCCCTACAGCATGGAATTGGTTCCAAGGCTTTTTCGATCAAGGGACGCGTGAGAAAATTAAAATCCTAGGAAACCCTTCCAAGGATCCGTCAACCTTGGATGTAATGACACGATACATCGCGAAAGAGAATATACCCAAAGCATACGGTGGAGACCTTGATTGGACGACAGGCGATGATCCCAAGTTTGATGAACCCACGGGAGAGTGGCTGAGGGATAATATGAATCTCAATGTTATTCGTGGACCACTCGTTATCGATCCGTGGGGGGATGTGATGGATGGGAGAGCGGCGAATAGTGACGCTGGTAGTTCGGTAGGCGACAGTGGTGTTGGGATTGGAGGGATTGGGGCAGGTGGTTTAAGTTTAGAACTTGAACCGCCCAGCCCCGGACCCGTTGAGGGAATGGATAAGGGCCCGGAGTTGCTTGTCCCCTCCGGGACTCGTCTTTGAACTGTGGTTTTTTTTTTTCGCATCTCTACTCGAAATTGTTTTCTTTGTTTTTTTTTCGTAAGGGAAGAATGTCACGATGCTCATGTTACCTGTTGCTTTCCCCCTGGTTCCTTGCATGATGTGAACACTCTCCTCTCCTCTCCCGCTGGTCATGCATGCCCATCCCAGAAAACAACAACCCTTTCACCGTCCAATCCCAATCCATTACTATTCTCACCTGACTCTACTAGTAGCATCATACAATCATCTGGAGATCATATTACGCGTGTTTGAATCATACACACACGAAACGACGTACTAGCTTACAGCAGGGGACAGAAAAATCTGCCGGTTGCGATTCGAATGGGTAAGTGGGGCAGGTCAATCATCTGCCTAAAGAAGTTGGCAAGATCGTGGCTCACAAAAGGGGGTTTCCTTATTTGGATGAACAGCTCAACGCCGGGGTCCCCATCCTCAGCAATGACATCGGAGAATAGGCCAGTCGTTCTCTTTCTCAAAGTTCAATCAAACATGCTTCAACTTCGCAACATGGACGTGTCCCCCGAACCCCAACAGTCTCATACACCACACCCTGCTCTTGTGCACAACACCAGAGCAAGCGGCCCTTCCATAGCCGAGCATCCAAGAGACAGATCTTGACGCAACTCCGATATCCTGTTACTGCCTCTCTCCATAAAATCTTTATGCGGTTCTGAAGAATTCACTGCCTCTCATATCCCTGTTTAATCAGTCCCAGCATGCCTAGAAACCTTGACTTAATTTCGCAGTCCAGAGTGTATAACATAGCTGTCATACTTATTTACACCCCTCACCTTTCGCCACCTCCCCAAACTGAACTTTCGGCCGGGTCGAGGGTTCACTTTGTGGTTCCCCAGCCGGACTTTCCGCGTACCGATCCTAGGCCCAGCGCAGGAAGAACTGAGTATCTGAGTAAAAGTTAAGCATCAAAGTTCCCAGATAGAGGTTCAGTACGAACTTGGTACCACGCACAAAGAAATCGCGTCGGCACGCCCTCTCCCCACACAGTGCCCAGCCATATGTGCACGAGGATGTGAGTCAGGGAAGACAAATCTTCTTCCGGGTGAGACCACGCCTGTGTAGCTCTCTGGAAATCGTCCGGGTGTTTGCTTCGATCCCAAGCTCATTTCCGAGTGCAGCCTGTGATTCATCGAGATACAAATCAGGCTTTTGTTCAATGAGGCTGTCGAGAAACTTGAGATTGTAAGCCAGAACATTCAATGTAGAGGTAGCTTTCAGAGTTACGTTCACTGCATGAAAACTAAGCACTCGATATCGCCCTCATGTCTCATCCCGGCAACGGCGATGCTCATAGGAAGCAGCGAGCAACTTCCGAACAGTGCCTTCAGACACTCCCGAGACCTGGGCAATCTCCCGTTGAGTCAGCCTCGAAGATAGCGAGACCAAGATATCTTTTGCACCGGGCTCAAGATGGAGGTTGTCACCGCAGTACCGCTAGCATCTGAGCACCACATTTAGGGGGGTTCCACAGTGACATTGGGGTTTCCATTAAAATGTTCAAAACATGCCGATTTTGGCAGCGGGTGACTCCACCCAGATCACTTACGTTGAAATCCCAACCGGCAGATTTTTCTGTCCCCTGCTGTAATACTGACTTGATTATTCTCCTGGAGGCGTATTCATCTCCAACCTGTTCATCTTTTGCCAATCTTCTTTCTGCCCTCCTCTGGAACCCTCATGCGTAATTTCGAAATGCTTCCCCACACCCAATTGGACAGCTGTCACAACAGCCATCCCTCCCGCCATCATGATCTCTTCCACTGGTAGTGCCATCAGCAGTCCCTTCTAGTATACTCTCGCTTAGACTCTATCGACCGTCGAATAACCACCGACTTCGATGCGCTTCAGATATTATGCAAGACATTGCTGTTAGAATCGTTGTGGGGGTACATACGATTGCAAAGCTGATGAAGATCGTTGATCAAAGTAGGTCATGTGCTCAACTACACACAGCTTGAACCAATCAGTGGTTTGCGGACCAAAGAGATGGTATGCAATGCGCAAATATTAACCAGAGAAGAGAATGTCCACAACAGCGCCGGAGTCGCCTAAAATGCTGAATAGACGCGTTAGGCAGGATACCAGCCTCTATAGATAGATAGACGCGTAGCGGTGAGCTCAAAGCGCAGGTATGTAAGGCGCGAATTTCGCTCGGAAAAAGCGAGAAGAAGTGATGGTGTGGTGCCTAGTATGTCCACAATAGCACTGGAGCCGTTAAAACGCAAATTGACATATGTATAGACGCGTAGCAACACCACCCACACCTGCACAGCCTCGGAGTCAGGTGGCGCGCGTCACGACCTCATCGAGGTTTTATTCCTAAACCTCTGATTGACCTGGAGTCTGGGGATAGGGGTGAGCTAAAGGTGTTGAAGATTTTCACGTAAGGACCTAGTTGATTTCCCAAAATTTGAAAATCATTTGACAGTTGATCTGAATGCACACATGTTTGTGTATTGATTAGGGTGGCGGCGTCAAGCGCTGTTAATACCTTTGAAACGCCTTGCATTTCGGGTTTTCGAGTAATACATGAATTCGTGCTGCCCTATTTCAAGTACTAATGGGAAACTTCAAACCAGAACACGTCGGGTGGAGCTTGCAAGTCGGCGGACGCCCAGCGCTTGGCAGCGAAGCCAGCAGCCTTATCGCTAATCAGCCTACCCTGACATACTAGAGGCTGGTACGTTCGTGCCATAATGACTTAGGGGCTGAATGCGGAATAGGACCACGTATGTCTCGCTCGAGTCAACATGTATTTTCACATCATTTATTGAGAATTTAAGGTCCCCAACACTTTACATCATCCCTCATGATGAACCGATTCCGCCCAAATCGTGAGGGCCGGATCCAGGATCGCGAAGAAAACAACAGGATTGCAAGATCGATGACTCCAAGCCCAATGCGCCCCGTAATCTCGGCTGAAACGGTGACAGGCAAGCATCCCCGGTTTCTCGGTGATGTTTTCTTAGTAAGGTAGAGTTCCCACCGTCAAATTTTCAATACCTATATTAAACTAGGTCCTCGCTCAAATTCCTAGTACGGTCTGCCTCAGATTTCTTACGAAAGGACCCAGGACTCAAATGCATTATTGCGTCAAACTGAAGCGCCGGGAGATGATCAGCTAGTTATTTTGTTCCGCAAAATTAATCTCTATTTCTATTTCGACGAAACCTGCGCCAAAGCCAAAGACATCGCACTCCCAAGCGCCAGTCACGGAGATGGCACTTAATTTCTTCTCAGGAGAAAGCATTTCTTAACGTCTACTGTAGGCCTACAAAAGAGCGCAGAGTGCAAGGTCAGCTTCGCCGTGGACAGCATCTGACCAACAGCTCTACTCATCGGCGGGTGAGCGCCAATCATCCAATCATCTCGAGTTCAGATTACTCACAGTTTTGGTACTAGGAAGGGCACCAGTATGTCATCGAAAACGTCAGGCTCGGTTCCTGCGCCCCTGCGCGTCGCGCTTCCTTCATCAACTCCAGCCATATCCACTCCGTCTGAATCCTCCACTAGAGCGCCTTCACCTGTCTCCCATCTCTCTGTTTCTACGAAACATGGGGAACCGGAGGAGCTGAAGATTGTTGAAGTCAAAGGCCTCGAAGAAGGTCACTACTGGGATGGCCACCAAGACGATGAAATCCCAGACAAGACGCACGGACGCATTTTCCGCAACCTACGTTATCAGATCTTTACGCTCTATCGCCGTCTCTTCAGTATTGTGATCATTACGAACATGATTATTTTCATCGTCTCGATGGCCAACGGGGGACTTGTTGCAGGCCAAATTGGCCAACTGGTCCACGGCAACTTACTTGTGGCGATTGTGATGCGTCAGGACCATGTAATCAATGCGTTCTTCCTCATCTTCTGTGCTGTCCCTCTCTCGTATGTGCTGGTTGTTCGTGTAAGGCATTCAGACATTCTAATTTTCATTTAGCTGGCCTCTCTTCTTCCGACGGGTTGCTGCCCAGGTGTTCCATATTGGCGGACGTAAGGTTTGCCCCAACCTATGCGCCTGAATCTTCACTTATACGAACTTCAAAGTGCACTCCGGCGGCGCAATCTCATCTACGGCCTGGTTCATTTATCTCACGGTTCAACTCACAATCGATTTCTGCAATGATCATGTTCGTTCTCATGAATGTCGATGGAAGGTTCACAATATTGACATCTCATCCAGATCTCTGTGGCGACACTAACACTCACCTATATTATTATCGTTTGTCTTCTCACGATCATTGTATTCGCCCTCCCTGGGGTGCGCGTTATTATGCACGATTCATTCGAAAGGACCCACCGCGTATGTATTTTCCTCCATGCAATTTGTTAGCTAGTCATCCCTGTCTATTAGTTCGCGGGTTGGTTCGTAACCGCGCTTGTATGGGCACATACGGTCCTATTTCTTAACGACCTCAAGCCTGCCGGGACATCATTGACTCACGCCATGGTTAACTCCCCGTCGTTCTGGATGGTCGTGGCCCTCACAATCTCTATCATTATTTCATGGTTAACGCTACGGAAGATCCCTGTCAAGTCGGAAGTTCTCTCGGACCACGCAGTCCGTATCCATTTCGACTATGCCCACCCTGTCCCTGGCAGCTTCGCACGATTTTCCTCGGACCCTCTCTTCGAATGGCATTCCTTCGCAACCATTTCGATTCCAGAGGAGAAAGGGTTCAGTGTCATTGTTAGCCGTGCAGGGGATTGGACGAGCAAAGTCATCGCTAATCCCCCCACTTCCCTCTGGGTTCGTGGCGTAGTGAGTCCCTCACGACCACCCGTGCTTCCCAGGCATATCAACCGTTCAACGTTAGCCAACTTGCGGAGCCCTTCGTGTCGTGCCCCTCTTCAGACGCATTATCCTCGTTTGCACTGGAAGTGGCATTGGGCCCATCGCACCCCATCTCTTCAGGCCGGGCCGTGCGCCAATGATGTGAGTTAATGGTCCGAGGTTTCCAATATTGTGTGCTATGTTGACGTCACCATATCAGACTTCTTTGGGTTTCTCGCGACGTGAGCAGTCACTGTATCAGTGCTTGGGGCCTGAACCAAAGACGCTAACTCCCCGACAGGTTCGCAAAACATTCGGCGACAAGTTTGTCGATGCCGTCCTCCGAGCAAGCCCTGATGCAATTATATATGATACTCGAAAGCACGGAAAACCTGATATGGTGAAATTGGCTTGTGCGTATTATTCCCTATGCTGCTGACACGTTACTCACAAATCAGAAAACGAACAGACCGCATGTACAAGGACTTCGATGCTGAGGCTGTGTATGGTTTGATATTGCCGCAATTCGGGTGCAGAGCTAACATCGATGACTCACAGTGCCGTCCTGTCAAATCAGAGACTGACCGAGAAGGTGGTGTACGGGCTACTCAGCCGGTGAGTTGCTGGATAAACTTTCTATCCCCTAGCTCGCAGATCTAACACCGATTCTTTCATCCTCACAGAGGAGTGCCTGCATTTGGGTATGTACCCTTTGCTAATATCTTTCGCATTCATTCACTCATGAGACAATTCCCCACAGTCCTATCTTCGATTCGTAGAAACTTTAGAGTCTATCTCTGCTGCTGCGGAAATTCTAAGACACCGCTTTGTGGTTCAAAAGCAGCTTAAATCACCTCGTTCCCCATAGACTAATCCATACTCCCCTTCTTTCAACAACTCTCGTGTATTGGAATGGTTCTTTGCTTGATGAATGTGATGAGTTACCTGGCGGCGCCAGACTTCACTGCACGCGCACTTTGGACGTTAAGAACAGGAGTGAAAACTACGCAGTTCAGCGTCTTCCGACACCATTCTGACCAGATTAGACTGTTGATGATTTCTCAAAGTGCGTACTCGGATTCCAATCCAAAGCGGAAATTTGCACAGTTCGTCTATATAAACGTAAACAACCAGGAAGTCTCGAAATAAAGATATTGAAGCACATCACTGCACTGCTCTGCTTCAAAGTTCTCTTCCTGGCACGCCTCCATAACATCCCCCAGTACCCATTGTCTCAACACGAGACAGGGGTTCACGCCCTTCGTCGAATCCGCTCTCTCGAGCGGAACAGAACGAAATGACCAGGTGGTTGAACTGGGATGCAACATGTAACGTACATCTCTGCCAACATTAGACATAGTGAACCATCGTCCATGAACGGACGGCTTTGCGATCGATGCACGGACAAAGTCTGCGCTTGCGCTCAGTGCAGGGGATTTTTCCTTCCAGGATTCTCATGAGCCACCACTGCACTATTTGGCCAAATTGTCCAACATGCGCTTTATCCCACTACTCTCCAGAGCCACCTTTCCATCGTCCCAGTTGCATGCGACCGGGTAGCGGAACACTTTCGGATTTTGCAGGGATTCATTGTAGAGAGATTCTGCAGAATCTGGTCGAAACGTGACGGATGGATGCGACGACACCAGAGTAGCTAGAGGTGCTTTGAGGTATGAAAGGATTATTCTGATCTGGTCCGGCGTGGGCGGTTGGTCTTTGACTTCGTTTAATGTGAAGTTAAGCGGGTTCCCGGGTTTGATCGTTGGCATTTTTGGATCTGGTGGAGGGTACGGCCCTGATAGGGCTGAACGTAGTAATTTTAAACATTGTGCAGATTGAGGTGAACTGTTGTGACTATCGGTTTCAACAATGAATTAGATCGCAAACTACAGTTGTGTGCGAAGCGAACCCGTACAAGAGGGATATGACAGGGATTGCACGGTGATACCGAAACGACATGGTAGTAGCCAGCGACGTTGACGCTGGACGGGAATCTCCAAGCAATTCGCCGGATGGATAAATTCATTTCGGAGCGTGCCTATCGGCACCTACCATAATACAAAGCGGGTGCGGTGCAAAGTAGAAAGTAGCACTAGAACCTTCAAGCAAGTAGATGAAGAGCATAAAAGGGTAAGGGAAAAGGATGATTGTATAGCATGTCACAGACAAGGTGAAAGGGGGTTGGGCAGACGAAATGGCATTTAAGCATCATCGTGCGCGCTCATGTTCTGGGGCGTATTGTAGGGGAAGAGGCCAGTGTCTCGGATGAAGCTAATGGTAAGCGGGACCACTTTCGGATGTGAGCAGCTGGGTCAGGTCAAAGGACTTGACGGATTTGGAAGCAAAGATAATCCTTCTTTTCAAAGCCAAGCGCTCCCGGCAGTGGCGACCACAGGTATGCCGGAGGCATAGGAGGTAGCCTGGAGAGTTGACATGTCCCATTCTAGCAAGGCAAGCACGTAGGGCTATGTAGGAGGAATGAACGCGGTTGGAAGAGGATGATGGCAGCGCCGTGCTGTAGAGCGGCAGACACCTGTCGGGATTTTCGCCGTCCCTTACGCGACGACGGAATAACTGCGCTGTGCTGTGCTCTGTTTGGTGGCTTCCTTGGCAAGCGAGTCAACTTTCTCGTTGCCTGGTATGCCACAGTGCCCATGTATCCATTCAAGATGCGGCTCGTCGGGCCAGGCCTGCTTGGGGGAAGCGTGTCTTCCAGTTGATGGCTAACGGACTCACGATCTGGGCTCGCGTCGTTTTGACAGAGGATCGACCTGGAGTTTTGCGACCCTTGAGCTCCGTCAAACAGGGGCGTAGTCTCCTGATTTTTTAGCACATTCAGGATACAGCTCATTGATGCTAACTCCCCGGGTGGCATGGGAGATTCTCTACAAGGCATAGACCTTGACACAAAATTTAGTGACAAAGGGACGCTAAGCAAGCTTGGTTGTCCCGCATGGCTCTGCATGCCCAGTCCACATAGGCTTTCTTTCATTTGCAGGCTGTAATTGATACCTGCAAAGTCTGCACACTGAAAGCTACCCAAGGCGGGAGGGCATCCTCATCGTCGTTCAGAAGTCCGCTTCAATGGACTATTGCTACCCTTATTGGCCACGACCCTACTTATTGGAGCAACAAACAGACATGTCCAAGTTGTCATCATCCCAAGCTTCACTGCGCGCGAGCACTTCGGCAGGAAGAAGAGTGAAGCTGCGCAGTTTGCAAGGTGCCCACATAGATTGGGCCCTAGAGCTTCATTGATAATTCTCCGGGGTGCAGACTCCATTCAAACACATAGTACTTACATCACCACCATTCGTCTGGATCCAATCGCACTCCTAACTTGAGCAACTGCATTGGAAACCTCTCATCTTCTGCTCTCCAATGGAGCAAACTCTTCTTTCCTGGAGCTCTTCAGCAGAGAGGTCCGCTTCTTCACGTCCCTCACCTCCCCACGGGCGGAATGGTTCAGTGGCCATCTATAAATCATCCAACCAGTCAGCTCACTCTTCGGCATAACGCTGAGAAGCACACTGACTCGAAGTATTTTCCCAAGAACAGCCCTACTTCGCCTCAAATCTCCATCTTGACACACTTTTATGACATCCTCCAACACCCATTGTCTCAATACGAATCGGGGGTTCACACTCTTCATCAATGCTTCTCGTACATCTAGCCAATCTTGTCCCCCCTTGCCTTTCCATGCCCGGGGGTCCTCCCTGTTAATATGTTCCGCATAGCTTTCCAGCCATTTCTTCCAAGCATCAGGTACTTCCGCTTTCCTAAACGATGGGACGAACTCGTCGAGAGTGTCGATGAACATACTTAATGCTCCCGAATTCGATTCATCAAGAAGCGAAGGACGGAAGAATGAAAGTTTGCGAAATGAACTGTGGAAGTCCACGAGGTTTTCTTCAAGGAGATTGAGAAGGGATGTTAGGAGAGTCCGCTTAGCCTTGAAGTCTTCTGTGTTCCGAAGGCCCAGACGCTAAGGTGGACCCCCTTTGAGCCTCTTCATCGACGGAAACAGGATGTTAACTAGCCTTGAACATTATCTCATGATATCGCTTTTCCACTATTTCCTGTATCTCGACCTCGATTGACACGGCATGGGCGAGACCTTTATCGTGCCATTGGTCTATTTTCTCCTTGGGGACATTGTCAGCCCAACCTTCCTCCACCGCCTTGCCACTTTCTTCTTCTGCCCCAATCAATGGGGCGAGAGAACGAAGGAGCATCTGGGCTGCATAAATACTGAAAAACTATGAGAATGAATGCACAGTCGATAAAACAAAGCACCCTACATCATTGTTGGTTGCATCTGTTAATATGAAGGGCGGGGAGAATAACTAACCAGATAAAATCCGCTCGCGTGCACTGGAACGCACCTTGAAAGAATACCTGCCCATATCATCTTCAGAGTTACATATATGCGCATACTCATATATATCCATAAAGGCGTAGGGCCCATAATCAATCGTCAAACCTGAGACGGCGACGTTGTCCGTGTTGATCACCCCATGCTAAATGAAATACATTAAACCCATGACAAACAGGTAGTAGACGATTTACCATCCATCCATAGGCCTGCCAGCCCGCAACCATCTTCGCGTTCCTTCTAGCGGCCTCTGTTACTAAGTCTCGCCCCCAGGGTTCCCCTTCTTTTTTCCCAAGTTTCAAAACCCGTCTTACGACCCACTCACCCAGAATCCTCAATGACTCCCAGTTTCGTTGCGACGTACTCGCCGAAGAACCCCCAAAGAGGTACACTACCTCTCCCGAGCTTTGAGGAGGGTTGAAAGCCTCGAAATTGCCTACCCGGATGAAAGAAGGCGACACTCGAGATATGATGGCGGAAGTTTCACGCCTTTCTCGAACCACAGAGATTTCGGGAAGTGAGATGAGAGAAAGGGCACGAGTGGTAGGGATTCCCAGTGCGTTCACGGCTATTTAATCATAAGGTATCATCATTATTCCAAAACCGGCCAGCAGGCTCCTGGCCTTCTCGCATACCTTCGGACCCTAAAAATTCTCGAATAGAACTACGAAGCACTGCAAGTCCATCTGCATTCCTCGAGAATGGAGTACGACCTGACCCTTTTAGCTGGATTTCATGAATTTTCTCAGGATCATCAGGATGAGGCGTTTCCACTGGATGCATTTAGAGTAAACCCCATCATAAAGAACAGGACTCTTAGCAGCAAACAGTGCATACGTATTGATACAGCTCGTCCATCTCCCAGAGGACCCGCCCACACACCGAACTGATGTCCAGAATACCGGAGAGACCAAGGAGCGTATGCCGGTTCGTTAGGGCTGTATCCTTTTGAGTCAGGAAGGGGAGTCATCAAGACAGAGTGACCAGAGAGTACGTCGAGAAGCTCGTGAGAGGCCTCTGTGGCTTGAGTTGGAGTATGCTCGTCTGGCGTGCTTGTTGTTTCGAGCGGTTCCAGAGAGGGATCGCCCAAAAGTGTGAACGCATCCCCAACATCTAAGGCTGGGAGCAAGTCCTTGAGGCACGACTGAGAAAGCCCAAGAAGGTGACGTGTCTTCACAAAGTCATTCTTAGTCGCAGCATACTTCCTCAGTGAAAGATCAGGGGCGAATGATTTTCCCTTGGCATCAGCAGTCGGAGCCAAAGGCTGCTCGACGAGCGGTTCCTTTTCCTGAAGCCAGTTCTCGATGCCACGGCTAATCGACTCCCTATCTTCGATATTGGTAGGCGGTGGGATGCTGTAAGGGAACGGAACAGGGAAAGGTGTAGTAAACGAGTAATGCGCAGCCGTGTCTAGGACCCGTGATCGACGTTGAACGGACGGATGCTCTCGCAGAGTATCTTTTTGGAATGATGCCACTGAGAGGCCAGCAACTGGGTCGGGCGCCAATGACGCCGTCAGCCTATCTTTAGGGAGTGCTAGAGGCAAAGAACCAACGGGATAACGAGCCATGAGGGACGATGGCGAAAGTGGACAGCGGATCATTCAGTGACCTACACCCGCGACAATATATTCGGTGAACTCCCTTGCAATACAACCCGAGCCCTACACCTGGAGTCATCTTCATTGTCCTTTCAGGTGGAAGACTAGTGGCAACATGTGCACCATGCAATGGCTAGTTTGCCGTTATCTGCAATGATTTACCCCGACCTGTACAATGAGTGAAATTGATATATCCTCCACCAGACCCAACAGTCATACTCGGTTACTCTCTTAGCATCACAAATGCAGCCTAAGGCCAGATTTGAATAATCCTCTCATACTCCGAGCACCTCCGGCCACTCTTGTATCGTCACAAATCATCGTTCCATCCATTTGTCACGTTCAATCGGGCTTGCACAAACTCTATGAAATCCGTGTGTTTCACTAAGTTGTCTGTACTGAGATGACAAAGAAGCGGCTCCTGGAAACAGGCAGTGGTGGCTCCTGTATCACAAAGGCAAGGAAGGTTGCTGAAGAATTCGCTGCAAGCTGTCCTTGCGTCGATCGTGAAGCGAGGATTTAGCCGTCTATGGATGACGGTGATTTGTTATGTCTAATGTCGATAGAGATGCACTTTACGGGTGGAATCCACCTCATATCCGTTCATCTGTCCCGTCCCATTCGAAATCGCCAAACTCATTTGGATACCAGATAGTCTGGCCCATAGTACCGCCTTCATCTCGAACAACGAAGCCACCGGTCTCAGCATCTTCAATCAATTCCTCGACAAGTCCAATTGGCATGCTAAGAATCTCTGCTATAGCGACTGTGGTGCATTCGGTGCCGGTTTGAGATTCAATGGCGCTGAGGATTCGTGTGGAACAAACATTCTCATCGAAAGCTGGGGTTTGAAGGACTTTGGCACCCGAACGGAAGGTTCGGATCTTCATCGGCAATTTAGTATACCGAGGGAGATACGAGACACACTCGATTAGTGAACTGGGGGGAACGAGGGCTGGCACGAGCACGAATTGGTTTTGATGAGAGACACCCTCTACCAAAGCAACTTCAACACTTACCAACACCACGCGCTCGGTTCCAGGTCTTCCATAATTCGTCTAATGGAATAATCGCATCGCGCAACCCATTCGATAGGTACCTCTCGCTGTTGAGGATGACCGCTAATTCCCTGGCAAGTTCTTCATGATACGTTTTCTCGTCCTTCACCATATCTTGAGTGACAGTCATTGTAGGGAGTCCAAGCTGCCCCATAGACTTTCGGATGAAAGTCACTTCCTCTGGCTGGGTTGAAGAGGAGGCCGGAGCAACTGCAGAATGGGGTAGGTCGGGGAACATGGATTTCCTACGTTCAATTTCTTCCTCTTGAGCTGTGAGCTTCGCATTGAGGGAAGATGCAAGCTCAACCATTTCCTTGGCTTTGATCATCAACGCTTCGAGATCGCGTAGACCCGTGTCTATATTGGAATTTACTGCTCGCTGGGTCACGTCTACAGTATCAAGAATCCCCTCTATTATTGATGTAAGGGCACATCATACTCATTTTTGAATTCCAAGACACGTACGAATGCCAGATCTGGCTGCGTTTTCGGACTTCCCAATGACGCGCCGCCCGGAATCTTCGCTCTAGGTTAACCTAATCGTCAGTGATAATTCCGAGATATGGGGAAGCTCCCCTACCATCCACGCCTTTCTCAATAGGGCCTTCTTTAGTGTATTATAAAAACTCTTTGCGCCACCTTTCCTAAAACTAATCCTCAAGACATCTGTGGAAGGCAGGGGCACCTCCACTAGGAATGCGGAAGTATCCGTCTTGGGAGTCGTGGCCTGTGATGATGCAAGACTTGTTGATCCGATGGATTGGGGCGATCTCCTTGTGGGCAGAACCGTATCACACATTTCACATATTCGCATTGAGGGGTGATTCAGATACGTGCACGCCGAGCATGAGACTAAGTCCTCAGAATCGGAAACCGACAACAGAGATGCCGCCGGAATAGGTATAGAGGCTTGCGAAGAAGCAGAGGGCGGCGTTCCGAACCTCGAGACAGGATTTAATGACAGTGTGTGAGGCCGTCGCGATTCAGGGGTCGCTACGTAAGCTCGGTTGTCCCGCGGGACTCCGCATAGTCCGCAAACGGGCCTTCCTTCGTTTGCAGAAGGCAAATTCCTGTAACTGCAGAGCGGGCAAACCCAGGAACCGCCCAATGGGCGGATACCGTCATCGTCATTTAGAAGTGAAATCGGAGACGCAGAGTCCACTCCATCAGCAGTCAATTTCAAAAGGAGAGTAATTTTGGGTGAGGATGTCAGGAAGCCAGCATAAAACTCCGTTTGTTTGACGGATGACAGATTGAGGCCCAAACTATTGAGCTTCGGAAGAGCCACATCGATATAGAATAGACGATGGGTAGTCAGCATGACAGTGCCATCTTGACGTCCTTGAGTCTTCTCTTCCCTTCATATCGAATATCCCCATGAATAAGCCAGGTCGGGGATAAACGAAAAACGCCCTCACCCATCATACAACCCAACACTCTCCTGTGAGGCAAGCAATTCTTCGCCTTCATACAACAATGCCGATGGCGCTGTGCCATCGACGGCCCTGAAATACGAGTTCATAGAAGTATCTTGACGGACATTACTAGCTCAGGAGCGCAGGATTGCATTCGGTCTTGTGACCTCGAACGAACACGTTCTCACATGTACAAGCGCTCGGTCGATTCCATGTTCATTTCTACTTACGGATCAGGATCACCAAAAAGATGGAACTTGGTGGCATTGCTATTTATCAATTTTACCTTCAACGGACCAGTTGGCCGAACTTTACAGTGTACTCTGCTGCCACTCTTTGCACTAATTAATCTGGAGCCGGCATCTCACAACCTGTTACCTCTCGACATTGGCAGCTTCCGCTGGCGGAGCCTGCCATATTACCGGTAATAATCTACCTGTGGGGAAGATTAGGATGATTTTTAATTTTAATTGCGGAGGGACTTCAGCCGATTTCGGCCTTGAAGGCCAATACTTATCTTTATTAAATCCACTCTGAAATTACCCCATGCACCAATAGAGGGTCTCCCATGACTAGGGGAATGGATTAGGGTACTGGCAGGAGCATGGTTAGTCTCTAAAAGTGTTCCGAGTCTTCTCTGGAGAAGGGCCTGTGAGAATAACCCAGGGATCATTTTGGGAAGACGCCCATGAGGTCCTGGCATCATTTTTGTCGCTGAATCTGCGTTTCACAGTGTGACGAGGCGGAGAACACAGTGATTTTTTTACGAGTTGGCAGCAACCCATTTGTGGCCTGAGAAAAGAACGCGAGTCGTTCCGGTGCATGAGGCCTGCACAGAAACCTCTCCAGTCCTGTCTAACATAGCCTGCGTACAGAGCGACAGGGATGTCATCGGGATAGGGACTGGAGATTCCTGTACAGGGCCACCGACCTCTGGACCGAAGTTACCGAAGGGGAAAACAGAAAGTCCATTGGAGTCCCTATAAAACATTTGTAGGTTGCCTCTGCTATGTAAAAATTCGGCAGGCTTGTGGAAGAACTTCATCCCGGTCCAGCCAGGGGCCAGTAATGAGGGTGAAAGCCAAGTTCGGTGGCCAAACACGTGGCCACTTCCCAAAGTGGAAGTTGCGACGTGTCTGCCATAGCCACCACCAGCATTCTCCACGTCACCCTCGTCCTTCCCTAGTTCTTTCTCTCCTTTTCGTGATTCGCTAGTCCCTAATTTTCCCATTCAGGACATCTCTGAGTGACTTAGAAAGCTTTTCAAGAGGAATGCTACCCTCGATACACTTGCTCTCGCCAACAGCCCTCTTCGTCTTTACCCTTTTCGCATTGGCAGCATGTGCTGACCTTTATAAGACTCTGGGTGTCTCTAGATCGGCCTCTGACTCGGATATCAAGACGGCTTACAAGAAATTGAGTAAGAAATACCATCCAGATAAAAAAGGTGGTGATGAGGCTAAATTCGTGGAGGTTGCACGAGGTTAGCAGGACTGTGCTTTTACTTATGGAACGTACTGATGCCTTTTAGCCTATGAGGTGCTTTCGGATCCCGAGGTAATGTCATTCAATGTTGTAGGCGGGGCGCCGTATTCAAGTGTTTGACATGCAGAAAAGAAGCATATACGATAGACATGGAGAGGTATGCTGTTTCCTCGTTGCCATTTCCGTCTTAGGGGATGATCCCTTTTAATATTGATATTGTATTAGGAGGGCCTGAAGCAGCATGAAAATGGAGGGGGCGGATTCCAAAACCCATTCGACATGTTCCAAAGTTTCTTCGGTGGTGGACGTACGTGTGCACTGTTATTCCCAAGACATCTGGGTTCCCATAGGCGTTGTACTCTCCCTTAGGTCCACGAGACGAGGTCCGTCGCGGGCCTACATCGGTATCGGAGTTTGAAGTGCCCCTTGCTGCGATGTATGTTTATGCTCTAGCCAGAGTACCATCTTGGATCTAAAAGTCTTCCATCATCACCTTACATCTTTTAGGTATACCGGACAAAACATTGATGTAAGTGAGGTTGGGTTTTGATTATTCAGTGCCTCCTGATCCATACGTCCACATAGTTTATGATTAATAAGAAAATATTATGTGACCACTGCCGAGGCTCGGGCGCTGCGTCTGATTCGCACATTAAGCCGTGTAAAGGTTGTGAAGGTCGTGGCGTCAAGATCACTCGTCAACAAGTATTCCCCGGGATGTTTGCTCAATCACAAACGACGTGCGCTACATTTCTCCTCATTCTCTGGGGTTCGCCCTCTCTGAAACGGATTTCATTAGATGCGACGAGTGTGGAGGCCGAGGGAAAGTGGTCACCAAGACATGTCCACATTGCCAAGGTGCTAAGGTGTTGCAACATACGCAGCATTATACGCTTGAAATTGAGAAAGGCATATCGGAAGGATATGAAGTCATTTTCGAGGGCGAAGGTGATGAGAGTCCTGATTGGGAAGCGGGCGATGTGGTGTTAAGGGTACGCAGTAAGCGTGAGGAAGGGGGCTTCAGAAGGAAAGAAACCAGTTTGTACTGGAGGGAGACTATTGGTGTTGACGAGGTGCGACAACTTCACGAGTTCCCTCTACTAGATGGATTAATCAATGGGGTGTTGTAGGCGCTTCTCGGATTTGAAAGAAATTTGACACACCTCGATGGCCACACCGTCCACATTCAACGGACAGGAGTCACACAACCAGGTTCGTATTCGATTTCCTTCTTCAGCCAGTTGCTGACAAAGCCGTCCTCTAGGGTATGTTCAACAAATCGAAGGGGAAGGGATGCCAGTATTCGACCAAGAGGGAATGTTCGGTGATCTTTTCATTGAGTACAACGTTGTCCTCCCTTCAACTATTTCGAAATCTGCGCGGACAAGTGAGTTTTCGCTCCCACTATGAAAGAATATTATCCATTTCTGTCTGTTTTTAGAGCTGGTAGAGGCTTTCCAACCACCGAGAGGAAAGGATGAATTATAGTCTATTTTGTCATTACCTCAATCCTAATTATTTCTCAATGGTTCACTTTGGCGCCCTTTGGAGTTACAAGCGGTCACATTGGGTCCCGATCGGGTCCCGCGCCACATGGGAGGTGGTATTCGGGAGGTTCGAAGTGTTCCAATAAATGACTATGAATTATTTGATCATGATCGAACGGAGGCTCTGGCTTTGAGTGGAAATATGCACCATTCATTTATGTAAGAGTCTGGTGTACTCGCTCATTCCTCGGGACTAAAATCATGGGCATGATGAGGAAAACCTTCAACGTCGTTGCTTTCATTCTCCGGTGCTTTTCCTTCCTCACTCCTCCCTGCTCGACCACGTTAGCAAACACTCCCGTCCTATCAACCCCAATGAGAGATTCTCGCATATCATGGATAAGAAGTCGGTCCTCCCAGCACGTGGGGCCTCGATCGAGTGTTCCGGCGCCGAGTGAGGAAGAAACTCTTGCCGAAGAACGGGCATTAGGGACGCCAGAAGATCTATATCGAGTTTGTTCTAATGTCCTCGCGCATCACTTTGATCTTACTTTCCAATGCCCGCCCATACCCGAGTCCTAGGTTGACTTTGCTTGACCATTCGATAAAGGTAACTAGAAACTGGCTGAGGTGGCGTAAATGAACCTTAAGGCATTTTGCGCAGGAGTCAGTCATTTCAATAGCCAACCGCTGACTTATCACCTTATTAAAAATCGGTGGTCCTCCATCACTTATCTTCTACGCCTCTTGCGGACAACTTACGCTACTAGAAGAGTGGCTTAAAGCTGGTGGGTGGTAGACATGGTTTGTATTGTCCGGGAGCCGAGGGCTGTGGCGTGTATTCTGCATCAGGGCCTTGGTTTTGTGAGACAAAGGAAATGTGCTCGCCATGTAGGGTGTGTGGTTTCGCGCAGTCACAATTCAACCACACGCTGATGAGGGGGATCCGTGCGTTAAGTGGGAGGAACTAAAAGAATTTCGAGTTGGAGCATAGAGGACTGGCAAGTCATTGAAGTGACCTCATTTATCAGCCTCGCGTTGACTACGCCCTGTCTCAGCATCAGAATCTGCAAGGTTTGTCCAAACACGAGCGCCATATTCGGAAGGATATGGGGGAACATAAAAGTTACCTCCGCGCCCGCAAGATAGCTGCTGCAGCCTGGACAAAGCGCGACAAACATGGGGGCATGGTGCCAGAATAATGGAGACTTTGCGCTCTTAACGAAGATCAGGAAAAACAAAAATCTAGTGAAATTTAATAAAGCCATTTTGTAGGTATGCTTTGGAACAACCCTGCTACTTCCTGCGGCGAGACATTTGGAGTGGGACAGATTGGCTAAAGGGATCAGTGGACATGGCCTGCCATTGACTTATTAGTATGGTAGAGCGTATGAATTTCCAGGGGTTTGGCGAAGTGGAGGATTCTGCCAGTTTTGAGTTTCCGATTTTGACATGAAATCCCAAGTGATTTTCAAACAACACATAACACATACCCCTTCCTAAATGACTGCACCTTAACTTGATCTGATCGCCACCAAAACTCGGTGAAAATTGAAGTGTGGTCCCTTCACTCTTTGGATCTGACTTTATGACTATGGTGGTCAGAACCTAGTGATCTGCGCTGCCAATCAATTCATAGCTTGCAGCTTACATGCGACCGCTTTTGATCACCTTCATGTGCAGAACCGCTGCCACAGGGGAAAACTGCACGATTCTCCATCTTCCTTGTTCTGAATGCAGCAGGCAACGCACCCTCGACTCCGATTCATAGCGTTAGCACAAGTAGCAGCCATCAATCTAGCTTCTGTCAGTATCAGGATGACTTGGCTATGGTGAGAGCTTGCTTCTAGCGCTAAACCGCTATACATCAGGCGGGGGGCTTTTGGAGCCACTATACATCGTCTCGGAACTGGTGACGTCCAGCAAACCGCAACGCTAAGGCTGGTCACCTGCCTACCGCAACGCCCCTTTGTGGAACGCGCACATTGTGCACATGCGCGCACGTGCACCGAAATTTTTTGTTTATGTTCAATTTGCGTCCATGTTTTTTTTTAAACTACCTCATGCACGCATTTAGCATAGATTTTAATCCAAAAGACTCGGTCTCAAATACATCATGACAACACGGCCGCATAAAATTGTTGTTTGAACCGTTCACGGAGAAGGGAAAACTACACATCAGAACGTATCGAGATTCGAACCCACACCGGAGAACTTGGGAAAGGTATGTCAGTACAAGAATGCCCCAAGCTGCTAGATCTAATATGGTATTATGGGAACATTTAAGTCGCCGACATTCTATACTAAACCAATGGCTCTGAATGTTCTCGACGGTATACTACGCGGAAAGCTGGGTTAGAAGCGCAGACCAAGCGTCATCAACGCAACTTGAGCAGCCGGAACGAAAAGAATCCCCCAGGTTCCAGGGAAAATGGTGATGGCACCACCGGTTCGTGTTGATGATAAAGTGGGTGTGCTGCGACTGCTTGTACTACTCGTCGTGTATGCTTCAGAGAGAATCAAGTCTTTTAGTTTGGAAAAATCTGGAGAGCCCCAACCGGTCACAGGGTCCCAGCCTTGCGTCGCATTAAATCCTTCAGTGCCACACCCAAGGTTATTTCCCACTGTAATGTCATTGAAACCCTTGCCACCAAGATGGTACAGAAGCGGGTTGCTGAGTGTACTACGTCGGCAGACGTTCTCACCAAGTCAAAATCACTCACATAAATCCAAGAGACTTTCGGCCATTAGAAATTAGAACGTCGTTCAGTAAGGAAATCTGAGCGCGGCAGCATAGCAAGTATTAGGTTCGTGAATCTCGCTAACCGGTGGAGGCCTTACAATAGCAGCGAATGATGGTGCGGAGGCGCTGGTGCCTGAGATCTGGGCCGGAGCCCTTCCGACAATGACGGTATAGTAGACAGAGAGCGCTGAAACATCTGGAAATCCGCGCCCACTTGTGTTAAAAAGACCTTGAACACCATGGTATGAGAAAATGAATTAAGTGACTTGTACTAGTGGAAACGCACCTTTCTGCTCGGTGGCGTAGTTGGCGATGTAACCTGGTATTGCGACATCTTGATACGAGGGTCGGGGAAAATAGTTGCTGAACCCTCCACCGGAGAATGAAATCGCTGTTTCAGGATCACCCACGGTGCCACCCACGGAGGTCACACTGGAGTAAATTTAAGATATGACAGACTGTTCTGCCTTCAAGCTACACTCACTATGGACAAGTGGCAGGAAACGTTGGAGAGAACGCATTGACCGGAGTGAAACACGGTCCCGAACCTGTTGGGTCTATTCCCGTCCCAACCCCTGAATCGCCAGAGGAATGGATGATAGTAACGCCTCTGGCAGCCAGTCGAGCATATAGATTGCAAACGCTGTATGCGTAATCCTCAGGAACGAACCGTTCATCCTCACCTGAAAATGCGTGTCATACACAACAGTCCCACAGGTTGACGAGTCGACGAGAAGGTGCAGGTGGAAACGCACCATAACTGGTTGAAAGTACGGTAGGAAGCTCTCCGTCACTCTTCGATAATAAATAATTTAGGAAAACATCATACCTATATGATAGTGAGATTGTCGGTCAAGGGGGTTCCTGATGCACTTACGGCTCATTGGTATTCGACACGTTTTCTGGGGTGTGCAGACCTCGGCCATGAGTAGAGTAAAATACTAGCATGTTAACCAAGCAATGAGGATGAAGTAGATCATGGGTGACTCTGCAGTCAGCTCACTATTACGTATTGGGAACTGCGTGTGCCGTTCTTTAGGGTAAGAAAGTAGGTTGTCTGGGAGGCAGTGTGACTGGGACTTACCGAAAGGCCTCCAGCATACTGGACGTCCAAGTTCTAGGCGATCAATTCAGCATAGCTCGAACAAGTCAACTTGGAGTTCAGGGGGTAAGTTTACCGCTTCACTTCCAGCAAGGGACACATTTTGAGGATTAATCCCGCCTAATTAGATATTTAGAGATAGAGCAGAACAACTCCACGCATCACCCTACCTTTTACCAACTCTACTTTCAAAGTTGAAACGTTCGCAGCAGCTGGCAAATATGTTTCATAAAATAATTTAAGGTCGCCGAGGTTTGCATACTGCTCCAGATAGCTTGTTGTTTCATGAAGAGTAAGAATAGCGTGTTTGAAACGACTTGTCAACTTACCCAGTAATGCCAATAACATTATTAGACAGATTTTTAGGGGCGTAATCTCCAATATTATACTGAGTTTTGATGGTGTCCAGCGTAACAGGAATTGGCTCCGCCGCTATGGTCACTGGAAATTTCGGAGGGATCGCTCCGAAGTGGGGGCGGACAGTGCTTCTATATGGCTTAATATTACCAAAGTAGTTTGTGGGTTGTACGGAAACGACATGATGGAGAAGATCCTCCGGAAGCTGGTAAGACGGTGTCCTCATAACTTTTCGACCCGATGACTGGTGTTCGTATACAAAGTATTTGGTCCCCAATAACCGCTCGGCTTCTGAGATGGTGACAAGGATGGAAAACCAATCCTTCGCGTCGGAAGCCCATCGAATAGATCCCAAATCTACATCATACCGCCTCAAGTAGTCCATCACGCCAGAAATAGATTCTGAACGGGGGGAAACTAGCACGTTCACATCGTGTTTTGACAGGCGTCCCTGGCGAGTCCACCTAGGATTCCTTGGATCGCTGTTTTCATAAAGCCGCCGTTCAAGCTCATCAAACCTTCCCGGACGCAGCGAGAAGGCCAGCTCAAAACGATGTTCAGGGGGAGCGACGTAAAGCAATCTCCAGCCCGGAGGAACCGCGATTGAACTTTTGAATACGAAGTTGCTCGATAGTGCAGAAGCCGCAGCGATACAAAGGAACGGAAGCCACAGGAGTATAAGCATCGACCAGGATGCTCGTTGAGACTGCGTACGCCGCTGGAGGTTGCGGTGGAGGCCTGGTTGCGATACACAAGAGAGCCAAGAGCAAACAATATACAACATCACTGAATAAGGGTCCCAATTTCAAATGGTTGAGGTGTATAATCAATACAGATTCGATGGTTTCGTTCGTCCACTGGTTCACGGCGCCCAGCACTCATAGAGTTACATCGTCGCTGCCTAATCCTAACAGCTGTCATTCTTTGTTTAGCCTTTCACTTTTCCTCCGACTATCGGCCCAGCACAATCGATTAGGGATGACGGTATCCCCGCTGAGATTTTACACAACCCACTTGCAACAACAAAGTTATTGGGATTTGAGCGTTGAGCTTGCCTGCGCCCACTTTAGAGTTCAGTCACAACGTTTCCTGTCGGCGGGAAACGAGAAACGACACCTCGCCCCCCATTGACCCAAAGAACTCAATGAGATCACCGGAAAATTCTCCTGGCGAGAGTTGTGTCGTGAAGTGGCTGCCCTGTCGAGTGACAAGTCGTGAGAGGGAGGGATGGTTCATGTCCACCGTCAGTCCGCTGGGCGAGGCCTCATACCTCTTTGTGGTAGCGAATAAAGGTGAGATTCCGTGGTTTTAACAGTTGCCTGTATGGGTGTCATTTTTGTGAACAGAAATGGGGGAATCCAATTGCTCGGTTCCCTTTGTGGGTTCGTCTCGGCCATACTGGCAGTACCCACCAGACTGGAAATAACTGTAACAGAGGGGTTTACGGACGTAGAGTGACTTATCATCGGTTACGCCACCGGGAAGAACTGAATGCCATTTGAATGTTTCTTAGTCTCGCCCACGAATAATATTGACAATGATGGCGGGAAAAAAATAAGCTCGTACCTCATAAATATGTAGTTGCATAAGTTTGGGTGAACCAATATAGCGTGAGAGCTGTCAGAATCATATCAAGTGGCAATAGAAAATATCCCAGGATGAAGGTACTAGTGAATCGGGAGGCGAATTGTTTTCTCTCGAGACTCGGAGGACGGAGGGTTGCCAGAGGGCTTTATCCCACTGCCAGGAACGTGCGTTGGAGGTTTCGAGGCTCTTACTTGTACATGTCCTAGATCGAATGAAGTCATTGACGCGCCAACCAAGGCGTTTGGCTTATCGATAGAGCAATCGGCATTCATGAGGATATTGCAGGTGTCGACCAGCAGCACAGCACATCCTCGCGAACGTGTGTACACGTCGGGTTCGTTCTGCGTTGAGGATCCCTCATTATTTAGGCCATCTTGCACCGACCTCTCACCGCCCAATCTCACTAAGGCATGGCTCCATCGCAAAAGGCACCATATCAGTCTTCCGGATCAGCGTAACGGCTGTTGAAACAGACGTCCTCGAGACTCACAACACAATCCAATGCAGAGAATGGCCTAAGAATGACCAAACCAAGAAGCGCTGGACACCACCAGGCCCGGAGGAACGAGGGGGAAAAGACCCACCCGATTCTTGAGCACCCTCGATCTTTGCACATTGCCTCTCGATACCAAATAGCTCTTCTGCAAAGAATTGGACGGCCTTACAGCATATCAATCTCACTGCATAACTGGCACAAACTACGAATACAGGATGGCGAGATTGGGTGAAGCGATGGATCAGTCTGCCAGGCAATGATGGTTTGTTGGAGGTAGGTGCCGGTTTGTGTTTAACCAGGGGTATCTCAGTAAATGCTAATGCGAAGCGAGCACACGATCGTAGATCGAGTTCCATTTCACCTTCATCCCCTTCCCCCAAGGAAAATGCGACACAAATTTCAGAAGCAGCGCCATTTTAAATGGTGATAGATGTCCAAAACAGGGGCCACCCTCAAGCCAAGGTTCGGAATACAAAAATCTTAGGCCTCAGGGAGGCCACTGTACCGTCCGTTCGGATTTCGGGGTGCATGCGGCCCAGCCCAAGGTTCTTCATACGAAGCAGGTTGCGTATTCCCGGCTATGGTCGTAGGCTGCGAGAGACCCTGCGGATAGCCAGCGGGATCCCCGCCTGAACTTGATCTTTTGAAAACTAACATAGCGAGAACTGCAACCAGGGCAAGGCCAACCACACCTCCGACTACTCCTCCTACAATGGCGCCAGTATTTGAACTTCTGCCTCCACCGCCCCCATTGTTGGTGGCAGTCGTGGTAACAATAGTTGGGTATGTGTCAGTGGACGCAGAAGTCGTGACGGTGGAAACTGTGAAGCTCGTGCTGGATGTCGTGCCAGTGGACGAAAACACCTGAGAACTCTCGGGTTTATCTACCGGGACCGCAGGAAATCACCACGAGCATCGCAAAACCATCAACCGGTGCAAACGTACCACCAACGCCTTGTGCAGCATCAATGTTGAAGCTAGAGAAAATAAGTCGTCAGCATGAGTCTTAATTAGGGGGGGGGGGGGAGGGGGGGGAACTGACATTTCATTGTAGATAGAGGGCTTAATGTATGCCCAGTTGGGCACGAGAGTGCCGGGAGGAATCAATGATGGCCGATATTCGCCTTCCACGATCGCAATGCTGCTACAGTTAGCTCCCCAGTTAGGATACCTGGATTGTGCATTAGAGAGGGGGGCATATGTCAGTTAACAGTCAGCACACGTTATGTATGTCCGATTCTGACACGCAGCGCACGCCGACATAAGTTGGTACACTACAGAACTGCAGTCGCCTATTGAATGTGGCTCTAAGTTTTGAAAACACAGTGAAATTGTTGCCTGGGCAGAAGACATACACAAGTTTGGCTCATAGCTCGTGTTTAGTTTTGGACCTTTGTGTTTTGGTGAGCGCGCGTAGTGTAAATCGCATTATGCCCTTACCAACGTAGTGGTAGCCGTCGGGAAGTGCATCCACAAACCATCCTAGTATTGTCAAGAGTCAGTCATTGGTAGGGCCGGGTTTGTGGTGCAGCAAGAGAGATAAACGCAGTGAATCAGGAAGCGTAGCCAAGAGTTCGAGGGCGTGATTGGACAATACGGTTCAAGCCGTGTATAGAGAGTGGGACCGTACGTCAACAGTAGTGACATACCCTAAGCTGGTCGGTGCCAAAGTGGCTTCTATCGTAATTCCCTGAAGGATGCCGTTCCCTGCTTATGACTCTTCCTCCAGAACAGGACTGAGTGACAATATTAATACCCAATAGGAACAGTATACGATCAAGAGAAGAGAAGGAATAATAAAAGCGAGTTGCATGGCGTTATATTTGCAGGGTTTGGCCAAAAACTCACATGTGGACACCTGTCTAGGCTCCCTGAAACCTCCGAGTTCTCAGTTATCAACTGGAACCTCCACTGGAACTCTTAAGTACAAGAGAAAGAGATGCATAGACAGACACTAGATCTGGCGCTACAGTGGCTCACAAGCATCATTTCTTATCGCACTCTCAGACCTGCATTCTCCTGGCATTGTTGACACTGCGTATGGCCGGGTTCGGTCAAATAACTGACATGCGTGCGGGCGTCAATTAGAACGCCTGCTGAGAGAAGGAGGTGATTGACGGATGCTATGTCTGGCACTAGCTTGCCCGCATTGCACTCCCTCGAATCTGCGCTCGCCTTGGTATTTGCTGCAGTGCTTATGTGTTGGCATTACATATTTGCAGCATTTGGCCAAAAACTCACATGTGGACGCCTATCTTAGCTGCCTGAAACCCCCGATAACTCAGTTATCAACTGGAACCTCCACTGGAACTCTATGTGGTAAAGAAAGAGAACATAGACAGACGCTGGATCGGCACCACCGTTGCTCGCTGGCATCGCTTTCCACTGTGTTTTCTTAAACCCTCACACCAGTGTACATACGCAATCGGTGAAACACTCACTTGCGGACGTCTTTGTTGATACCTAGAACTAGTCAGATCATGAGGAGCAGGCGATCCGAGAAATAATGAAGCGATACTGATTTGAGCAGCGATCTTTATATGTCTGATGATCCGGGGTTTAGGCAAGTCTATCATGGTTGTTATCATTCTCTAACACATCGTTGACGGTTACGGATGGTCTGAAGTTATTAGGAAGGTAGGAAGGGTGTCGAAGTGGCAAAAAGTTCGTCTCATTCAGAGCGATGGAAAACAAGAAATTTCGAGTGACAACCTCAATACTCCATTGGAATAGTATAGAAACAAGAGAAGAGAAGAAAGTGAGTTGCATATCATTATATTTGCACCGTTTGGCCAAAAACCCACATGTGGACACCTGTCTGGGCTACCTGAAACCTCCGAGTTCTTTGTTATCAACTGGAACCTCCACTGGAACTCTATGTGTAAGAGAAAGGGATGATAGACGGAGTCTAAGTAAGCACTACTGTTGGCTCGCTAGCATCGCTTTTCATTGTGTTTTCTTGAATCCTCACACCTAGCATCATTAGTACGGAATCGGTGAAACACACACATGTGGACGTCTCTTTTGGAACTTAAAACTAGTCAGATCTCGAGGAACCGGCGAGTTGCTCCAAGGGTACTCCAGAACAAGGGAAGGAAAGCAAAGGTATGGCGATCCAAGCTCTACTGATTAGTTTGAAGCAGCGATCTTACGTCTGAAGATCTGGCCTGAATTTTGGGTTTAGGCAAGTCTATCATAGTTATTCTCTAGTACATAACTGACCCGAGGTTACAGATAGTCCGGAGCTACTAGGAAGGACGCTGAAGCGACGAAAAGCCCACATGTGGACGTCTCGTTCAGAGCCATGCAATACAAGAAATCCCGAGCGACAATCTTAACACTCGATAGGAACAGTATGAATGCAAGAGAAGAGAAGGAATTGATGAAAGTGAGTGGCAAGGTCACTGACGGTCTGTATCTTCATCTTATTAAGGGGCAGGCTGCAAGCCTATCACAGCTGCAGTTTTATAGATCTAGCCAGGCCAGCGAGCACGAAATGAGACCGGATTCGAGGTAAGTTGCTAAGTTCTTGATCTCCTGGGAGGATGTCCACCTTGTCGTGGTCCAGGAGCTGCCTGATGAAGACTTCAGGACTGTGACTTGTCATGGTTCAGCAGTTGAGGGCTCCAAGAGGCATCCATTGCTCGATCTAGTGTGGTAGTTGCTTAATCTAGGGCGATAGTTGCTTGTTGTTTCCGGGGCAGAGACTTCTTAAGAGTCCCCACTTGTCACAGTTCAGTCGAACCCGACAGTGGCTCTGGGGTCACAGCTCCGAGGGGAGGGGCGGGGGGATGTTTATGTATCGCGTTCACAGCAAAGACCTCCTTAGAGTCCCCACTTGTTGCGGTTCAGTCGATCCCGACAGTGGCTCTGGGGCCGAAGCTTCACAGGGATACAATCTCTTTAGAGTCCCCACTTGTTGCGGTTCAGTTGAACCCAACAGTGGCTCTGGGATCCGAAACTCCAACGCGACTTAGGGCGAAGACTTCTTAAAGAGTCCCCACTTGCTGTGGTTCAGTTGGACCCGGCAGTGGCTCTGGGGTCGAAGCTCTAAGAGGGGGAGTGGGGGTGGGGGTGGGGGTATATCGCGTCCACAGCAAAAGCCTCTTAAGAGTCCCCACTTGTTGCGGTTCAGTCGATCCCGACAGTGGCTCTGGGGTCGAAGCTTCACGGGGATACGATCTCTTTAGAGTCCCCACTTGTTGCGATTCATTGGAATAATCCGACAGTGGCTCTGGGATCCGAAGCTCCAACGCGAGTTAGGGTGAAAGACTTCTTAAAGAGTCCCCACTTGCTGCGGTTCAGTTGAACCCGGCAGTGGCTCTGGGGTCGGAGCTCTAAGAGAGAGGGGGGGAGGGGATGTATGGCGTCCACAGCAAAAGCCTCCTAAGAGTCTCCACATGTTGCGGTTCAGTCGATCCCGACAGTGGCTCTGGGGCCAACGCTTCACGGGGATACGATCTCTTTAGAGTCCCCACTTGTTGCGATTCATTGGAATAATCCGACAGTGGCTCTGGGATCCGAAACTCCAACGCGCCTTAGGGTGAAAGACTTCTTAAAGAGTCTCCACTTGCTGCGGTTCAGTTGAACCCGGCAGTGGCTCTGTGGTCAAAGCTCTAAGAGGGGGGAAGGGGGAGAGGGGGAGAGGGGGTTAGTTGCTTGCTTAATCTATGGTGGTCGTTTGTTGGTGACGTCCCCCTGGGAGGATGTCCACCTTGTCGTGGTCCAGGGGCTACCTGATGAAGACTTCAGGGCTGTGACTTGTCATAGTTCGGCAGTCGAGGGTTCCAAGAGGCATCCAATCCTAGTCTTCGTGATAGTTATTTATGGAGATGGTAACGACGGGAGAGTTTTCTTCTATGTTGCTAGGACTCAAGGAGCAAAAATGAGACATAGACGTTGAGTGCGGCATAGGGTTAGCCCGATAGAACAATTGTTGGGGCTGTTTCACAAAATCCATCCTGATACCAATTGACATTGGCGGCGCTCATTTTATACACATACCACCTCGAAAGAGGCCCCTGTCGAGCACAAGCATTCTGCCAACGAGAGTACAGTGAGACAAAGCTAGCCAGTGTCGTTTAGAGTACCAAAGTACAATATCCTCTTGGCGTCTCAGCGATATTTGAGTTAACCGGTAGAAGCTAGGCTAGCCGCAGGCATTGTTAAGAAATCATCGACAGATCGATCGATCGATTCAAAAGGTTACATGCTAACCAACTGCATGCGCATTCAGTGGAACCAGCTAACTTAAAAGGTCTACGCTTGTAGCTAGAATGAGCTGGGTCATACAGATCGATACGTAAGAGGTACTCTCAAACACGGAGATGCCACAGCAAGGTATTAAGGGAGCCTCACCTCCTACATCCTACGAACAAATAAATACCTAGAATATTCCAAATCTCGGCGCAGTTGCCCATGGACATAGAAGGCAGAGCAATTCTTCATGCCTGCCAGGCGCATCAGTGCAAGAAAACGGAAAACCAGAGCGGAGGGATGACGGAGTCGGCTGGTGACCCCGGGTGGTAGGTGTACAAGGGGCCGATTGGTATGAGAGGCCGGCAGCATTCGCGGCTTCTGTGCTTTTCTGTGCTTACTTTTCAGCACCCGTGCGGTGTTGTTGAACAAACGAGCCACAGAAAAGTTTTTGGTAAGTAAAAACGTTGAGGCCCTTTACACACGCAGCTGGAGGATATAAAGTGGCGCTGGAGTGTAGGATATTAATGATGTCGAACGACTTGTGGCCGTGGGAATAAATTAAATAAATTCGTGTCACATAACCTGGCTTTTCCTCTTCTCGCCAGATGCTCTAAGCTCTTTGGAGTATAGTGAACGCTTCCCGAGCACGCAGACATCATGCAGGAAAGTTGAAAGGAGAGGATATTTACGTAATTTTTGAGACGCACGGGCGAGTGGCGAAACATATCTAAGGAACAAATTCAGGACTGGGCAGTTCAAGTTCTAAACCTAATCCACCTACCAGTCCCTCCAAATATTCCAACACCCAACCTCGCCGTGCCGACACTCTTTTTCTGACACTCTGAGTCCTTCGCTTTTGAGCTGGAGAGTCGAGGCGAACGTGTGATGCATTGGTCTCAGCTCAGCCCCGCCCTCGTACCGTCTGTCCAAGATGATCTTGTTGGAATCGGTTGAGTCTCGCGTGCATGACGGAGACCATAGAGGCTGGTCACTGGTTGCCTATGGCAGAGAAGAATTAAGCGTATCACATATTGTGTGCTATATACATTATGCAGTCTACATTAGCTTTATATCTAGATCACTCCGCATTGGCACATCATCAGCGATCCCTCTTGATTCCTCATCCGCTTTGTGGCGTTCGAACTGTATAGGAGTTGCACCTCCCTCTTGCGGGGAAGTCACTTTGCTTCCCTTCAAAGATGTTCCTCAGAGACATCCGTCCGGCTATTCTTCCCCGCCCACAATGTGGATTTAAGGATCGCATCTGGCCTCTTTGCAATGCGCCCGTGTCCCCCGTTTTCAGTCCTCGAGCAGTTGAGCGGAAGGTGTCTCGGAATGGTTCCCTCGTTGACATTGCTCGTTTCTGCTCTCCCCTTATTGAGTTGGGTGTGCGCCGCACTTCCAGCACCCCATTTTGTCGACAAGAGCTCGATCCGACTGCCTCGGGGATGGACCCACCATGGCATTCCTCGCCTCGCACTCCCATCACTCTCCGTTTTGGGCTCACCCAGCCTTACTTTCACCAAATTGAATTCGCATTGCTTGAAATAAGCGATCCATCTAGCCCCCGATGGACTGAGCACTTGAGCAAAGAAGAGGTCGAAGAGTTCTCCGCTCCTCAGAAAGTATCATCCTGCTCGAATCTTTCCTTGTCTCGCACGGCATCGATATCACAGGCGACGCACTCCAACGAACACCCGCAAGTGATTGGATCTCACTCAAGACCAACATTGAAATCGCAGAGAAACTTCTCGACACAACCTATTCAATATATGCGAACCACGAGACCAGACTCACTACGATTCGTACAACGTCATATAGTCTTCCTGCTCACCTGCACGACCATATCGACGTCGTTCAGCCTACGAACTACTCCCCTTCTGGTCGACCTCTTGTCGTCTCTGATAGTTGATGATGGCGCCTTCAACCAGCAAAGCGCTCCCGCCCCAGTACCATCACCACAACCAAACATGTCACTCCCAGAGCTTAAAACGCTCTATCGCACCGATGCGTACAAGGCTAAAGGAACGCGAAGTTCAATCGGTATCACCAGGTAGGTATCATCACATCTTAATTGTTTCGCTCTCGGAATTCCCATCAACTGTTTAAACTAAAATGTGATGTTTTCTCATTTTAGGTACCTCGAGCAATATGCGAACCTTGCTGACCTCAAACAGTTTTATTCCATTTTCCATCCTCCAGCGCTGAAGAGTACCCTCCATGTGGGGCTTATCAACGGTAAAGTTCATCGTTGTGGCATTTCGTTATCATTGATGCATTTTTTTCTCTCTCTCTTGTTTGTCGTTGTTACATAGGAGCAATCAACTCTCAGAACATTTCCGAGGCTGGCATCGAGGCTGTAAGTTCCTTTGAATCTCGATTCTTCCATTCCCACTTTCTCCGCTTTTCTTGTTTCTCTTCCTTTTCACGTATAGAATTTGAACACTAACCCCTTGGTCTTTTGGTGTTCCTTTTAATTTGGATGTCCAATTCGCGGGAGGGATCTCGGTGAGCTACCTCACCTCTGCGCAATGGGGATTCCGGGCTACTCAATCACCCCTTGAAATCTGTTTTGATGGCAGTACCCTGTCAAGCAAAGTACGTGCAGCTTAAATCAGTACCATTTTAACTATTGTAACACCATTTCTTCTTAATTCGTATTCTACAGTACATATGGTCGCGGCCAAATACGAACCGGAGCATCAGCTATGAGGATAACGGCAATGAACCGTGAGCGGATGCCAAACCCGTATTCATATGAATCAACTAAAATTATCACAATCCACAGCTACGACGTTTTTCTCACTTACCTCCTCAGGAAGAAAACGAAGGATCTTCCTCAAGTGTTGACTACCAGTTATGGTGAGTCTCTGCATCCTATTTTCCCTGAACCCAAAAATTTCACTCTAACACTCATGTGGGGACCGCGGAATTTTCGAAATTATATGAAGGTGAGGATGAGGATACAGTTCCGATCAACTACGCCCGATGTGTGTGCAAGCTTTACGCTGCACTGGGGACGCAGGGTGTTAGCGCACTGCATGCCTCGGGCGATGGAGGTGTAGGCTGCGTGGGGGAAACAGGAGCTTGTTTCACCCCCAATAGGTTCGTGCCTATCTTCCCTGGTGGGTGCCCATAGTGAGTTTTCTATGTATTTTCCATATATCTGTGCTGAACATTAAGTCGTGCTGCTTGAAGCGTCACGACTGTCGGGGCGACGTACCAAATTCCCGAAACAACAGTTCGCTTCTCCGGAGGGGGGTTTAGTGATTACTTCCCCCGCCCATGTACCAACACCGTGCAATACCGAGATACCTTAAAACACTCGGAAGCAGATTGTTCAACAAGAATGGGAGAGCCTATCCTGATGTTGCGGCTCAGTGAGTTTCTTTTTGCGTCTGGTTCCCTTCATCCTCGAGGGATCGCTTGATCTGATGGGTTCTCACTCATCCTCTGTGCAGGGGCTATCGGTATTTCATCGTGTATCAATGGAAAGTCATACGTGTCTCGGGTACGAGCGCTTCGACACCTACTTTCGCTGCGATAGTGAGTTCCATTTCCTTTTTTATTCTCTCCTCGCAGGCCTAAGCAACGAGGTATACTTGCGTCTTAGATCGCGCTCTCAAACGATGCTCTACTCTCCAAAGGTCATGGACCTCTCGGATTTCTGTACGTTTGTTTGTTTCTCCCTTCCTCAGGCACCCGCTCACCGAAGCGCTATGCTCAACACGGGCAGCAACCCATGGATTTACTCTCTCAAACCGGGAGTCCTGAACGACATCACTACGGGTAGCAACCCAGGTTGTGGAACGACAGGGTTCAATGCGACGAGAGGTTGGAACCCTGCAACTGGATTTGGAACGCCTGATTTGCCGAGACTTCTTAAGGCACTCAAGCTTTGACCATTGGGTGTTTGTTCTTCTCGTTCGTTGTTGGCCAATCGTTCTTGTCATTGTGGCGAGCACACGGATAAAATATTGATCTGATCTTGAATGCGCTGCAGTATTCCCATCGGGTTATTGTCAGTCTGCCCTTCCCTTTTCTGGTATTCCCGATACCAGTGTTAATTCGTTCTTTTTCTCAGTTTCAAAGTTGGGTTATGCTTGAGGCTGAGTCCTGCTCTGTTTTGCTGGACTTTAAATGTGGCATTTTATTCCGTAATATTTAGATGCGATAATAAGCTAAAACTCACTTCTCGGTATTGGCACTATTATTGGTCAGTGCAGCGCACTATTGGATGGCGGGGGAAGCGGAGGCAAAGCGGCTGGCACATCTAGGGTGTAGGGTATGTGGTACTGTATAGGGGAGCTTGGCTTCACCAGCTGTAATGTATGGAGTATGTTGAGATTTTATTCTTCTATCAATGCGTTGGGAAGTAGTCGAAGTAGTGTACAAGTAGCGGCTAATCTTATTCAGCGATGGGTGGTCATGCACACCCAGCGGTGACCAGAGCACGATCGAATACGCATCAAGGCCACAACCGAGTGGCACAGTGTTGGCCCACAAGCGGCACTGGAACAACCCCACCGAATGGGTCGAGGCCTCGTGGGATGCTTGCAGCGCGCAGGTACAGTGGAGCCTTTCAAGGCGCTGTCCAGAGACCAAAAGGAAAGGGGAATATATTGGGTTGCGGAAAACGACTTCAACGATAGCTAGGAATGTAAGCCTTTTTATACTGTCCGAATAGCTTTGGCGCACAGCTGACACCCACATCCTAAAAGCTTAAATAAAAGCCGATCGCACCTCTACGATGAGGGATGGGACGACCGTGATGAGACGCTAGGGATGCCAGCCTGCGCTGAAATCGCGTGGCACAGCGGCGCTATATTAGTTGAGATTATTGTTGTATCGATGGGTTGGGAAGTACGTAGTCGAAGTACTTGTGGGGGCCAATTTATTCGCCGAGGGTAATCACCCCGACTCGTGGTGACCGGAGCACGATCGAATATGACGCGGCACAACAAGTAGAACAAGTATTGGTTCCACAAGCGCCACGAAAACAGCTTCACCGCCAACTTGAATGGGTCGAGGCGACATGGGATGGTCGCGACACGCGTACAGTGGGGCCCTGGAGCTTTCAGGGCGCAGTCTAGAGAGCGGCGCTTGATCAAAAGGAAAGGGAAGTTGAGGTTGGGTTCCAGAAAACGATAGCTGAAAAATGACAAGCTTTGACGCACAGCCGACACCCACTCGCCTGCATCCTAAGAGCTCAATTAAAAGCTAATCGCTCTCCTTGAGGAACGGGATGACCGTCGTGAAATGTCGTGAGACCACAGCGGCGCTTACCGTGGGCCCTCGGTACGAAGCGATCGCTGCAACTCGTGCCTGATTACGACTTACATATGAGGTCCTATAAGTCAGCAAGCAGGGGTCATACTAATTCTCTCGCTGTCATAACCAGTCTGGGTCATGCCAACGCGCATGCTAGAATTCGCGGTTGACATCGGATTAGACTAAATGCTAGGCAGAATCCAGCCTCTACTAAAATAAATGCATATATCATATCCTTCCATAATCAGGCGGAGGCCCCGTGGCTCTGAGTATCAGGGGCTCACACGTGTATTGCGCACTCTCCGTTCACTTGTCCGCTATCGACCATGTCATTGCAGCAAAAGGCTGAGGTCCTCAGGCAAAAGATCGATGATCTCCTCGTAGCGGGTGGTGCCATAGCAGTCCCAATCCTCCGGGTTGTCAATAATACGGCTGATTGGTGTCCCCCGCTAAAAATGGCGACTGGCGGTGCACTCTCCATCCTCGACGAGGTTCAGGTTAGCAATGGTTTGTGACCGGCCTTGAATGCAAGCTCACACTTGAAGTTTGCGCCACGTACTTAGAAGTTCAAGGACAACAAGAAGGAATGGGCTGGTTTTGGTCAACATGTAGTCGACACTGTGACCGAGGTGATTTTAGCCATAAAATCCTATGATCCATCAGCAGAAGAGGCAAAGCCGTGGGTGGAGAGTATCACGAAGCTTGATGAGTAAGTTGTATTTATTTTTTGGTTGTCCCCGACACCGTTGCTTACATCAAGTCCTAGCGCGCTACGGAAGATCAAGTCCGACATCGATCGAAGACTGAAAAAATTGGAGAAACGACCGGCTTTCATGAATGCATTGTCCTACTTGAGAGACCCAGGAAAGATCGATGACCTAAAGAAAGATTTTGACAAAGCATTGACATCGTTTCAGGTAGGTTTTCTCACAGTATCGTTCCATAATCATTCTGATTTTCGGCCGATGCAGCTTAGGGCGAACCTAATAGGCGGCGCCAAATTAGCGGCCATAGAACGTCGTCTACAGGATGACAAAATCTTGGATAGTCTCCAATTCCCTCATATCGCCCACGATGATTCGACTCAGGCATGCCTAGAAGGCACTAGGGTGGATCTCACTGAGCATATTATGACATGGTGCCGCAACACTGGAGAGAGTGAGAACCGGTTAATGCTACTGACAGCTGTGGCGGGTGCCGGCAAGACTTCGATTGCACTCACGATAGCAGAACGATGTGCGAGTGAAGAGGACGTTACCTTATTGTTGCACTTCTTCTTTAAAGCGGGCGAACGGTCACGGCCCGATTCTCTATTCAGCGGCATAGCTCGGGTTCTGGCAGAACATGACCCGGTTTACTGCACTTGCATTATCTCTGCTCTTCGAAAAGACTCTTCCCTCTCAACAGCTCCACTTGCGAAGCAATTCAGGGATTTGGTGGCTTCGCCTCTCCTCCACAAACCTCCACCTCCCAGCCATCCTATGGTGGTCATCATCGATGCTTTAGACGAGTGTGACAAAGAAGCGTTTGAGCCCCTTGCCGAAATACTTGGGGAGGAAGTGCCCAAGCTACCATCTTCCATTAAATTCTTTATCACATCGAGACAATTTGATCTCGTGAATCGCTTCCTCTCCCCCAATTACCCTATTGATCGTCTCACTATTGATCTTTCGGATGAGACAAACATGCAGGACTGCGCTGCATACATACGTTCTCAGCTTCAAAAGCTGAGGAAAGTACATCCGGATTTACGCCATAATCTTCAGGACGAAGATAAATCGGTACAGGAGATCTCGGAACGTGCAAATGGCTTGTTTATCTGGATCAGCACCATCTTTCGCTACATGAAGACGACCAGCGAGGATCCTATGGTGACACTAAAGAGCCTGCTTGA